TCGTGACTCTTCGGTTGACAGATGTAATGAGGCTTAGGGCTGCTCAGTGCAAAGGCACTGAATGTGATTCTTTGTTCAGAGAAAGCAAGGCGCTGCCTTCTCCTGTGAGATAGTGGTTAGGGCAGAAACGCCTTCTGAGAAGCGGGGTGTATTGTTTGGAAGCTGTTATCATGTTCCCTTGAAAGGGGCGGGAGGGAAGGGCTGGATATTTTGACCTAAATGAGAGATAATGGATCCTGCAGTGGTTGCATTTTGCAGCCAAGTAATCTACAGTTTAAACATGCTTAATCAAATTATTGGGTAACGAGGCTGTTTTGTTCTGTTTTGGATTATACACAGAAAGATACGTGAAAGTTTGTGCCTCCATAAATCTTATTTCCAGATGCTTTGGCTAAATTTAGTTGCTCTAAGAACATTTTATCCACTGTGGGTGAGAGGCATTGTTGTTGGTTTAGTGATTAAAACAGGACCATGAGTTAGGAATCCTGGTTTTCTTCTGCAGCTCTGCTACAGATCAACTGCCCTGCCTCAATCTCTCCATCTGTAGAAGAGAGAATGACATCCACCTTTGTAAAGTGTGTTGAGATTCTCATGTGAAAGGCATTACATAAATACAAAGTATTTACTTGTCTAGGCACATACCACTCATTGGTGCAAAGCTGGTTAATGTGTGGCATTGCAGTTGACCGGATTGTCTCCTTTTCGGTAAACGATTGTTGTTGATATGGCATATATAGACCTGACACAATGATCCTGATCCTGCTTTTGTTGAAAGCAAAGACAAAGTTCCAGTTGATTTTAGTGGAAGCAAGGTCAGGCCCAGTGATTTGCAAACGGTTGTGGTGTTAGTCTGGCAAGTTAAGTCTTCTCCAGATCTCTTGGACACAGTCTGGTATGAAGTGAGGCCTTGTGAGTTTGCGGTTCGTGTGTGTGTGTGGTGGTGTTTGAGTTTTCTGCCGCACGTGTGGTGCTGGTGATACCTGATCCCACTGATTCAAGTCCCACTGACTGGTGCTTCGGAAATCAGGAATGTACTATGTTTCATCTTGTGGCCCACGCACATAATGAAGCATATGAGTAAAACCAGACCTTCTCCTCACCTCAAATATACCATCCCTGCCCAATTGTAACACCACCATGTACCAGCCCTTGCCAAGCTTTGTCTGCACTCTTGGTAGACTACACTGACTTCCAGCTCATTTGTGGCTACAATTCAGGGCCTGGCTACCTTGGAGAGCCCTGGATAAATACTGGCCATCTCCTTTGACTGCAAACTCCTGCACACTCCTTTGGATAACTCCTGTATCTTGTCTCCAGGGATGATCAGTGTATGATGCTTCAGAAGAAAGCAACCCCTAATCTCCGCGCACACAGCATCTAGCCAGTTGTGCAATGCTGTGTGTGTGGGAAATGGAATTCCTTCCTGATGCCTGCAAGGAATCAGCTTTTTCCCTGAAGCATGAGATTCATCTCCTTTTGTCTTAGTCTTTATAACTACAGTTGCTGCTGTTTGGTCATAAAATTATTCATTGTCCTCTTAAATCCAGATGCAGCATTTGCCCCGTTGACCTTCCCTGTTAATGAATTCCACAGGCTGGCTACACATTGCTGAAAAGTCTTGTCTTAAATTTACCTGCTGTTAATCCAATCTAGTGACCTCCTTATTCTCATGTAAATGAAACAAAGTGATGCATTGCTAAGAATTATACTCAAAGAATGTGATTGTTAGAACAAGCCCAATTTCTCTCTCTCTCTAGTGGCTAATACTTTCCTTCTGTGTCTTTCAGCTCAGATTAAATTTTCTAGACTTCAAGGTTAGTTTTGCACAACCATTTTCATTAAAGAAAACAAAGGAAAAGAACAGCTCTTCTAAGCTTCCAAGTTCCATAGAGGAGAGAACACAACTGAGGCTTACTCAGAAGAAAGGCAAATTTAACTTCAAATATTACTGCAGTTTTGAGGGCAAACGTTAATGCACTTTTAAGTTGTACACGAAGGATTTTTATGTCTTCACGCCAGGAACATGTTTATTTGGTGGGTGCAGATAACTTTTTCTTGTAAGCCCCCAAAAGGTCAGTTTAAACACACACAATAAAAAGTCCAAACAGCTTAAATAGCTGTAGATGGCCTATCTTGGATGCGGCTGGCTCCAAGGAATAAGACGCACCAGTTGCAAACAGTAGAGCTCCCAGGGGAAATATGCCAGCAATTTGTCTTTCGTAACTTTGCACATAAGAGTTGGGTAGGAGATCTTATATACAGTGACTCTGTGTTCTTGTTTAATTCGATCGAGCAAAACAAGATACTGTATATCTTGCCTATCTGTGATGAATAGTGGCAGAAGTATGTTTCTTCTGCTCAAGGCCATTACCTGTGGGGGGTCTGAAACGTTCAGCCTGTATGGAAGGCGTCTTGCTGTCCCCTCCCCACCACACCCCCCGGTATGCTCTTTAATGCTGAAACTTAATTCCAACCAAACCTTAAAAAGAAGGATTGTGTTCTGTTACACGCTCAACATCTCTGACTGTTTTGGTGGAAGCTAAAGCAGTTTCTTATGGAGAAATAGTGACTTGCATTTATATTGTGCTTTTTAGTTCCACAGAAGCCTAAAGTACTTAAAAGCTATATGTAGCAATCACTTCACCCCCTTCACTGAAAAGCAGCCATCTTTGAGGTAGAACATTGCACAACATTAAACAGTGTTCTAAGACGGAGAGTGAAGTAGCATCCAGTTAAACCACAAGAGGAATTTCAGTCGGTAGAATATAATTAGACAAGTTAGAGTTTGGCCAGGATGCCAGGGGTTTAATCTTCTAATTTTGCGAAAGAGCTATGGGATTGTTAAGGAGCACAGACTGTTTGATGCTTGGTTTTACATCACATCTGAAGAATGGCACCTCCAGTAGCCCTGTGCCCCCTAGCACTGCCTACTGGGACGTCTGTTCAGAAGTGACTCATGGGCAAGAATTCTGTTCACCTGAGTCATCTGCACCACTTCCTGCTGCACCTTGGGGTGCTTTCGAGCTGTCCCATCCAAGTAATGGCCTGGCCCAATCCTTCCTAGCTTTAATAATCTGGCAGATTTCCTGCAATGGACAGCAGGCAGTTCCTTTAGTCAGGGTCGTACACGGCACTTTTATGAAAACTTTCAGAAGTACTTGGTCTATCAGCCTGGTCCCCCCTCCCGCACCCCAAACCCCTCATTTCTGGCCCTGTGCCGTTGTCTGCACCCCCATTCAGAGCCCTAACCCCCTCCTGCACCCCAACACCCTGCCCCAGCCCAGTGAAAGTGAGTGAGGGTTGGGGAGAGCGAGCCATTGATGGAGGGGGAATGTAGGGAATGGGGGAACGGGGCCTTAGGGCTGGGATGGAGCAGTGGGTGGGGCTTCAGGGAAGGGGCGGGGCTTCAGGGAAGGGGCAGGGCGAGGATGTTTGGTTTCGTGCCATTAGAAAGTTGGCAACCCTATGCAGGAGGTCAGACTGGGATGATCCCTTTGTATCAATGATTCTTTGCGGGGGGAACCTTAGTCAGTCATCTCCCCCAGTAACGCATTCATTGGAGTTACACCCAGTGGGAGTTTGGCCCAGTATCGATCAACACTCTCAGATCAGCCTAAGAAAATAAATGTTTATGAACAAATGCCTATTTTAGGCGCTGCAGGAAATTCACATAACCTGCCCACTCATTGCTGCGTTATTTGTAGCTCTGCAGGATTTTAAAGTAAGTTAGTGCGTGATATAATTTCCGGTGTGGTAAGCCACAGTCATTTGTTTGTATTGGCTTCAAGCCAGGAAGTAATATACTTCGCCCTGACGGAAATGATAGGCATTTGATGTTGTGAATTTCCTGATGCAGCAATTGAAGATATATAATTTTTTTTTAATTACATTCAAAGGGCGCCCTTCACATACAAACCCTCTGAAGTAGGAGCCCCTTTGCTAGAGTCAGCTGGTAACATTTACCAGGTTAATGTTCCTCCTTGAAAATGCAGCGTACTTCCCTCCCACTGCTTCTGTACTTCACCTCTGCAGCTCCTTAGGGAGCAGCTCGCCAAGAGACAATTGAAATCTAAATATGCCTTGGCTGCTCTGAGTGTAAAGTCTCAGACAAATGAGAAAGCTGCACTGGTATAACTTAAGGTGTGAATTTAAACCAGTGTCGTTTAAAATGATGTAAAAGGCTGTTTGTGTGCGCTTATTTTGGTCAGTTAAAAGCCAATTCAAGTTACAATAGTGCAGCTTTCTAGTCGAACCAAGGCCCATCATGACGGCTTTTCCCAAGTACTGTGCTAACTCTAGAAGGCTGCTGAGCAAGACTAGTGTAGCGACTGCCAGCTTGGGGTCTGATCCTGTTCCCATTGAAACTCGGTGACCGCATTTGCATTGGCATTGCTTTAGTTCGAGGTGTAGCTCATGGTGAGTCACAAGCTTGCGTGTTTACATGTTCCCTGCTCAAGACACCAGCAGCGCTCAGTCATGCCAAAGATGCGCCGCATCACTTGGTAGCAGCCACGCTCTGCGGCAGCAGGCCCAGACAACTAATATGAAGCATTAGAATATGGAAAATCTTTGTCTTGCGTGTGCTTGACAAAGGTGCTCTCCCACCAGTTTTCTGAAGGGTTAGTAAAGAAGGGCTTTTGTCTTATAATTGGTCCAGGACCAATGCTTGTGTAACGACTTCCCTTCCCCTGCCTGGATCATTAGCAGGGTTTGAACGCAGGGCCTTCAGCATCACAGCGCGGAGCTCTTCCACTCCAGGTAGCTGCTAACAAGTTAGTATGTTCTTATGCTTGAGCAGACGTGCTGCAGGAGGGAGATGGGACACACACTCTGTTATGCTCAGAGCAGCTACTAGTCAGTAAAATCATTTGCAGTGCTCTTCCAAAGGGTTTGGCCGGTTGCAAGACATCAGATTGCAACATCTGATTATCTTCATGCTCTCTTGCTCCGCTTCACTTCCCACATGATTATATTTTTTCATCTGTCTCCCCCACTTCTAGCAATCTACAATTATGAGGCTGTCCAAGATGTGGAGCTCTCCTTGCAGGTTGGTGATACGGTTCACATTTTGGAGATGTATGAAGGTAAGTCCCAGACCACCGCCTCTCTACTTGGTAAAAGTTTAAATATCTGAAACAAGTTTTTTAAAATGATATCCATCCCAAACTAGAAAATTTCAATGAAAACTTTAGGGAAAATGATTTTTGTTTTGTTGCTTCTGAAATTGTTTGTGGAAACAAGGTGCTCTTTTCAGATCTGTCAGTTTAGAAAAATCACCATTTTTTGATTTGTAAACTGAACTGTGACACCTTGAGGGAGAAGAGTTCCAGAACCCCAGAATATATTTGTCACTTTATGGAGCATAACTGCCTCGTTAGCTATACTGCTGAATTGATTATCTAGGCTAGTGGTTCTCAACCCATGGCCACTTGCGGACCTATCAGCACACAGCTGTGGCCCACGTGACATCCTCAGGGCCATACAGGCAGTATATATATTACGTGGGCTGTATCCACACTGCACACACAGAGTTGCATATGCAGCCCACAATGGTAAATCGGTTGAGAACCACTCATGTAGGTTATTTTATTACTCCTATCACCATAGCAGCTGAGCTCCTTGTGTTGTTATGCAATATTGCTGGATATTTGTCCCTTTTAAATACAAGGACGTTCTGTACAGCACATCACTAGCTATTAAAAACTGCTTTAAAAACAGGTGCAAATGAAAATTAATACTTAGATCTTGTGGATTTAGCTGTTAAACTGGGCTGTCTAATACTCTTCTGCTGGGAACAGAATACAGTCAGCTATATCCTGTGAAGAATACAGTGCCCATATCTCAATTGTATGATATCCCTGTTCTCTCCAAAAGGCCTTTCGTGAATATAAATTGTCATCAAACTTCCACAAACAGCATCTATTAGAGGGGCGGGGGGGGGACACATGTACAACTTCCCTGCTTTGGTATCTCCATTGAGCAGGGCAAGTTGCTTGCTCAGCAATTTGCTGTTAGTGAGTTGGTCTCTTTCCACTTCTTTGACCTTGACACTGGAGACAGCCAGCCAGCCAGATCTTACATGTCAAAGCAGATTATACTGCTGATGTGTATGTTTACAGTGATGTGTGTGGTAGTGGAGGACTGTGTTTGTAAGAGAGAGTTTAATCAGCAATAGAGGCAACATATGAGCTGATTTTGCAAAGAGGAGAGAGAGAGGCTCAAAGCTAAAAACAAAGCCTTTTTCTGTGAAGCTGGCTGTATCCTGAATTTACCAGAAAATAGCATTTTTACATGGTGGTTCAGTTTCCTCCTTAGCCAGCCGTTAGCAGAGACATTGTCAAGTAGAGTAAATTCGTCCTCATGTTGTCTGCCATCTGCCTGAAACTCCACCATCAGGAATTTAAACTGAGAGTGTATTGCAAGTTCTTTGCGATAGGGCTTCTTGTTCTGTGTTTGTACAGTGCCTAGCACAGTGGGATCCTGATCCGTGACTGGTGCTGCTAGGTGCTACAGGAACACAAATAATACTTTTATTGGAAAGACAGAGGGAAATCAGGCAAGGCATTTGTGAATTATAAAGGTTCCAAAAACGGGGGGGGGGGGGGCTTGCAGGTGGCTCCTTGGGGAATTCTCTTATACATGTGTGTACCTCCTCCTGCCTTCAGCTTCCCCTCTGCCCCCCAAAAAGAGGTTTCAACATAGAAACTCCAAATTTTCTTTTTGTCTTTTGCTGTGGACACTCTTGCATGTCTGTGTTTCCTTTCTCTCGTGACCTCAGCTTTGGGTGTCCTGGTTTCCAGATGTGGGTGGGTTGTTCTTTTGAGAACAACAGTGTTCCCGCAAGAAATGTCTTTATTCCTCCTATGTTAATGCAGCGTCTGTACAAGCTGAACTCCAGCTTAACAAAGGCTTTTTTTGGGTCTGAAAATCACTAGGTTTACATAGGTGCGCAAGTCTCAAGTTCTATTTTACCAGGATGATGGCTTCCCCAGAAAGGAAGCTCTGCCCTATGAAGTTTTTTCTCTGGGACATATTAGTTACACCTCCAGTTTCCATCTGAAGGGTTGCTCTGAATCATGCAGAGGAGTGACTTGAACCTGGCATTTTTCATGAAATGGAATTCTTGTTTTCTGGCCAGCCCTGGTGAGGACTTATGCTGAGTTACCAAGATGTACACGGGGCAATTTTACCTACAGATGTCTTTCTCCTCCTCTTCCTTACATCTAGAAAGATGCCTCGTATTTACTCCTAATGTTGGTTCCCCCACTCTTAGTTTAAGGGATTGGAGCAGGGCTGTATTCTCTCCTCGTCTGTGTGCAGTGAAGGAGTCTTGGTGTATTGGGCAACCGTAGCTTGAGAGCTCTTTGTATTCTCCGTGTGCCTGGCTCCGCTCCGTTGGAAAGAGCTGAAATGCACAGTTTGTTCCCCAGCTGCGAGACAGAAAGGTTGAAGCTCTCACTTGGCTTCTTTGTATACCAATAAATGTTATCTTAATCTCAGCTGGCAGGAGAGCTCCGAAGTCATAACACTGACAGAGCTAAACAAGTCCAGATTGGAGGAGGCCCATGAAAAGACAGGGAGCTATGAAATGAACTGGAGGGCAGTTATCTCAGACCAGAGGGCCTAGGTGCTGTTCCCCCTGTGCAGAAGGCCGATACAATAAGGCCCTATTTATTAAGCTCTGCTTGAGAAGTCCAAATGGTGTATAAGACCTTGTGAGGGATGTCTGCCCTGGGTTCAATTTCACCCACAAGACACAAGTCATTGCCTGTAATTTAAAAAAAGGGATGGAAACTCATAAATGAGCCAGAATCTCTAGCTGGGAGTTATCAGTTCCCTGTAAAATTCCCTGCACTGGGAATTGCCTCAAGGGGCAATTGACCCTAAAGAAAGGTCAAGGTACCAGAGTGATAGGTAAAATCTAAGGTCAGGCCTGCCGCTCGAGGGGGGCAAAGGAGCAGTTGCCAAAGGGCCTGGGGGCCCCTGGCCGCCCCCGCTGCTGCAGTAGTGGCAGGCAGCTGGGAGCCCGGGCCCTTTTACATCGTCCCGGTGGGCCGCAGAGCACATAGGAGATTGAGACTGCCCTGGGCCCTGCGCTGTGGGGGGTCCCTGAAGTGACGGATTTGTCACTTCTGCCCTGGGCTCCGCCTCCGCCCCCCCCCCCCCGCCCCTCGGGACAGCCCTGGCCCTGGGGCCTGGAATTTCTGTCGGCGGGCCTGGCTAAGGTAGAGTGGTTATAGTGTCATTTCCCTCCCTTGGAGTTTTCCTGTGGGAGAGGGCAGTGTTAAATTATAGGTAGGACTCCCCTGGAAGTTGGCATAAACCCAAGCTAATCCCAGCCCCCTGTCTGGATGGTAAAGCAAAATCTCTGGTCTACCTCCACTTGTTTAGTGCCATTCATGCCTTTAGGATCTGTGTGTAGGACCCCAGAATAGCCCGGAGGCTTGGGCACTTACCTGGGTTGCAGGAAAACCCGGTTTAACTTCCTCCTCTGAATTAGGCAGAGTCCTATGTGGTTTCCCCAGTCACCAGGCTATCAGCTATTCTAGATGGGTGTCTTTCTTTGGAACAATGTAAAGGTCATGGTGGATTCTGCATTATTTTTTAAATCCAGATTGGATGCTTTTCTATATACGTGGTCTAGGAGTTATTGTGAGGAAGTTCTGTGGCCTGTCCTACACAGGAGCTCACAGCAGTCCCTTCTGGATGATCACAGCAGTCCCTTCTGGCTTTGAAAACTCTGAATCCTGGAGCCAAAGTCCATTGGAGTTGATGGAAAGTCCCCTGTTGACTTCATTGACCTTTGGATGAGGGCCTTATAGTCCAGCTTTGTGGCTTGTGTTCTTTCCCCCTTTACTAAATGGGTGTAGGAAATAACAATTTAGAAGTCCCAAGTATGGCCATAGTGGGTGGGCCTGGGTTATTGTGAAGGGTTCCCATTTCCTACAATGGTAGACAATCCAGCTGGAAGGTCTGAGTAATACCATCTCAGATTGCTGGGCTAGGTTGTGGCCTTGTTCACAGTGGGGGTTTTGTCCAGTCACAGGCACCGGGGTAGCACACCAGTACAAAAGTGATGGTCATTATCTTGGCTGATATACCGGGGTTTGAACCAGGGACCTCAAGAGCTGATATAGCTTGAGCTAAGGGGCCCAGGCTGTCTAAGCAGGAGCCGAAACAGACTGGATCAGCAAAGAGGGGGGCCTGCGATGCACCCTTACCAGTGGGTTACACAATCCCAGGACGCTATTTACTGAAACTGAAATAATGCAAATTGTGGCAGCTTGGGCCATCTACACTAGAGGTTTGCCCTGGTGAAGCTGCACAATTGGCTGCAGTCAGGGCAGATCCTCTGCATAGATAAGGTCTAAATCGTTGCCGGCGGTTGCCTATGCTGAGATGAATCTTAAAGGCTTTCTGTTGTGCCTTGCTCTGCCTGTAAGCAGGACTTAGCGCCGGATGGTTTATTCATTAAACATGAAACATCTGGTCAGAGCCAGTCTCCTTAGAATTTCCTCCCTTTTAAAGGAAACACACATGCTGCCATCTTTGAAATGTGCAGGTTAGACAGTCTGGGGTCTGGGATTTAGCACTTCCTTGTAAATCGTGAAAAAGATTTTTCTTCATTGTTCCGTCTGGGTGATCTGGCCGCACAAGTGTGCGTGCTCTTTTTGTTGAACAACCTGCTCCCCCGATAACAAGACCAGGCAAAACCCAACCTGTTGGCTGGTAGATGTTTGTAATTGGGGAAATGTGCTTTACACTGCGTAATCCACCGAATGGCAGTAAAAAGACACTGCTTTACGTGTGCCTCCCAACGCTGCCCCCCGGGTGAAGTGTGCATGTAGAACTTTTGCAGACTTCCTCAGAGTGAGATTTCACTTGAGCTCTGGGAATCTGTCCTAAGGGGGGCGCAAATTCCAATCCTGTTTGGAATCTCTTTTCGTGCCTGTGGAAAATGGCAAAAACAGGGATGGAAGGGGAAAGAGCGCTCCGTTTTGGAGAGCTGGCCAAGGAAACCTCGTACAGGTGCAAATTATGTTGCACTGTCTGCTTCTGTCTCAGACATTGCTTTGATTGCCACAGGTGACTGAAGGAATCCCCTTCTCACTGCAGTGCAGTGGCTCGCAGTGTGGTGTACTGCAGTGAAAAGGAAGGACGGTCTTGTGGATAAGGAAGTGATCAGGGACTGAGGAGTTCTGGGTTCTATTCCCAACTCTGCCCCAGTGTCTCTGTGTAACCTTGGGTGAGGTTCTGTGGGCTTCAGTTCCCCATCTGGAAAATGGGCGTAGTAATACATTTCTGCCCTCGCCCCCCACTTTGTCTGCTTTGCTCGTGTAGTTTGTAAGCTCTTTGGGGCAATGGCTGTGTCTGTATATGTATAGCAAAAGTGAGTTCCCGTTCTGTTTTCAATCTCTTAAGTGCTACTGTTACACAAATAAACCTAAAATTACAAAAATAAACTTTTAGATGAAGTAAAAAAAAAAATTCTCATGGCACTTTTTGTAAGAGTCAGGCTGTTAACCCCTGTACCCTGAAAATTTCAACTTTCTACCTCCTTAAATTTTCCATTGGTATTTTCAACAGGGATGCCCTTATCTTTTTCAGCTTCTGTCATAAACTCCTAAATAGCCTACAGCAATACCATGTAACAGCTGCCCTATCGCACCCCAGGGGTGGCTGCATTTCAGTGGTGGGTGACATGAGTCCAATATATCTCATTTTATTGTAGGGTCCATAATCAGGTTTTGGGAGAAAAGACACTCTCTCTTTATAGAAAGTATTTTTATCTTAGTCAAATACAACTATTCAAATGAATAACACATGTCTGGGCAGAGAAAGTGTGTGTGTGAGAGAGAGAGAGAGACTGATGTTCTCTCCTTGCCCTTTAGTTCTGGCATGAAAATCCTCCCCTTCATCCTAAAATTTATCCGCTGTCATCCTTGCAAGGGAATAAATTTGAGGGAAACTCTTAACTCGTCTACTGTTTGTCTGAAACTTCTAGACTTGTATTTGGGGGGAAAAAAAAAAGAAACAAACCGCTAAAATGACCATTGCCACGAGCACTTGTTCACTGCAAATGATGAATAAAGTTATTTTATGCAGTGTCATTGTAGCTGTGTTGATCCCAGGATATTAGAGAGACCTGGCATTTTGCTACGATGCTGCGAGTTCCTTTCCCAGGCCTGAAGAAGAGCTCTGTGTGGCTCCAAAGCTTGGCACTCTCAACAACAGAAGTTGGTCCAGAAAGATATTACCTCACCCACCTTGTCTCTTGAGTAATGTTATTGAAAGTTAGAACAGAATTCTGAGAAGATCAGAGGATTCATTGGTTCCAAGGATGAGTGGAGAGCATGAAGTCGTGCTGGAATATAGCTTTATATAATAATTATATGTAACACAGCCCTTTCATTCTGTGGTTTCAAAGTGCTTTAGAAAGGTGGCTTAATATCACTGTGATGTTCGTTGTACAGATGGAGAAACTGAGACATGGAGAGGTTAAGGACTTGAGCCAGAGCAAACTGGAGTTGCTGGAAAGATTCTCATTGACTTCACTGGGCTTTGGCTCAGGCCATAAATAGCGTGCACTAGGCCATTCAGTTAATTATTGACAAAGCTAAGAACAGAACCTAAATCTCCTCATTCCCAATCCAGTACTTTATCCCTTGGACCATGCTTAATCTATAATCCTGTTTTTATCCAGTGGAAGGAGTGGTATCTTGCCCCACACCCCCCAGAGCTTCTGGAATACAGAGGATTTTGTAACCAAACTTGACTGATCTTATATTTACTAGAGAAATGGGCCAGACTTGCAAAATCTGGACTTCTCTAAAGTTTGGGGGTGGGGGCAGGGTGAGCACATCCAGAATTTTGGCTGAGACTTATCTCTGCCAAGTATAAAAATGCTTCCACAAAAGCTTTTCACCCCTCTTCCCTTTGTTTTATCACCTACTAATCCCCCACCCTCGTGTTGATCTCTTTGCTAGCTTTGTTATCTGTATGTATGGAGTGTAAGCTCCATGGGGCAATGACTTTGTCTGCACTGATGCTTCTGAGCACCACTTATGCCCTGTAGATAACAAATACCACTCCAGCTCCCCTAAGAAACAATAGCAACATTTGTGTGTAACTTTTAAATGTCAGTGCAAGCAACAAGCAAACCAAACCAAACAAACAAAATGCCGAAGAGCTGTGTGTCACGAAAGTTAGTTAAGATGAGAGCTGAGGAAGCAGAATCTCTTGACCTTTGGAATAGTTATTTTAGGGGCAAAGTAGCATTAAGAAAAATGCAAATTTGCCTATCATATTTCAGAAATGTGAAGCTGGAGACCATGTTTGCAGGTCAGTGTTTTAAAATAAACCCGGTTCGGTAATTGAAAAGACACTGTTGCTGTTGGTATTACATTAGCTCCTGGCAATCGCCACAAATGGACGGGACAAAGAGTGGGAGACGGAAAGTACGAGTATTTCCAGTTGGGGAACCGGCACACAGTGTGAAATGATTTGCCCAAGACATCTGTGTTAGAGCTCAGCATAGAACCCAGATCTCCTGAGTCTCAGGCCAGTGTCTTAACCACAAGACCGTCCTTCCTCTGCCGTGATTTAAATTTCACGCTTGCAAAGTAAGGCTCACTTGAGAGCAGCAAATAAAAAAAATACACTTATTCATTCATACCCTTGCCTTTGCGTCACCTTGAAATTTAAAATGTTGGCTGAACCCCAAGCTCTAAAGAGGGAAGAAATGTTCTTCTAAAAGTGATATACTTCTGGTCTGCAAAAACCACAGCTATTACTCTGTAACTGATACTTCCCTGGAGCTTGTCACAAAGGGAGTAAATAGGAATAATATCTCTATCTAGGGCAAATAATTTGCTGATGGTTTTTTTCCTTCCTCTCATAAAAGTGAAGACCCTTTATTAATTTCTCTTTCAGCCTTCCTTCACAGAAGGATTTCACATTGGTTCATGGGCAGCAAGGAAAGGAATGTGTAAACACAAGACTCAAGCATCATCTAGATAGAGAATTGGGTTAACACCCATGTGAGAAGAAGGATGGTGTTAGGGTTAAGGCCGTGGAGTTGGCGTTAAAAGATTCGATTCCCAGCTCTGCCACAGACTTCGTATGTGACCTTGGGGATGTCATTAATCTCTCTCTGCCAGTTCCCCATCTCTAAAATGGGCATAATAATACTTGTGTTTTCTATCCCTTTATCTGTCTAGTCTCTTTAGACTATCAGGTCTATCAGGGGCAAGGAATCTTTTTTGCTACATTTATGTACAGCCCCTAGCACAAAGGGGCCCCAATCTCATTTGGGGATCTAGGTGCTACCATAATAGAAATAATAAGTACTGCCACTGCACAGTTCCAGCTAAAGGAGCAGGCCCACTGTGTCATTTCATAGTAGGAAAAGCCACTCTTTCAAGCTCTGCCTTATTTTAGGGCTCATTCCCACTGGCCTTGTTCTCACTGCTGGTACCGTTGGCCTCAATGGGACCTCTGAAGTGAGCAAAGCCAGCAGGATGATATGTGGTAAGAAGAACGTGTGTTGCTAATAGCTTTGCATGTTGAATTCCTGTATGTGAAGAGTCATGGTATTTCTGTTGTTCCTTGGCAGGTTGGTACAGAGGATACACCCTCAGGAATAAATCGAAAAAGGTACAACATGATATTTTTCAATAATAGTTATTTTTATGTGTTAAATTTTGCCAGGCCCTATCCAGCGCTGTAATGCCCTGTATTCCTGTGGTCATTTCTACCTTAGTACACTGAATACTTCCTGACTGGGATATTCTTTTCTCTAACAACAAAAGTGAATAGCCAGGAGCCAAATGTTTGAGAATCATTAACTTGGCAGACTATACGGTGGATGCATTTGAAAAGTTCATTGCAGCTCTTATAGGTATCACTGGTCCTACCGGTACTGCCCATTTTAAGCATAGGGAATACTGCTTGAACTGGGAGAATCAAACCTTTAAGTATGCCCGCTATATAACAAGCCCACTGTTTAGTTATTGAGTCCTGTACCTGTCTTCTAACATTGGCTGCCTATGAGAATGGGTGACCCTCTAAAGGTTCAGGGTTCAGAGTTCAAATAAGCACCCATGTATCTCTGGACCTTATCCAAACTCCTTGACTTTGCAAAACTAGTGTTGGAAATCTCACTAGAACATGGTTTCCCATGAGAATCCCAGCACCGTTGCTCCTGGTCCCATTTGGAATTACTGTAAGAGTGGCCTCTTTCATGGTATTTCTGCATTTCTAGTCCCAAGCGGAAATGAAAGTAAAGTAAGATTTAATCACATCCCAAGGAGCAGTTTTCTGTGAAAAGATGGAATTTTTAGGTGGGTGAGTTCTTGTTTTCTTCCCAATGAATTCTTCCGTCCATAGTTGTAAGCGTCAGTTGCAGTCCTGCAGTTCTTTCTACCTGACAAATTCCATGACTCAATGGGAAATTTTAATTATTCTTGCAGTTAGGACAAATTAACGTGGCTGATTCGAATCTGTAACATCTCAAAGCATATCACAAACACAGGAAGTATGGTTTTAGCGGCACTTACTGGGTGTGACTTTTCACAGGTGTCACAGCAAATTGGGGGCAGAGCTGAGATTAGAACCCCAGGAGTCTTGACTCACTTTCCACTGTCCTATCCAGTGGACAATACTGCACTTAAATTCTGAGGCCCATGTATGTTTATGCTGCTAGTAACCAGTAAGCATCAGTCACACTGTAGAACCTCAGAGTTACGAACACCTTGGGAATGGAGGTTGTTCGTAACTCGGGACAAAACCTTATGGGTGTTCTTTCAAAAGTTTTTACAACTGAACATTGACTCAATACAGCTTTGAAACTTTACGATGCAGAAGAAAAATGCTGCTTTTAACGAAACAAGTACAGAAACAGTTTCCTTACCTTGTAAAACCTTTTTTATAAAAATGTTCACGTTATTTTTTAGTAGTTTACATTTAACACTGTACTGTACTGTATTTGCTTCTTTGTGTGTGTGTGGGCAGAGGGGTCGTCTCTGCTGCTGCCTGATTGGGTACTTCCAGTTCCAAATAGGTGTGTGGTTGACCGGCCAGTTGGGTTGGTGTTCGTAAGTCTGAGGTTCTCCTGTAGGTGGTGTTGCAGGGATTAGATTTGTTTGCTTTATTTAAAACTTTAAATTAACCATGAGCATTTTCATGTGACTGCTGTAGAGAGAAATGAAACTTGGATGCTGAAAGCCCATCCTGGGCTTCATTCTGCAAAGTGATGAGCAGCCCACCACTCCACTCTCACTGACTTTAGCCAGTGTTGCAAATCCTCACACCTTTCAGGAACAAACTCCCCTGCAGTCAGAATGGGGAGCAGGAAAAAGACCAGGAGCCAAAGCAAATTGCTCTGGATTCTATTTATCTTTGGACAGCCATTCATCGGCATATCTGAAACCCTTTTAAACTGCTCTGCTTTTCCTTTTGAATCCAGCTTTCTGGGGAAGACCATGTGAAAGCACTATTTTAATGGCAATTTAGATGTCATTTATTATTGGGCCTTATTGTTTGGCATGAGGATAAAATTTGGTGGGGCTGCAAATTGAAGAAGCAAAGAGCAGCTCTGCGGCCAATTATTGATCTGAGAGGGAGAGACGGGGCGGGAGAATCCTGACATGTTTATGAAACCAGCCGGGTCGCTGTTGAGAAAGCGGAAGCTGAGTTAAGTGGAAATGGGAGGTAAATCAAAAATTCAGCTGCAGTTTTCATTTTATGTGCTTCGTGGAAAGCTTGCTTTAAAAAAAATGCAATTCCTGTGGAACCTTTGGTAGTTATTGTCCAGAGAGAGGGGCCCAGTGGAGGTGGGAATGGTCAGCAGCTAGCAAGATCAAGCCTATGCCGAATATTTGTTATGTAGCATCACAGAGTTTAAGGCTAGAAGGGACCACCAGGTCTATCAGAGGTCAGCCACACCACCTGGCACCTGCACACGAACCCCAGCAAAACTGAAATGAGACCAAAGTATGACAATCCACAGGAGACTAGGCTGTTATGTGCCACAAGCAGAGAATAGGAGGACCGAGGTGTATCAGTGCTGGAGGCCCATGCAATGGCAGGGGAATGATTAAGTAAGGTAGACCCAGATATCCTGGCAAGTGACCTGCATCCACATGCTGCAGAAGAATGTTAACTCCGCCCCGGCTCCTCCCCCCCACCGCCAATCTGGGGGGAAATTCCTTCTGGACCCCACATCTGGTGATCAGTTAGACTGAGTATGGGAGCAAAAGGCAGGCAGCTAAGTATCGCAGAGAGAAAAAGCTCGGTGCCACCTCAGAGCTCTGGCCCAGTTGCATTATGATGAAATTAGCAGTATTGCCAGCATCAAGCATACAAAAAACATGGGATCGGCTTAAAAATCGTGAATTAAAAAAAAAAAAAGGTTTGGTTCTTTTTCTTTGTCTTCTGGTTTGTGAGTCTTTAGAGTGCACTTGCTTCACATTTTCACGCTTTTCTTCACAACCTCAAGGCCTAGAAACTTTTTTTTTTAAACGAAAGTTAGGATTCTCATGCAGTCTTTCCCTGCAGCTGGGGCTGTAAGGAAATCATCAAATGTCCTGAGACTCATGATAAAAACCCAGGGCTCTGCATGGAGTTAACTTTCTCTCACTGAAACATCCGCGTGTAAGAAAAGGCGTGTGTAATTGACTCTTACAGTTGGCTTTATTGTCTTTAAATGGGCTTTGTTAGCAAACTCCCACCAGGTCAACAGTTTTATATGTTGATTCTGGAACCAGATGACACATTAGGGTGGCGTTTAGCTGGACTCTCATTTCCTTGGTGTTGAATTAGGGCTCGTCGACGCTGGCAACATTAAAGCGCTGCCTTACCAGCACTTTAACGTGGCTTGCTGGGAGAGAGTGCTCTAAAAAAAAATCACCTCCACGAGGGGCATAGCTATCAGCCCTGGTTGACTGTCTACACGGGCGCTTTACAGTGCTGAACCTTGCAGCACTTGGGGGGGGAAATGGGGTGTTTTTATCACACCCTGAGCGAGAAAGCTGCAGCGCTGTAAAGTGCCAGTGTAGACAAGCCCTTAATCACACAGTGAAACATCGCTGGAATGAAGATTCATTTATTACGGTTTTTAGTGGAATTTAGTGGAGCCTCTGGCTGCGGAATCCTGTTCTTTTCCAAATGATCCTCTTCTGATTTCTTTTGGCTTGTGACAACAGTGGTAACTTTAGCCGCTGTTTATAATTGCCTCCAGATCTACCCAACTACTGTAACCCATGCTATCTAGATCAAAGCTAACGCAGATATGCCTACTCAGGCTACAATCACGCATTTGCTTGTAGTTTAGACGTACGCAATTGAGCTTAGCATACAATTAGTATCTCATAAATGGGAAATGCCTTTCAGTCATTGTTTAGCTCTATAAGGTCTATATTTTCTTTGTTTAGGGCCTGTGAAGGCAGGGTTAGAGCACAGAAAAGGAAGGCAGGATTCCTAGGTTCTGTTCACTGCATGACCATGAGCAGCCCACCTAGGCAGAGTTTTTAAAAGTGTCTCCTAATTTTGGGAGCTTCTGCTTTCGGGTGCCCAGTTTGAGACTTCCGAGGGGCTTTTCCACAGAAGTACTGAGCACCCTCAGATCTCCTGGAAGTTAGCAGGAGCTGGTGGGCTTTTGAGTTTGGGCAGCTGAAAACTGAGGGTCGTAAAAATTAGTGGATACTCTTGAACTTTTTGGCCTTAGCCTCTTGGTGTATCAGTTTTTCCAATCTGTAAGATGAGGATAATTCCTACCTGGCCAGAGTGTCCTGAGGCTTAATTAATGCTTGTAAAGCGCTTTGAGATCCTTGAATGAAAGGTGCTATAGAAGTGCAAAGTGTATATTATTATTAATTTGTTTTACTACACCAGGGAAAACTCTCCATTATTATTATTCTATATATAAAACAGTCACTGGAGCTGATTCTAAGGGGTTCTTCTATTTCTTCCTTCTATATCTAGCACCAAAGAGGATTTACCTTGAGGGGCACCAGATTGAGAATCGGGAATTCTGTTGCAGCCTCTGCCACTGAGTTGCTATATGACCTTAAGCGAGTGACTTAACCCCTCCCTCCCTCCACTTTATCCATCTTTGTAAAGCCGTTTGAAAGCAACAGATCAAACTGTCTAAAAGTACACAGTACTGTATTATTATTATTATTATTTATTATTATTGCCAGTTTGCTTTTCCTGGGGTTTATTAAATTGCTATTAGAGTTGACATAATACCAACATAAAAGAAGACACACCGATCTCCGCATATATTGTACTAGAATTGTTTTTTTATTTATTGAATTTTGGAAAAGTTTATTTGACTTGTGCCTGGAGCTCAGCTGATCACATTCTTCTGTTTTTTCCCCTCCTTGTTGCTGAATGATGTATCGCATATTACAACATGATTTCCCTTTCTCTCTCTTTTAGGGCATCTTCCCCAAAACTTACATTCATTTAAAAGAAGCAACTGTGGAAGACCGAGGGTAGGTTGGAGATAATCTTGAGATGTCCTGTGGTTGGCAGAAGTGATTGGATGCCGTTTGATAAAAGAGCTTACGTAATGGAGGTGCAGCTTGTCATACGGGCAGTCTGTGTTTTTGCATAGCAAGTGCTGTGAACCTCATGTAGACTCTAGGATCAGAATAATTTCTGTTTTTGCCAAAATGTTGTACATCAAAAATTGGACACATGGACAGAGGCAAAATATCCCACTTGCAAAGATAAGCGTGAAATCTGCTAGACATGTATATGGCAAAGCAGGTCACTCAACTTACATTTGGTTCTTCTGGGGACTCTTGTATTCATGGCTCACGTGCACACACACACACACACATGACTCGCAGCCAAGTGGCCATCAGAAGAGTGTGAATTCTTTCCTGTCCTGGAAAACCTCTTAGAAAATCATTCCCAGTCTAATTCTTACACTGGATTCTCTGATCAGTATGAATGGGGGCAACCAGCAGCCGCAGCGATAGGAAGTGACTTGAGAAGGCATTTTTTAATCCATATAGTCCAAGTTATCACTGCAAGCAGTGATCCCTCCAACCGGGAAACTGTGACTAGAGCAGACATGTCCGTTCAGCGTTACATTTCTGAATCTGCCACCTTTTAATTTCATTACATGCCCCCTTGTGTTTTTTCCTCTCTCTAGACAACATGAAACAGTGATTCCAAGTGAACTGCCCCTTGTTCAAGAACTCACTTCCACGCTGAGGGAGTGGGCAGTTATCTGGCACAAGCTGTATGTGGTGAGTATTTGCTTTCTTCCTTTGTTGGTGTTTGCTCCAGTGAGAGGGGAGAAAAGGGCAGGATCTCTACTCCATCCAGGACAGAGTGTTTAAACAGAAGTACACAGAAGATTTTGAAAGGACCTCGCATATCCCCGTCTTGTGCCCGTGCATCCAGCAGCTGATGTTCATTTTGAGCACATATGCTTTTTACGAACAGGGCCCCAGAGCTCAGTTCTGCCTGTAGGGTGGTTTGCTCTGGGAATCAGCCCCATGTTATTCTAACATGTATTTTCCACTGACTGGTAGATCTTCCCATCTGACGTTTGCTAGTGTGATTTCCAGAGCTGCAAACAGTGATGTGATTAGAAGCAAAATGGTAAAAGTGCTAAACCAGACGCAGGGGGCTGTGATTCAGGATTTCTGCGCTCTGTTGTCCTCCTAACTCATTGTGTGATCTTGAATGAGTCACTGATGCAGCAAAGCACGTCAGCATGTGCACAAGCCCCATTGACTTCAGTTAATGAGTGAGTTAAGCACCTGTCGAATCATGGCTGATAATTTCCCTATGCTTCCATTGCTCAATCGATAAAATGAGCATAGTATTGAACGAACTCAGGTATATTGAGACTTAGTATTTGCAAAGCATTTGGAACTTGTACATTGCCTTATACCTAAAAATCTCTCAGGATCATTGTTATAATAAGGAGCTGAAGGAGGAGTAGTGACTTATTGCTGTTTAAAAGGTGACTGAGCAAAGTTAGATCTTGTAGGACTAAGGTTCTATTTACTCTACAAAGCGGTATTGCTCTTGAATAATTGAATTAGAAGACATGACCCGCACCATGGTCGGAGTTGACCAGGACAAGCCATAATCAACGTCTTGTCAGCTGGTTGGGACTGCTTGTGTGAGTCCCTCTTCACCAACGTGAATAAGGGTTCCTGGAGTGCCTATGATGTCTGTCGGATTTAGTGACAAAGGACAGGCCGAGGAGTCAAGACTTGAAGCCTAGTACTGACTCTGCCACTGGCTTCCTATGCATGTTTTGGAAAATTGCTTAATCTTGCTTGGCTCCAGAGATGGAGATAATATTTCTTAGCGACCTTTGCAGAATGCTTTGAGATCTCTGAAAATCCGGTGAAGTGTACGTGCATGAGGATAGGTGCTGGTGCTTGGGGTGCTGCAGCACCCCCTGGCTTGAAGTGGTTTCCATCATATGCAGGGTTTAGAGTTTGGTTCACTGGCTCTCAGCACCCCCACTATACAAATTGTTCCCTTGTGCATGAGAGGAGTGTGTATGTGTGTGTGTGTGTGTATATATATATATATATATATATATATTTATATAAAGGCACAGAGTATATATACCTATAAAATATAAATACTTTTGGTGTTGCCTTTTCCAGAACAGGCACAATCTCTGATCTTATTTTTCTCTCCCTGGGGAAATATGCCATCAAGATTGTTGGTGAAATTAGACTTGGAAACTTCCAGGTGCAGTGGAAGGAAGAGCCATCTCATTAATAGTTTTCTATTTCTCAGACAGCTATTTACTTTCCCTAGCCCCCTTGATCTTTCTGTCTTCTGTATCCTGAAGGCAAGATAATAAAATATTTTCACTGAGTCTCAATCTAGTGCTTACTGTGCTCTGCAAACAATCTGAAGCCATTCAAGAAAGGGAATTTTCTCACTGTTGGGAAAAGAAACTGGAAGCATTGTGCCACGGCAATACTAAGATTGCTGCTTGGTCCTCCATGCACACCTTACAAGGTGCAAATATGGATCTCAACGTGAGGCAGGTGTAAGCTGCTAAAGAGTCCTGAACAGTCTTTTTGCAAGAGAAATAACTTCTAAAATTCTCCCACAGCATGGTTTCTGGAATGCCGCATGCCTCGGATTGCATGGGACCTTCCTGCATTCTCAGTTCAAATTGCCCCTCTTCCATGTATGCCATTTATTCCTTATTTTGATGGTCAGATTAAATAACCAGAGTTCCACGAGATTTGTTGAAGTCTAAGCACCATTGACTGGCACTTGATCTGAGCCACAATACGTTGCCCTAAGCCCGGACAGGACTGGCAGAGTGCACAGACCGTTCTGCAAAAAGATCCCAACTCCAGACTGTCTCCTTCCTCTTACTGTGGAGAAAATGAGGGAGCGGGAAAAGTCAGCCAAAGACAGAGCTCCCAAGCAATCCAGGGCGACAGCGACAGTGTTACAGTGGCTAAGACAAGAGGCTGGGGTCCAAAGACCTGCACTTCCTTCCTGGATCCACTGCTGACTCATTATGTGGATCACTTCCCCTCTTCCTGCCTCAGTTTCCGCACCGAAGAAATGGGATGATGATGCTTGCCCCTCCTCCTTAAAGCACTTGGAGATCTCCAGATGAAAAATGTTCTATAAAGGCTACGTGTTAAGTATTTTTATAGATCCATTGGGTGCCGCATAATGACATCTCTAATTTTCACCATAGATAAATCCGGTTTGTCTTATAGTAGCACTTAGCAGTTCCAGCTGAGATTGGGGCCCCTTTGAGTTATGAGCTGTACCCATAAAGAGTAAGAGGGAGCTCCTGCCCTAAAGAGCTTACAATCTGCCCAGACAAGTCAGACCAAGGGTGGGAGGGGAGCCAGAGGTCCCACAGTGGGGAGGTGACTTATCCAAGGTCATGCAGTAAATCGGTCATTGGCAGAACTGGGATTGGATTCTTTGTCTCCCAAGTCTCTGTCCAGTGCCCTAGCCTTTTCACAAAGCTGCCTCTGAAAAGTTTGTAAACCTAGGCTGTTTGTGAAGTTGGTCGTTTTGCTGAGTTAGGCTGAAATGCTGACGCGAAGAAAAACAATTCAGAGTTCAGAATGAATTACCCTTTCTTCCAAAGTGGAGTCTTAAGGCAGATTATAAATTCTGGAGCTTAATTTTTCTTCAGGCAATGGTTACTTCAGGCTGCACAGTATGTGCTCTGAGACTGTAATTAAGATGAGAGAATAGTTTTAAATTAGCTCCAAACGTTTTTCTTAGCCAGAGTCAGTTGGTCCTACTGAAAAATTTCGCCCAGCCATAAGTGCATTTTGTTTGTGGTCCACAGAACCATAAGCATTTTTTCCACCCTCTTAGTTTCCTGAGCGGCGAGATGTGATGCAATTGCTGTGTAAAGCAAGCATTTTGTTCCTGGCTTGTTCCCTTAAAACCTTTCAAGTTCTAGCCTCAGAATCTGTTGTTCTTAAGAGCAGAAATACTTCCTCTTTTATGTGACTTTACTCTGTCAGCGTTGTCCTTAAAATAGACTGGGAAAACATCGTGGATTGTAATGGATGCAAATTTATTCCCCCCCATGCCCCTCACGGTATAAAGAAACTCGAAGGGAGGAAGGAGGAAGATGGGGAGAGAAGGGAAATGGAGAAGAAAGAGGGTTTTTTTTCTCTTTGGCAGCATTTCATTTCACTGCTGTAATTTCTGTAAATTACAGCAAGAATTGCACCATAATCTTTACTGCAGAGCATCTGCTGGGCCCGAAAATGAATCCAGCCTCTGCGTGGCGCATGGGAATCTAGCAAGCATCAGTTGTCAGTGTTGCAAATCTAGTTTCTTTTAGGGGTGTGGAACAGAGTAACAGGGTGAGTCAAACATTGGGCAACGTTTAGCACAGCAAAGCTCTGCACGGTCATTTTGTTGTAGATCCCTGCCTCAGTCAAGGGCACGGTTTGTAAATGGCAAGTGTAATTCTGGGGCACGTACAGAACTAATAAATCTCCTGAAAAGTACAGAGCATCCTCACCTTCACTGGTAACTGAATTCAGTGGTAAGGGCAGGTCTACACTACAGCGGGGATCGACACTCTGAGATCGCTCCACCGGCGGTCGATTTAGTGGGCCTAGTAAAGACCCGCCAAATCGACTGCAGATTGCTCTCCAGTCAACCCTTGTACTCTATCCCCACGGTAACTCGACCTAAGGTACGTCGACTCCAGCTACGTTAGTCACGTAGCTGGAGTTGCGTAGCGTAGGTCGACTTAACGCGTTAGTGTAGACATAGCCTGAGGGTGCACAGAACAGGGCAGATGATCTAGGCCTCTCTTGGAGCTAGCGGGGAATTTTTTTTTTTTCTGTGCAGAAATATTTTGACCAAAAAATGGGTTTCATAGAAAATATTTTTAAAAAAACATTTTGGGTAAAAACAAAGTTGTTTTCAGTTTCTGGTTGTCAGAAATCATCCGATTTTTTGCAGATAGGGAGTTGTTTTTTCTGTGAAAACCTGAAATATTGTCAAAACCAGACATTTCCAATGGACGTTTTTTCAACAACAACAAAAAACCCTTTTCCCTGTGGAAAAAGAAGTGTAACAGAAAATGTTTGACCGGCTCTAGCCCAGCTCGTAAGTAAAACAGAGGACCACAATCATTCCAGAAGCTGTGGAAAGGGGAGACATGAAGAGAATTCAAGCTCTGGTTTAAAAATAGTTTGTACAGGTAGTCTTCGACTTTACGATGTTCGAGTTACAACGAACGGCACTTACAACGTTTATAAATTGTTGTCATGTTTCGACTTTACAACGCTGAATCCCACATTGTTCCTATAGGAAATTCGAGTTACGACGTTTTCGACGTAAGACGCGATTTTCAGGAACCAATTGTGTCGTAAGTCCGAGGACCGCCTGTATTGCATTTAGCGTGGTTAAGCCCCTGCATCCCAAGCTTTTAGCATTCTTTGACCCTTAGTAGGTTTACATACATTGTATTGCTTCCTGTTTTCCACCATTGAAATCAAAACTTTTGCCATTGACTTAAATGGGAGCAAGATCAGCTTCTTCTTCTTCCTTTTGTGCGAGGCATACGTTTCCATTGCTTCTAGGTGGGTTAGGTTTTTTTAAACTGTTGCCTTTGTACATTATCTATTTCATGCCAACAGTCCACAGAGCGTCTCATCAATCACGTCAACTGGGCTAAGATCAGTGCAAGATCTTGCTTTACTTCAACCTGTTTACTCAAAGTACATCCAAGTATTGATATATTGGAGCACATATCAATATGGAAATGGCCCTTTTTGGCACTGGAGTGCGCATAGACATACTCTCTGCATGTGCATTGGCAAATGGCACTCAGGATTTTATCGAGAAGTAGTGTTTTTATGTGTACCTCTTGAGTTCATCCAGATTAGCTTCCGGAGGGTCTTCCACGTAGAGAAATCCTATATTATCCACTCTGTTTTTGATATTTGTTGATAACACACATTGGAAAAATGCAAGGTAAATATAGCTGTCCAGATAAGGAACTGAAAAGGGTTCCATTTTTGGGTCTGATAGAGACTTCCTGTGAGACCTTGGGCAAATTGCTTAATCTCTCCTTGCCGCAGGCCCCAGTCTGTGTAATGGTATTCATAATGCTTCCTGACGTCATGGGGGTTTTGTGAACCCCTCCCCTTCACCGCCAGTAGCCCTGAACTGGAGCATGTGCAGGTTTCTCTGAGGAGATGATTTATGTGCAGTGTGGTCAGTGCTAGGAGCTGTGAGAGTCTGACGCTTGGTCGACAGAGTCGTCAGAGATGTTTGTGAGACTCTGATCAGCTCCATAGTAAATCCTGTAAAGAAATAAAATGCAACATCCTTTATTCACCTGTGGTCTCCGATCACCACCAACAAGCTTTGTTTTGTAGTTGGGGTTTAATATTTGTGTGTAACAATGCTGCTGACTGTAGTAATACAGAAAACAGTTTTAGATAAAGCAAATACGGTAATTTATATCCTTCCTCTTCTTTCAGAGAGGGACAGAGTAGAGAAATTTTTTTTTTTAAAGGGGGGTGGCTGTTCCTGCTGTGTCGGGACAGTTGTGCACAGCTAAGTACTAATGGTATTCATTACAAGAACGTGTGTGTCTGTCTTTGAAACTGGCAGGTTTCAGAGCAGCAGCCGTGTTAGTCTGTATTCGCAAAAAGAACAGGAGGACTTGTGGCACCTTAGAGACGAACCGATTTATTTGAGCATAAGCTGTAGCTCACGAAAGCTTATGCTCAAATAAATCGGTTAGTCTCTAAGGTGTCACAAGTCCTCCTTTTTTTTTTGTCTTTGAAACTGTTTTCATTTGGAGCTTTTTGCCCATAGTAAGGCCTGTTTTCAGACACTGATACCTAAATAGGATGCCCTCGTTATACATTCAGAATCAGGTTGGCAATCAGGGATATAGCTGCCCATTTTATGTCCCTGGTTGGTGATAGGGACACAATTTTAAACTGTCCATATTTAGAGATTGGTCCCACAGTACATTTCGGTAGAGGTGGACTTAAGCCACATGTTTTGGATCTAGTTAGCAAAGACACCAAAGTTTGTAGTGTTTGGATCTGGAGTATTGGTTTAGCTCTTTATAAAAGTTAGGGCCATATGCAAAATTCCAGCCCAGGTCTAAATTTCAAACAACCTGAATTTCAGAAGTGTCGGGATCTAGGGCTTTGATTGTCAATTAACGAGTGGTTTGAGCTTGGCGGTGGCTCAGCAAAGAGGCATCAGACGAGAACTCTGTGCATGTTTTTGTGCGTATCCTGGGGGAGTCATAGACTGTGTTAGACTTGGGAGCAGTCCGTCTAGAGTGATTTAAAGAATATAAAGTTGAAAATTATTCTCCAAAATCACATGGTGCAGTTGCTTCCCCTATCATGGGGGAGTTAACGTTTATATGAATTCATTGTGCAGGAGGTTAGAAATGACTGTCTGCCACCATAATGCGGGTTATCCAGAGCTCTGCAGTCTTGCTTCATGTGGCTATGCATGGAATAATTAAAAGTGCTAAGGAACGTTGTAACATAATTGAAACCAAAGAGTGTGTATTTAGAAAGTACTTGCTCATTTGATGGGTTGTAGGTCTTGTTTAGAGTTTATTAAACTCTGGCAACAGGTATTTTCAAGAAATCATTTGCGATTGAAGAAATCTAACAATGCAGACTTGGTGTAAGCAGTCTTTAGAGTAGCTGCTGTTGACATCTGCTTTGAATTTGGCCTGCTACCTTCATGTTCAGTATTTAATATTAACCATTAAAGTTTGCGCTCCCGTACCCTTTTGTATGATACCAATCTTAAATCTAATGAGTACAGAGAACCTGGGAGCAGGTGCCTTTTCCAAGCTGCTCTAAAACAAAGTCCACACACTCCTTTCCAGGGGTTCATTAACAATAGCATAACAAAGTTCATCTCAAGCTTTTTCCCAGGCATGGCTGCACCTGGAGTTCCTCCCTCTGGACTGCTCAGCTCGCACTCTAGATCCCCTCTTTCTAGAGAGCCACTCCTCCCTCTCATATATCCATGTGTGTAATGAACCACCTGATTCACTGAACCAGAAGAACCCACTTAACTCTTTCTCAGCAGGATCAGTCCCTGATAATAGGGTGGTGTGTAGCAGACTAACACTGTGATCCTGGTAAAGAGACATTTTTGATTTTGTCTTGATAAATTAGATCTAGTGTCTATAATTTCTGATATGCTGCCTCAGACAGCAGGCTGTGCCTGATGCTTAGTGTAAGTCAGGAACTTGCCATAATGCATCTGGCTGATTGTGTAATATTGGGGATGGGAGGGAGAATTCCTTCCTGAGCCCTGTGAGCGAACAGTTTGAGAAGCGTGAGACTTAATTAGTCATCCTACTCTGCACTGCTACAAATGTTGTAACTAGTCACAAAATTCTTCACCCCTTTTAAGTACATCTATACCTGTGGCTTTGGCACCCTTGTAAGAGCAACGTGCCTTGTATATTATGAGGCACAAGTGCCTGCCCAATTTAATCGGGTGGAACCAAGCAAGGGGCATGCGAAAGATTTTCATTAATTAATTTGGGTGGGGGAGAGCATCACAGAGTGATTTTTTTAAACAACAGGCTGAGTCAGTATTTTAGAATTTTACATGCTGTTGTGTATGAAAAATTAGAATGTATCTACTGCAGGAAACTGGAGAGAACAAATCGCCGCTTTTGGGAAGCTCGTGGGGAAAACGTGTATAGGTGGTAAGGTCTTTTTACTCTGTGTTTTGGAGAGTGCCTCGCATGATGTTTGTCCTGGTCCATGACCGGGACTCCTAGCTGCTCCCACAATACAAATAATAGAAAATAACCAAGTTTATTAATATTTATTTGCACTGTGGGGGCACTGGAGGAATAGATGAAGTCAAAACCCCCCCTGCGCTAGGCACTGTACAGACATACAGTAAATGACAATTGGCGTCCCAAAGTGCTTGCAGCCGTGGCCCCGATCTTCAGATAGACTGCTGCACCCACACAGTGATACTTTCACTTCGGCAAGTCTCTCCAAGGGGCACAAAGTCTGTCTGTGGGCTACCAAATCTAAGTCTCCGAATGCAACGCCATGAGTGCCGTGCTAACACAATGTCCCAGAAATTTTTTTTTTTTTTTGGGTGGGGAGGTTGTCGCGTTTTGGATGGATTTTGAGAGTTGGCGTGGAGTGGGGTTGTGGACAGGACCAAAAGGGTAGACCACCCTGGAAATGAAGCGCAGGGACTCAATTCAGTTAGTGTTCTGCCTTTAAAATGTAGTCGCTGATGCTGTGTAAACAGAGACGGAGGCTGGAGTTCTAATTAGTCACATAGTGTTTCACTCAGGCAATGGGGTAAAAGGAACCTTTTTGTTTAAAATACCAACGAGGTGGAAGAGTTGTTGAGGCTGGTGCAAGGGGGTAGTAAGGAAGACTTAATATGATGAAATTTACAACAAGACACATTCAGCCTAAATGTTATAATAGATGTTGTAATAGAATAATTCCAAACAGCACCAGAGCTGAGATTTTAGTAACATGTAGAGGCCCTGAACCAGGTCCAGTATGCTGAGTGCTGTACAAACACATAATGAGAAACAGTCCCCATCGCAAAGAGCTTGTCGTCTAAATAGACCAGACAGACAGAGTGGCAATGGAAAGAGATCGGGAAGTGGCTTACCCAGAGTCACACAGCAGGTCAGCAGCAAAGATAGATCCCAGGTCTTGTGAATCCTCATCCAGTGCTTTGTCCGCTAGACCATACTGCCAGTCTAATCTAATCAAATTCTGTCCGTTCGGTCTTTAAAAAGCACCCATCACATAACAATTTGGGGGCTGGAATGCATTTCCTAAGGAAGTGGTGGAAGCCTCGTTGATTGTAGCATTTAAATGTAGACAGGAGAAAAAAAACCTGGCGAGTAGAAGATGTAAGAAACAATCATGCAGTGACACTGGGGGGTATAAGAAGTATCCTACCAGGTGTTTTCTGTGGTTACAGGTGGTTTCTGTGGATTTGATGATGGTTTCTATTGAATCACCTTTTGGAAGACTTTTTGAGCTTGTGGTTTTCAGCACACAACCAGCCTGAAATTGTGATCCCTTTTCCCCCTTTAGGACAACAGGATGACACAATTTCGGCATTTACAGCAAATGACCTATTGCCTGATAGAATGGAGATCGCAGATACTCTCTGGGACCCTTCCCAAAGATGAGTTGGCAGAACTCAAGAAGAAGGTCACTGCGAAAATTGACTACGGCAACAGGTAAACCCCACTCAGCGTTCCACGTAGAGCCAAGCTCCCAGCCGATGGTCTGAGACTAGGATTCCTGGGCTTGAGTAATCCGTATTAACCTGGTAGTAACAGCAGCTATCAATGGAGGCAGCATATCTAAAAATAAAGGCATGGTTTCTTACCTGAGATGATAATTGCATTGCAAAGACTTACTGGCACTTCATCAGCTCCTCGGAGTTTCAGTCCAAGCATTAAAAGAAAATCCTCTTATCTGCTGAACTTAGCAGATAGCTCACAGATTTTGCACCCAACCCAGCAACTTTTATTTGTACAAGTTATTCTGTTAACCTCACTATTAATGACTCGTGTAAGTAAAGGCCAAAGGATTGGGCCCTTCACTGGTTCTGTTACTTCAGTGCTGCCTGTATTTGGTTAGGAGAAGAGACAGTGGATAGGATCCTGGGAATTGGGAAGCCTGCATTCTATTCCTGGCTCTGCCACTGACCTCTTGTGTGTGACTTCGGAAAGTTTTGTTTCCCCTTTTATTTGTCATGTCTATTGAGCTTGCAAGCTTTTCCGGGAAAGGGCTGTCTCTTACTTTGTGTGTGTACAATGCCTAGCACAAAGAGATTGTGATCTTGGTTAGGGTCTGAAGGTACTACCATACCACAAACAATAACAATAAAATGGAGTATGGATCCTCTGTTTTGGGGTTAGTGAAGCCAAACCCTAACTGATGAGGGTTTGCAAATTCAGACTCAAACTCCTCTGCCCAGGTCCTCACTCAGATCTCGGGTGATTTACCGTCTGTAGGAGACAGAGGCCCAAAATGAAACCCAGAGTCAGAAGAGCCCCACACAGTGGGCGAGTGCAGATCTGAATCAAAATGCCCCTAATCTCTGAGCTGAGCTTTGCAGGTCAGACCCACCTCTAGGGTCTTCTGATGTTGATATTGTCACCCCCCCGTCCCTATCTGCCTCACTATACTTAATTAACTGTGCTGCAGCCCCAGAAGGGTACGATTGACAGGTAATTGGAGATTAAGGGCCTGCTTCTGTCACCTTGCGTCTTGCGTAGTCAGTTACACTGGTGCCAAATGGGCGTAGAATACGACCAGATTAGAAGGGCAGTGTTTTACATTCACTTTGTGCTGGTGCGAATGACAGCCCAAGGCGGCCCAGAATCAGGCTTTAAATGATTTCTCCCTGGAAAGGGGACAATGGGGGTTTTCACGCCCATTCGAAATGTGACTAAGCTAGCGGGAGTGGATGCAACAGCTTGGAGTTCATATGCCGGTGCTTGGCAAGCAACCTCACCTGTCTAAATTCTGCCAAGAAGCTGGCATCTCCCATGAAGTGTGGTTTGTGCCAGGCTGCCCGGGGTCAGGATTGAGATGCAAAGCAGGAACTACACTGCTTTATCAGCACGTTAAGTGCCACAGCTCTGTAGACCGCCCAAGCAGCATTTCATGGGTTTGTACAGACCAGAGATTGTCTCCGTGGCTCATTAATCTATTTGAAGGCAGAGTTGAAAAATTAACCATTTAACCTTCTTGCAGAAAGCTAGTAGATTTAGCACATGCACAGATATATCTCTTAAAAATACATGTAAATTCCCATTGAAGGGGTCTCATCTTAGCTAAACTAATTCATTAACTCTGCTCCTTTACTAGATATTTTCTTTACTGACCTTTTTTTTAAGGTGGGGATGAAGGACGGTATTTCTGGGCCTGGTCAAGTCTGAAGTTTGATATCTGTAGTTGGCACAATTTTCTGAGTCTCTGGGGGGCCCTGTCTGGACTAGAGGTTCTGGTCTGGTTGATCTCTCTAGCATGACTGTAACACATGTGCAAACCCTCAATCAACTGTAGCTCATGCTGTGAAAGCCAGGGGAGCCCCCCTCCCCCAAGGCTTCCACACAACCAAGGCTCTATCATGTCAGTTCATTCCTGTTTCCACCAACATGGACGGGGTTGCAGTTCATGAGAGAGGGATGTGGGAGATCTAAGCACTTCCTCTGCTGACTTCCTCCTCTGACTGCCTCCGCAGATACAGAGAGAGAATATTTGAAAATGAGTTTGCATGGTAGTTCCATACTTGTGTACTGTACCTCTGATCACTGGTTTTGAGACCACTGGGAGAACTGAGGGCTAGTTTCCTAGTCCATGTTCTGTCCTGGAGCAATCCCCCAGGATTCAAAGGAGAGCAAAGATGTATTCAAGCCACTGTTCCCTCTCCCCTGTCTTGAGCTGACCCCAAAAGAGCTCTCGTCCAGCTGAGGATCTTATCTCGAGGCTGGAGTCTTATGAAGGGCCCGTGTCTTCACTGACCTTCAGTGGTAGCATGACAAAATATTGTGATGTTATAGAGCTGTGATAGTTATAGAAGCAGGTTGCTGTAGTGACACTTGTCTGTTCATCTTCTCAGCTGTCACAGAGATGGACACTCCATTGGTTCTTTAAACAAATCCCTCCAGATTTTTTTTAAAAAGTTGCATGAACATTTTCTGTTCCATTTCCATGCCAACATTAAAAAGACTCTTGAAATTGCATTTGCTTCCAACTTATTGGCAATTATTCTCCCTTTCCACCTGTAACACGGATGCTGCCCAGGATTTTAGGGCTGGATCTAGTGGTGCGAGATGACAATGGAAACATCCTGGACCCGGATGAAACCAGCACGATCACTCTCTTTAAGTCCCATGAGATGGCATCCAAAAGGATCGATGAAAGGATCCAAGAGGAGAAGGTATGTCCCTGCTTGTTTGTGGCCTTACCCCCATGGAGTCACCTGTGCTCTCTGCCTTTGTGTATGTCAGCTGAATTTTTGGTTAAGGGATGTTATGCTGTCGTAGTGGTGTTCTATCTGGCATCAAAGCTAGACTGAATTCCACTGTGTTTCCATTAAAAACAAAGGGGGAAATCCATTTTAGCAATCCATTTAATGGGGACTGGGCATCCGGAGCTCATTGGAAGCTTTGAAATTCTCAGATAAACGCAGCTTGCTCCTAGCTTGTCCTAGCCAAAGTGCCTTAGTCACTTCAGAAAGTGAGACTTAGGCTCCTAAGTCACTTGAGCACTTTTGGATATTTAATTTAACCATAAGCATTCTTCTTTTTCCTCCTCTAGTTAAAGACATACAAGGTGTGATTTATTTGTTGTTCTTGTAAACGTATATGCATGTTACATGTATACGAGCCACTCTGGGACACAGACGCTTCTGTGATGCAACGTGGGTTGCTCCATCAGTCCTCCTGTCCCACTGAATGAATCGACCATCAGTCCTGTCTAGAAATTAGTTGAATCCTTAAGGAGACCCAGCACTAAGCTTTATCCTACCTGAAGCCTCTATCCTTTCTAAGGAGACACCTTCTTGTTCATTTTATCTTTCTCTGCAGTCTCTGCAACAGAATGTAGACCTCCGAGGGCAGCCAGTATTCAACTCAACACACACCTATGGCCTGTATGTGAACTTCAAGAACTTTGTCTGCAACATTGGAGAAGATGCAGAGTTGCTCATGAGCCTCTATGATCCCGACCAGTCGAAACTGATCAGGTAGGTTGCTGCTGAATGGGAAAGTTCCCTGTTGTTCTGTGGTGATTGTGGTGCCCCATCCGATGGCGCTGCAAAGAGGGCCATAAGGGAGGAGTTTGGTTAGGGTTGTTTTCTTCTTTAGTCTTTTGTTCTTTCTTTTGGTTACTCCATCAACAGTGATTTGGGTAGGAATTATTTTACCTCAAATGAGACCTAAAACCAAGATCCTGAGCCCATGTGATCCTTAAAAATCCCACGACACTTGTTAAAGGGGTAAGCATATTCACCCCAATACATTAGTCAAATTCCAATTTGTCCCTTTACATTCTACTTACCTTATATCCCCTTGCAGTGTTCCCTTTTCGACTGAATATGTTTTCTTCGCTGTCGGCCTTAAACAGTGTCTATAGGTTTGGTGTGTTCTGTTCAACAGCTGCCTCTCTCCACCCCAGAGGGGCTGCATTTCACCAATGGGTGAAGTGACTTCCGTGTATCATTTGTATATCACTTGGGGATTAAAGGTGTTGGTTAAAATGTTGTAAAGTGCCTAAGTGACTTAGATGTTTTTGAAAATTTTACCTAGTATACATGAATTGCAGAGGTTTATTTTATTTTATTTATAGTGAAAATTACCTGGTTCGTTGGGGCAGTAATGGGATGCCGAAGGAAATTGAGAAACTTAATAATCTCCAAGCGATCTTTACAGTAAGTCCTGTTGTGTTTGCAGCCTGGAAATTCTCCAATGCTTAGTCATCCACTGTAATATTTATTATTATTATTATTATTTGCTGCTTCTCTTGGAGAAGCCCCTAGAGTCCCCAATCAAAACCAGTGCTGTATAAATACCAAACCTATTATCCTCCCTTTCCCTTTTTTAATGAGTCTTGTATAAACACGACAATTCTCTTGTATTCTGTGGGAGGAAGCTTTTGTATCTGGCAAATGCGGATTTACTTTGGCAAGATGACCTGGGTCAACCAGTATGTTACCAACCAAACAGGAAAGTTATGTACAGTGTAAGTGCCACAACAAAGACATGCCCTTGCTTTATATTCCTCACCACCTCAACCTAGTTTGCCAGGATTTTCAAAGCGATTAGTAATGTTTAGGTGCCCAACTGAAACATCTTAATTAAAGGAGTCTGATTTTGAAAGAGTGCCGAATACAGTGTCCTTTGAAAATCAGGACCCTTTCAAAATGTCTTAAGTTGGGCATTGAAAATCATATGTCACTTAGACAGCTCTTTGCAGCTCATACAGACAAAGGCTTTTGTAATCCTTAGCAGAGTAGCGAAGTGACAAGCTTGATCAGCAAAGAAGTACAGAAGAGACCGCATCTGATATGTTGCACCTCATTTTAAAACACAACGGTTTTAGTGGCACTGGAGTTAATTTTTAAAATGAGAAGTTGCACCTTCCAAAAATGCATGAATACCAATTATGTTCATTGGACCTTTGCTCATGGAAATCATGTATGCATGCAAACAATTGAGCTGCATCCACAATTCTTTTGCCAGCAGAAAGTTTTCCATGCTTTTTGCTTGGATAATTAAGGTTGCACAGACAAGCTGGGGTGTCCGCATTTGAAAATATGCCCCATCATGATTTTTTAATATCTGTAAGGGTATATATTTTTTCCAAAGACTGCATTTTAAAGGTATTTTGGTGCCTGAAGATGCAGATAGGCACTTTCGGAAATCCTATTGAATGTCTAGCTGCATTTTTAGGCACCAAAATAGATTTAGAAATTGGGTCCTAGGTGCCTTGTTGTTTGTTTTCAATTGAATTCTCCTATTTAGGAGGAGTTGAGCTTGAGTGCATTGTTGGTTCTGTTCTTTGGCAGGGTTTCTGTGTCAATATTTTGCTCTTAGTTCTGAGTTTGTACAGGCATTAGTGAGCTAGCTAGCTGGATTGTACAAAATCACTTGTAACCAGCTGTTCATGAAAGAGTAACACTTCAGTGTAATCATATGTGGCATGTTCAGACTAGAAACAAGAGTGGCACAAGCTAACTGTCCTGTCATCCAGTAGATAATGCTTTAATAATAAAATTATTTACCATCGTTTCCAGAACTGGTGCTGGGAAGTCTTATTGAAGGACAGCGTGTTGTTAAGAAGTTGCTATGTGTTAAAATTTGTCAGGCACATGCCATATATTTGCCTTAGCAGCCCTTTTATAAGTGAGATTGTGCTTTCTTTCTTGTCAGAAATTTATCTCCTAGCTTAAATATGTTTGTCCTTGTCAGATGGCCGGGAAGTGATGAACATTGGCAAATGTCTTTTTGTTTTTTCTACGTTCACAAAGCAACTGGGTTTAATTTTCTCTATTTTAAATGGTCTCTGCTGTTTCTCCAGGACCTGAGCAGCTCTGACCTGATTAGGCCCAAAATCAGCTTGGTGTGTCAAATTGTGAGAGTGGGGCACATGGAGCTAAAAGATGGGAAGAAACACACTGGTGGGCTCCGGAGACCGTTTGGGGTGGCAGGTATGAGATGCCGAGCTGCAGAATGCATTAACTGAGAGAGACCATGGTCCAGTGGATCGGACACTGGCTTGGGAATCGGGAGATTTGGGGCTATGTCACTGAACTTGGGAAAGTCAATTAACTCTGCCTGTTTCCCCATTTGTAAAATGGGTAGAATAATACTGACCACTTGCTTTTGTAAAATCTTTTGAGATTTACAGAGGAAAAAGTTCTCTGTGATAGCTACATATTATTACTATTTGCTACTTATTATGCCCTCCATACTTAAACTTCTAGTCCCATGAAGCAGGGATGTCCCAATCAATTTTCAAATCCTTATCACGGTGTCATTTCGAGGCTTGGATTTTCAAAGGAGCCTTAATGAGCTAGGTGCCCAGTTCCCATTGAGTTAGGCACCTAATACCCTTGGCCTGCTTTGAAAATCTCAATCTGAAAACACCCAGGAAAAATTAAAATTAAACTTTGAAATTAACAGAATGTGAAATCTAAAGGTAAATTCTTTGTTTTGATCAAATCTTTGTAAATCCCATCTGTTCTTATAGGGAAGAATATTCATGTTTTTATGCTATAGGCTGGATCGATGAAAAAAACTGCATGTGGAATTTGCTTTACCTGCTACGAGGATGAGAACACTGAAGGCTGGAATTATGTCAATCAATCAGATTAACAATGCAAATAGGACAATTGACTGGCTGAAGAGAGAGTTGAGCAAACTATTATTCATCTTCTAGGAGGGGAATCAGTATTTTCTGCTTCCACTCGGTTTTTGGAAAGTAGATTGATTTCCTTGAAGGGATCAATAAACAATTTACAAAGCAAAATTCCACTTAGATCTTGTTTAGACTCAGCAAATTTTGTCAAAATTTTCCCATCATTGCAAATGATGATCCTGCTCCACCAGTCAGAACAACATTATGGAAAAACTAGTATGGATGGGTTGCTGCTTATGGTTCCAATGCTGTGTCAGCCAGACCTGCTTGGTGCTTAAAAAAACCAGTGGCCGTTTAGGTCTCCCAAATTTGTTACCACTAGTGTAGCTGAATCAGAATTAACATCTGTTGGGCAAGCCATTTTTTTTTTAAAAAGTCACTTAGTAAAGGTATAAAATGATTTTTGTTAAACTTGTCTCATTGCAGTAATGGACATTACTGATATCATACATGGGAAGGTGGATGATGAGGAAAAGCAACACTTTATTCCTTTTCAGCAGTAAGTATTGGACATCAGAGTGAGTCACGGAGCTGTATGAATCAGGACAGACAGTCTTTAGAGAATGACAATGTCTGTATGGGAGATTTGGGGTGTATCAGAAAGGCCTGTACAGACACACTGGTTAATTGTAGAGTCTGATCCTTTTGGAAGAAAAAAGTCTCCAGTCATGTAAAGCCCAAAGTTTGCAGCAAGGTGATTGACTCAAGCGTCATCAGTAAAAACCACCTCAGCTTGATTTATGCTCTGTGACAGGGAAAACACAGCCACTGGAAGGGAGATGGCTGACGGGGTGGTATCTTAGCACTAGATTTGAAGTAGACAGACTCCCTGGAATCAAACGTTCAAATCATAGAAGGATGAATTGAGGGCGGGTCTACACTACGGGCTTAAGTCAACCCATGTAGTTGGAGTTGACGTAGCTTAGGTTGACTTATTGCGGTTCTGTACCACACTGGGTTGATGGGAGAAACTCTCCTGTTGACTTAGCTTACGCTTCTCGTTCCGGTGGAGTACCGGAGTCAAGGGGAGAGTGATCTGCGGTTGATTTAGCGAGTTTTCACTAGACCTGCTAAATCGATCCCCAGTGGATCAGTCACCCGCAGCGTTGATCCCAGGTGAGTGTAGACATACCCTCAGAGTCCAATGCACATTAGAGGGTGGGTTCCTATAGACAAGACCTCGAAAATGGAAGCATCATCTACTGTGTATGGGTATTGGGGGTGGGATTTTCAAAAGCAACTAAATGATAGGGAGTACAAATCCAACTGAATTTCCCTTGTCTTCACCACTGTGCATCATCTGTCTGAGGATGGAGTAGGAGGAATCGGATAAAGAGAATAGAAGTCAGGGGTGAAATGATTCCTGGCTGCATGGTTACAATTTCTGGTTTGGAGAGGAGATTCAAGCCCCAGACCTGTGCCTTTCTGCCTCTCTAGTTAGACTGGCTCTTTGATGGCGCTGTTAACTTGTTCAGCGTGTTACAGTATTGAAAATGAAGCTTGTTTGGGTAAGCTGAACTGTGTTATTACAATCCTAAATATAGCAGTTTGTTTGGTTCAGCCAGCATGTCATTACGAGGGACTCTCGGTGGAGAATTTTTTTATTCCTTTCATGGCCTGTTTATATGACTAGAAAAAGTGCCCCAAAGGGTGTTTTTCCTTTCCACAATAACGTGGATTTACAACTTTTTTTTGCCTGTCTTTGCTGCAGGGACATTGTAATTAGAGATTAGCTCATGATGCAGAGTCTGAATCCAAATCTAGGCTCTTCCAAAGTTTGGGGGTTCATATTTGGATGGAGTGGGAGGGAGGGCTTGCTTTGGCTTGTTAAAGACAATAGGGGCCAAATCCAAAGGTCAGAAATATTTGGATCCAGGACTTGCTTGGCCTTCAGTCTGCCTGCACCCCATCTTCTGTTGTTCCGCTTATCAGAATCGCCATGGAAACCTACATTAGGCAGCGACAGCTAATCATGTCTCCTCTAATGACTTCCCATGTGATCGGTGAGAATGAGCCTCTCACTTCGGTCTTCAACAAAGTCATCGCTGCAAAGGAAGTGAATCATAAAGGGCAAGGTAGGCACATTTGGACAAGGAGCCAGCTTCACAACCTGGGGCACGGGAAAGGCTCCCTCTCTTACAAAGGAATTGAATTATTTGCGAAGGTTCAGAAATCAAGGCCACTAGAGTCTGTTGCTTCCACTGGGCCAGACTGTGAAATGATGCTATCTCATCACCAAAGCTAAAAGCATGAGCTGCGAAAGCTCCCTAGCTGGGCTATAACAGACTCATATCCTCTGTGGATTGGGCAAGGAGGGAGACTGCAACAGACTCACCAGTGGTTTATACTTACTAAGTATTTATTCCATCCTTACTCAAAACAGAAGACTTGTCCATTTCCCCCACTAAACTTGTTTGCCGCCAGTGTTGTAGTTACCTTGGTAAACTACACTCCACAGCTTACATCTCCTTTTATCCCATCACACCCAACCCCTCTGTTTCTCCTCAATGATTTGGATGTGTCTGAAACCTTATGGTTTGGATTCTGCCGCCCTTGCTCAAATTAAATAGTACCTTACTCCAGTGACAGTTCCACTGTAATTCTGGGTCTACTTGCAGAATTAGGTAATAGTCAGCCATGAGTAAGTGTTGGAGAATCAGGTCCAGTGGAAACTTGGGGTTGCATATTTTAGCTGTGTGTTTGGGATACTACATTATATATATCAAACAAGAAAATAGTCATTAGTTTTCTCTCCTTAAGCCCAGGGTTCATGGTCATACTGTAAGGAGAGTGATCACTTAAGATGAGCTATTATCAGCAGGAGAGGGGGGGGGGGGGGGGGGAGAAAACCTTTAGTAGTGATAATCAAGGTGGGCCATTTCCAGCAGTTAACAGGAACGTCTGATGAAGTGAGCTATAGCTCACGAAAGCTTATGCTCAAATAAATTGGTTAGTCTCTAAGGTGCCACTAGTACTCCTTTTCTTTTTGGTCATACTATAGACATTGCACTTGTACCAGTAAACATTTATTAAGTACCATATTTTTTTCTTAGGCCTCTGGGTCTCCCTGAAGCTGTTACCTGGAGACTTAGCCCAGGTTCAGAAGGATTTTTCTCATCTTGTCGACAGATCGACTGCAGTGGCTCGCAAAATGGGATTCCCTGAGATTATTCTGCCCGGTAGGTATCTTATCTTCATGAGCACAAACTCTGACTTGCTACCGTGCTTGTGAAGGACGTAGGAAGACACAGAAATCCTGAATTTACCTGTTGTGCAGAGCTTTGTTCCATAGTTGGTTGAAAAGTGTGTGGTGTTTTCCACTAAAATTTTCAAAGAAGATTAACATTTTCCTATTTTGTCAAAAACTTTCAACCAGATTTCGGAATTTCATCAAAGAAGTGAAAACTTTGAAAATTTTCAGTTTTGTTTCTGTTATATTTTATTTAAGGAAACCTGAAAAATGTCAATGAATGGAATTTTTTGTAAGAACGTTACCATTTAATCAAAAAGCCATCTTTCATCGTGACATTCCCCCCCCCCCCCCCCCCCGTTCTATTGAATTCACATAGGGAGGAATTCACCCTGGCAGATAGGAAAGAGAAATACAAAAGGTACAAACTTGGTCATGGCATAATGGAATATGAAGCTTCCTTGCCTTTTATTCATGAGTCCATTTGTGGTCATAAAGAGAGGGGTTGTGTGGAAGTCATGCACGTAAGAATTATTAGCAAGAAGATTGGCACGTGGTAGAGTCTGACCCCAAAACTGAGGTGAAGATGAGACCAGTGGTTCAATCTAGAGCTTCCTTGTTGTCATTCAAGGATGTGAAATAACATGGTCAAAGTCCCATGCGGGGTTGTGAAATGTTAACCCCGTAACTTTCCCCAGCTGGCTGTCTGTGGAAAGCGGCTCACCGGGAGTCTCTTAACGTTTCAGGTGATGTTCGAAACGACATCTACATCACGCTGAAAGAAGGGGAGTTTGACAAAGGGAAGAAGAAGACTCCCAAGAATGTAGAGGTCACCATGTCTGTGCATGATGAAGATGGCAACCTCTTGGAGGTAGGGTGGACCTGCTTGGGTGGTGGGTGACAAAGATGTTGCTTTATGCACGTAGTGGGCTGCTGCAGGATCTCCAGCTGAGATGGCCCTTAATGGAGATCCTTTGTGCAAGGACTGTGTGACTGTTCAGTTAAGGTAATTCTAGGGGACCTCTGTGATTACATTGCTGGGAAAAGCAACAGAAAATGTAATGGACACGCCTGCATTGGTTGAAGGATGGATTAGATGACATAGTGGGTCTTTTCCGCTTCAAACATCAATAGGAGGCATAGGATATAGGTACGGTGAGTGCAGTGGTTAGAGCATGGTTCTGGGAATCAGGACTCGTGGGTTCTGTTACCTCTGCTACTTTTATTTTTCTTCCCCCAAACTTGAGCGTTAAGGTTCAGTTAGTCACGTAGGCAACTCAACTGCTGGCGCACAGCTGAAGGTTGCATCCCTTGGCAGCTGGTGACTAGATTGTAGTCTTGGCAGTAATTTACCAAAATAAACAGGGGTCTCACAGAGGCCTCTGGATGCTGAGCTTTAAGTCTCTGTATAACCCTAGATTATTCCAATCTTTTATACAATGAATTTTAGGACTCTGTCCTACTGAATTTACACATTAATATTGATGTAAGGAAATCTTTGAAGGTTACAAGTAAAATGTACAAAAAGTACCAAAATGACTTAGACGGCTAAGTCCCATTTTCAAAAGTGATTTAGGCTCCTGAGTGCCTAAGTCACTTGAAATGGGACTTAGGCTCCTAAGTCACTTAGAGGCTTTTGAAAATTTTACCCTCGGTATTTTTTCCTGACTTTATTTGATCTTCACCTTCTGCTTGTCTTTTTCCCCAAAGAAAGCTATCCATCCAGGTGCTGGTTATGAAGGGATCTCCGAATACAAGTCTGTTGTTTATTATCAAGTCAAGCAGCCTTGCTGGTATGAAACTGTAAAGGTGAGTGTGTGTATTTTACAGTCCTGCTCCCTTCACATGGAGCCTAAAGAATAAGACAAATCAACAAACCTTGAATCAGCAGAGGACATGTAGACTAGCATGTTGTCCTACGTGGTCTAGAGAGACAGTGTTGTCTGGTTTTTCAGCAAACAGGACTCTGGTCCACTTTTAGCTGCAGAAAAGGTATCATCACTGGATCTGTGGTGTGCTTTGAAAAACCATCCGCACCCTTGCTGTAAACAGAGCAGAGTATCTTTGAGATAACTAAAGGGTTTAACTGCTAATATGAATTGGACAGGGTTGGGGGCGTGTCTCTGAAATGGAAAGAACAGACCTGCTTTTCTGCACTTGGAATCCTGGTAAAATAAAACCTCAAAAGGCCCTTCCATTACTTCCTAAACGTTTTTCGTGATGGAAGAGAGAGAGCGTCCTGGATTCCAGACATGATTGAGGCTCTGATTGATTGCATAACCCTGGCCAAGCCAACTGGCCACCTGTACTTCTATAAGGTGATGCATCTGAGAAGAGCTTTCCCAGTAACATAAAGTACAAATGCACATATATTTGTGCATGTGTGTTTATCTGCACACACGCGCACACACACACAAAGTAATTTAAATACCTAGATACCCAAAGGATTCAGGGCTGAACGGCTTTAGCAAATGTTTTCATGAAGATAATGCAAAGAGGATGAGGGGATAACGCTTTCAAAAGGGCCTACGGGAGTTAAATGCTCAAATTTCATTCAGTCTCAATGGCATTTGCTTGTTGAATTCCCTGCGATCCTTTGAAGATCTTAAACGGAAGTAGAGATGAGTTTTCAAATGTAGGGCCCGGGACAAGAACTCCTGGATTCTCTTTCTGACTTTTCCACTGATGTGTTACATTGGGTAAGGTACTTCATCTCTCTAGCTATACTTTCCCCATCTGCAAAATGGTTATAAGGCTTTAGCGTGAGGGATTGGGGCATGTTATGAGACTTGCTTTGCTAGTGTTTGTAAAATATGTTGTGTTCCTCCTAATAAGAGGCATATGAGAAGCCCTAATTGTTGTTCTATTTGACCCCTCACGTAACGTTCAGGTGTCTATTGCAATTGAAGAGGTCAGTCGTTGCCATCTGAGGTTTACGTTCCGTCACCGATCATCACAGGAATGTAAGTACTTGGAGCAGAGATCAGGGAGGTTTTTCCCCCCATGTATATTGTGCACTTCATAGCCTAGGTATGTTTCTGAGCGTCCCGCAAAGATGGAACCAGCATTTGGCCTTCCTTCTAACTTGTTGTCTGCTGGGAAGGGGATGGTTCAGAGTTTGGGATTGGCATGGACCAGCAAGGGAATCTTTTCTGATGAGCCCCCTCAACATAATGGGGGAGCAAAACTGGGCTGCTATTCTAAGAAAACAGGCTTTTCCCATTGGATTTCCGGCACTTTTGCTTCTGATTCTGGTTGGAAATCCCGCAGCAGCAGCCTTTCTTGGTGTGTTTCGGCATTTCCCACTTACTGATTGGAAGCAGGAAATGAGAATGACACATGCAAATGGGGAGAAACAGTTATTTGAACCTTAAAATGGCTTTGTCTATAAAAATGGGAAACAGGACTGCTTGTCCTTGGTGCCGAGGAGCTGAACTACTCCTTTTATTTTTAAGTCCTTTACAAAAGTCAGTGCCGGAATGCGCTGTGACTCAGGTCTTGATGGCCTCGTTGCAGGAGGAATCATAGAATCATAGAATATCAGGGTTGGAAGGGACCTCAGGAGGTCATCTAGTCCAACCCCCTGCTCAAAAGCAGGACCAATCCCCAATTAAATCATCCCAGCCAGGGCTTTGTCAAGCCTGACCTTAAAAACTTCTAAGGAAGGAGATTCTACCACCTTCCTAGGTAACGCATTCCAGTGTTTCACCACCCTCCTAGTGAAAAAGTTTTTCCTAATATCCAACCTAAACCTTCTCCACTGCAACTTGAGACCATTACTCCTTGTCCTGTCCTCTTCTACCACTGAGAATAGTCTAGAACCATCCTCTCTGGAACCACCTCTCAGGTAGTTGAAAGCAGCTATCAAATCCCCCCTCATTCTTCTCTTCTGCAGACGAAACAATCCCAGTTCCCTCAGCCTCTCCTCATAAGTCATGTGTTCCAGACCCCTAATCATTTTTGTTGCCCTTCGCTGGACTCTTTCCAATTTATCCACATCCTTCTTGTAGTGTGGGGCCCAAAACTGGACACACTACTCCAGATGAGGCCTCACCAATGTCGAATAGAGGGGGACGATCACGTCCCTCGATCTGCTCGCTATGCCCCTACTTATACATCCCAAAATGCCATTGGCCTTCTTGGCAACAAGGGCACACTGCTGACTCATATCCAGCTTCTTGTCCACTGTCACCCCTAGGTCCTTTTCCGCAGAACTGCTGCCTAGCCATTCGGTCCCTAGTCTGTAGCTGTGCATTGGATTCTTCCGTCCTAAGTGCAGGACCCTGCACTTATCCTTATTGAACCTCATCAGATTTCTTTTGGCCCAATCCTCCAATTTGTCTAGGGCCCTCTGTATCCTATCCCTGCCCTCCAGCGTATCTACCACTCCTCCCAGTTTAGCATCATCCGCAAATTTGCTGAGAGTGCAATCCACACCATCCTCCAGATCATTTATGAAGATATTGAACAAAACCGGCCCCAGGACCGACCCCTGGGGCACTCCACTTGACACCGGCTGCCAACTAGACATGGAGCCATTGATCACTACCCGTTGAGCCCGACAATCTAGCCAGCTTTCTACCCACCTTATAGTGCATTCATCCAGCCCATACTTCTTTAACTTGCTGACAACAATACTGTGGGAGACGGTGTCAAAAGCTTTGCTAAAGTCAAGAAACAATACATCCACTGCTTTCCCTTCATCCACAGAACCAGTAATCTCATCATAGAAGGCGATTAGATTAGTCAGGCATGACCTTCTCTTGGTGAATCCATGCTGACTGTTCCTGATCACTTTCCTCTCATGTAAGTGCTTCAGGATTGATTCTTTGAGGACCTGCTCCATGATTTTTCCAGGGACTGAGGTGAGGCTGACTGGCCTGTAGTTCCCAGGATCCTCCTTCTTCCCTTTTTTAAAGATTGGCACTACATTAGCCTTTTTCCAGTCATCCGGGACTTCCCCCGTTCGCCACGAGTTTTCAAAGATAATGGCCAATGGCTCTGCAATCACAGCCGCCAATTCCTTTAGCACTCTCGGATGCAACTCGTCCGGCCCCAGGGACTTGTGCACGTCCAGCTTTTCTAAGTAGTCCCTAACCACCTCTTTCTCCACAGAGGGCTGGCCATCTATTCCCCATGTTGTGATGCCCAGCGCAGCAGTCTGGGAGCTGACCTTGTTAGTGAAGACAGAGGCAAAAAAAGCATTGAGTACATTAGCTTTTTCCACATCCTCTGTCACTAGGTTGCCTCCCTCATTCATTAAGGGGCCCACACTTTCCTTGGCTTTCTTCTTGTTGCCAACATACCTGAAGAAACCCTTCTTGTTACTCTGAACATCTCTTGCTAGCTGCAGCTCCAGGTGCGATTTGGCCCTCCTGATTTCATTCCTACATGCCCGAGCAATATTTTTATACTCTTCCCTGGTCATATGTCCAACCTTCCACTTCTTGTAAGCTTCTTTTTTATGTTTAAGATCCGCTAGGATTTCACCGTTAAGCCAAGCTGGTCGCCTGCCATATTTACTATTCTTTCGACACATCGGGATGGTTTGTCCCTGTAACCTCAGCAGGGATTCCTTTAGATCAAGTCCATGAGAGGCTAATAAGAAAGTTACATAGCCAGAGATCTCATGAAGCTATTTCAGAGCTGTGGGTGGCCCCATAAGATCAGATCATAGCCTGAGAAACTGATCCAAAAAGGGCAGTAAGACACTGTAACAGGGCCTCCTTGGTCCTGCTTCTGTCTTGGTCAACAAATCACGCAGAGACCCTTGTGCTGGTTTAACATCCTGTGCAGTTTATTTATAATTGAGTCCCACCACCTTCATAGTGTAACTAGAGCGTTTACCTCGCACTGCCTGCTTTCCCCCTTTTCACTTCCTTCCGGTGCCTATTTGTGGGCTCTGGCTAACGGCTTCGTTAGCCTTTCTGCCCTGCCCCGCCCCACCCACAAATTAGGCGTAGGTCTGCCTCATCAGCTCCAATCTGCTATGCCTGATTGGAGCCGTTGTGAACAGAGTGCTGACGCAGGGTTTCCTATTTAGCAATCTGTCACAGACACAAATCCATAGAGTTAAATGCAAGATGTGGTGCCAGATTTGCAAAAATAGAGGCAGTAGGTACAAGTTCAGAAAAGCATGCGTTTGCATTCACAATTCCTCTGATTACATGCACAAGTGATTATAAGCTCCTTGGGGCAGAGACTATCTCTTTGTTCTGTATTTGTTCAGTGCCGAGCAAAAGGGGGCCATGGGCTATGACCAGAACTCCTAGCTATTGGAATGCAAATAACAAATACATTAACATTTAAGGCTGTGATTCGCAAAACTGCCTAAGTGATTTGAATGCTCAATTAACATTAAAATGAGGCATCTTTGGAAAATGTCTGCCTAAACCTCTATGCAGAATTGCATGCCCCTGTGTAGGCATGCAAATTGCAGTGCATTTCTTCTTGCATCTACCCATTGAAAATTTGGACATAATGAGGCATTAACAAGGAAGTGTTCCCATCTTATTGTAAAAATGGTCTATTGTGCCTTGAGATGTGTTGCAGTGAAATAGTGCCTTTTAAACAGAAGTTATTACTCTTGCTTTGTTCCTTAGTAGCAGCAAGTAAAAAAGGAACCTTCCCATGGGTTGGGAGCTGGGAGAAAATCCAGGAGACAGACTAGAGGTCCCTTTTAGTGAAGGTTATGTTCTTTCTCTTTGCAGCCAGGGATAAATCGGAGAGAGCTTTCGGGGTGGCCTTTGTGAAACTGATGAATGCGGATGGAACAACTCTGCAGGATGGCAAACACAATTTAGTCATTTACAAGGTAGTTTGGGGAAAAAAACCCTTGGTTGTGCAATCCTTGTACTAGCTGAAAGTCTTTCCCAGCCATGTATGTTGTCTCCTGGTAACACAAGCCCTACTTTACTCACCAATGCAAAGATCCCTTTCAACCTGTTAACCGCCAGAGTCTGAGAACCAGTGACACGCTAATTTATGGTCAGGATAAGTCACCGTTAAATAAGGTTGCACTGGGTGGATCTCTGATCACTTTGACACAGGTCTGATACATTCTTGTAGTAGCTTGTGAATCCATTTTACTTGTTTGCTGTATTTGGCTCCGTAACCCAGACAGCCTGTAGAGAAATGGCATGGAGTCACATCTTTTCCTTTTCTGCCTTTAGGGCAGAAGGCGAAAATCATGTGTAGTCAAAATTACCCTTGAAAATCCCTTAAATCGCAAACCGGAGTGCTGCAGGGTGGCCAGGAGCATTGTCTATGATCAGCAGCACTTTAAAGTCAAGTCCTTTCTCTTCGCGGTACTGCTTGGCCTCCGGAATGAAACACGTGTGGAACCAATCCAGAAAGAATGCTGCCATCACCGGACCCTCTTTATTTGGTTGCCAGAACACAGGCAGGAGATTTTTGTTTTTGCCTTTTAGGGCACGGAGATTTGCAGCCCTATAGAGCAAGCCCGGCTTTATTAAATGTCCAGCTGCATTGCCACAAAACAACACAACCACACAGTCTTTAGCTGCTTTGAAGCCAGGGGTTTGTCTTTCTGATTTTGAAGGGTACGTGCGGTTGGGCATTTTTTTCCAGAAGAGCCCAGTCTCGTCAGCATTAAAAACTCGTTCCGGAAGATAGCCCTTTTTTCTTCGATGATTTTTTTTTTAATTGTTCGGGATACGCTTTTGCTGCCTCTTCATTGGCAGATGCAGCTTCACCAGTCGTCTGCACGTTTCTGAGGTTGAAGCGGTTCCTAAAACTGTTAAGCCAGCCTTGGCTGGCTTTGAATTCCTTCTCATCAGAAGGCTGTCCCTCTTCGGCGGGAGGTTTCAACAGCCCATAGAGGCTGTCTACGCTACCCGCTGGATTGGCGGGCAGCCGTCAACTCACCGTAGTGAAGACACCATGATGAGTCAATCTAAGTACATCGATTTCAGCTCCGTTATTCACGTAGCTGAAGTTGCGTAACTTAGATCAATTCTACCCCCCCCTCCCTCCCACGGAGCGCAAATAGTTGAATTCGTGTAAGTTAAATGCGCATATGATGCGACTCACCTGTATAGGTAAACTACAATACAGAGAGAGGAAAGCTGGTCTGGTGGTTAGGGAATTAGCCTAGAACTTTGGAGATGCAGGTACAAGCTCCTTTTTTGCGGGGAAATGGCTTAGTATCTCTGTGCTTCAGTTCCCAATCTATAAAATGAGGGTGACGGCACTTTCCTACCCCACAGGGGTGTTGAGAAGATAAATGCATTAGAAGAGTGCAAGGTGCTCAGATAGTCTGAGGATGGAGGCCAGATAAGTGCCTTGGATAGAATGTGATTTTTCCATGCTCAACTTAAAAAGAATTCCAGTCCATAACAGATGTGAAAACTGCTGAAAAAACATGCAGTCTGCTGCAGTGTTGGAGAGTATTCGTAGCTAATGAGTGCCTGCCTCCTATGTGGACAGGGGCAAGATGGAGTATTGTCAGTGTCTGAAAATGACCCCCCCCTCCCCCAACTATGTTCTATCAACAGGGCGATAACAAGAAAATGGAAGACGCTAAATTCTACTTAACTCTTCCTGGCACAAAAGTGGAGGAGGAGAAGGACGGCCCCCCAGGCAAAAACCTGCACCACTTGGCCAACTTCACGCCCACTAAAGACAGCACGAAGGACAGCTTCCAGATTGCCACTCTCATCTGCTCCACCAAACTGACCCAGAACGGTAGGTCTGGTGCTAGCAGTGGGGTGGGCGCTATGCTGTGCTGGGAGAACTGTCTGCCAGGTGAACTAGGCCCTCCCCCTTACACGAAGACTCTCTTAGACACTTTTAGGCGAGAGACTACTTTAACCTGCACCTTCTTACACCTTCCTGTTAGGGGAGAGAGCGACTCTCTTCTGGTCCTCCAGTGTGAATCATAGAAATGTGGGGCTGGAAGGGCCCTCGAGAAGTGGTCAAGTCCAGCACTGTATGCTGAGGCAGGACCAAGTCAACCTCGACCATCCCAAACAGGTGTTTGTTCAACCTGTACTTAAACACCTCCAATGATGGGGATTCCGCCACACCCTTTGGAAGCCTATTCCAGAGCTTAACTACCCATGAAGTTAGAAAGTTTTTCCTAATATCTATCCTAAATTTCCCCTGCTGCAGATTAAACCCATTACTACTTGTCCTACTTTCAGTGTACATGGTGAACAATTGATCAGTCCTCTTTATCACAGCCCTTAATATATTTTTAGGCCGTTACCAGGTTCCCTGCTCAGTTGTCGTCTCTCAAAACTAAACATGCCCAGTTTTTTTAACCATTCCTCGTAGGTCAGAGTTTCTAACCTTTGCTCATTTTTGTTGCTCTCCTCTGGAATCTCTCCATTTATTCCACATCTTTCCTAAAGTGTGGTGTCCAGAAGTGGACACAGTACTCCAGGCTTCAACCCAGGGACAATTACCTCTTATGTCATATAATCATAGACTATCAGGGTTGGAAGGCATCTCAGGAGGTCATCTAGTCCAGCCCCCTGCTCACAGCAGGACCAATCCCCAATTTTTGCCCCAGGTCCCTAAATGGTTCCCTCAAGGATTGAATTCTCAACCCTGGGTTTAGCAGGCCAATGCTCAAACCACTGAGCTATCCCTCCCCCAAGGGATATAACACTCCAATTAATTCACTCCAGAACATGGGCTTTTTTTCATGGCTGCAACACATGGTTGACTCGTCTTCAATTTGTGATCCATTATAACTACCAGATCCTTTTCAGCAGCATGACCACCTAGCCAGTTATTCTCCGTTTTGCCGTTGTGCATTTGATTTGTCCTTCCTAAGTGAAGTATTTTGTACTTGTCTCTGTTGAATTGCATCCTGTGGAATTCAGCTCAGTTCTCTAATTTGTCAAGGTCATTTTTAATTCTCATCCTGTCCTCTAATGTGCTTGCAACCCCTTCCAGCAGATAACGTGTTATCTGCACGTTTTAGAGGTATTCAACTGGAGACAAGGCCAAAATCAGTGGTGATGGGTAAAATGTATATGTGGGGATGGGTCACATATTAGTAAGTGACAGTGAGACTGTCAGTCTAAATCTAGAAGGGAAATCATAGTATAACATACTATGTGGTTTTGGGGTGGAGAGACTGTAAATTATGCCAACTCAGATCCTTTGGACTAAATTTGGCCTTCTGTGTCTTGATTGCATATTATGTGCCTGCTCTTCCTTTAAAAGGTAGTGACCAAGTTTATTTGCAGGCGGTGGTTGAGATCTTCAAAGCAGTCTAGGGGATTTACACACACATCTACTGGTAGCTTTCATGGAGGCTGTGTCTAAATCCCCTAGTCTGTTTTGAAAATCTCAGCTACAGTCTGTCACTGAATTTGATGTCCCTGGATGGTCCAGAGCTGTGATCAATGAAGCCAAAACCTTAACTCGCTTCCTAAAAGAGGCTTAAAATGGGGCTTTAAGCAGCGTTCTGAAAACTCTGAAGGAAACGTAAGAACATTTGTCAGTCAATCATTCAGTCTGATGGATTTCCCAGCTTATGGGTGTCCGCTCTTAAGTAAATGAGAAGTCTGCAAAATTGCATGTTTCATGTGCTAAGATTTAAAATCATAGAATACAGGGTTGGAAGGGACCTCAGGAGGTCATCTAGTCAAACCCCCTGCTCAAAGCAGGACCAATCTCCAACTGAATTATAGGTGTGTCTCTAAGAGCAAGGGCAACTCTGGCAAAGTCAAAACAGCCATTACAAAGTACTATGACTTTTTCTTATAAGCTGATGAGAAAAATAAGCACTGTTTCCATTTCTTTATTGGTCTGCAGCCATTAGGGTAAATCGGCTGTGGTGTTCTTTGCAATCTGTCACTAATTGTCATTGTTCTGTCCTTGGTAGTTGACCTGCTGGGTTTGTTGAACTGGCGTTCTAACTCTCAGCACATAGCGCACAACCTAAAGAAGCTAATGGACGTGGAAGGAGGAGAAATTGTAAAGGTACAAGATCACAGCTTCTGTTGGTGTACATAGAGAGTTAGGTCCCAATCTTGCAAACACGCAGACATGTGCTTAACTTTTTAACCTTGACTACTACTTTTACTTCTTCTTATTTATTAATGACTAAGACCCCACTGTACTACACACTATAGAAACACAGAACAAAAGGACAGTCCCTGCCCCAATCTAAGTATAAGACAGAGACAACAGGTGGATACAGATAGGCAGGGGAGCACCAGGAAACAATGAGACAGGCCTGGTCGGCATGATAGGCAGTGATCTCAGTATTCCAGTGGGTGTGCTAACTTGCTTAAAACACGCAGGCTCATTTACAGATGTGCAGTTACTGACAAGTCCAGAGATAGCATGGACAGTAACAAGTTTTAGGGGGCGTTATGTTCATAACACTACTTTATTTGCAGGATTGGGGCTGTAGGGAGAATTCAATGCAAGTTCTTGCAAAATATGATACGCAGGAAAACCCTGATCATTATTTATTTATTTTCGGTAGCATCTAGGGGCCCCAATCGTGGATTGGGACTCCACTAAGCTAGGTGCTGTACAGACACACAAGAAAAAGACTCTTTGTGCCACAAAGAACTTATTGCCTGAGTCTGAGTGGCTTGAGAACTTTAGCTGAAAATTGGAATTTCCGGGAAAATGAAATTCTGATTTTTGAGAGACTTTTTTTTTTTTTAAACTTTGGATAATCTATATGTCGGCTTACTGGGGCTGTGAAATGGGGGTTCGCTTTGAAGGTCAGTTGAAAATTGTCTGTCTTGCTGAGCTACTTAAGTTAAGGCGGCGTGTTTGTAAAATCAGGACTCCTGGTGATTGCCAAAGGAATGTTGTGCTTGAAAGGCTTGTCCTTGATCCTTTGGCACAGAGCACAAGGTTGACATGCTCCGCTGCAGGCAGAGGCTATGTGTGGGCAAAGTTGGAGTAAGCCCCCTTGCACAGCCAGCCACTCCTGTACTCCCGAACTGTGCCAGATAGAAAGGGGACAGGGCATGGCAGATATGGGCTTACGTGTGATCTTCATGCTGGAGAGTTGCTCACTTCTTATTGGCCTTGCTCCTGCTCCTAGAAAGGAGCAGCTTGGCAGACATGTATCAGCGTGCACAGTGCACATTTGGGCTCCTCTGCATTCCCTATCCTGCTAATCCCTTTTTACCTATTTGTACACATACCTCTGCTGGGCAGGATCAAGCCCTTTCTGTTTTCCTTAAGCTCGTGGGGGGAAAGAGACCAGAAGAGAGGATTCCTGAGCAGCATCGAAACAGAAATAACCTCTGTTTCTGCTTCCCCATTATCTTCTCTCTCTAGTTTTTACAAGACACACTTGATGCACTTTTCAACATAATGATGGAGATGTCAGACAATGAAACATATGACTTCCTTGTGTTCGATGCACTGGTGAGTGGTTATCATCTGCATATCCCAAAGCACCTTTATTTCAGCCTGTCTTCTCATTCTGGTTCCTATTGCTTCCACTGGACAGTTGATTGTTGTCTCGCTCTATGAGAAATATGAAATTATATTTAAATGCTGTTTATACTAGTCAGGAGTCATTGGGTGCTAATGTAAGGCAAGGATATGAGATGTACCATGGCCATTTCCATGAATATAATGAGAATAGGGATTGACATGTACATAATGCCTAGCTACTTACATATAACACTTTTCATCTGTGGATCTCAAAGCAATTTACACAGAAAGAAAGTATTAGTATCCTCCAATAGACTGGACATATGGAGAGGAAGTGAATTACACAAGGTCTCATGGCAGGTCAGTGGCAGAGTTGGAAAGAGACCCAACATCTCCTGAGTCCCAGTCCAGTTCCTATCCATTGGGCAATAGTGCCTCTCAACAAGAGAGCATTTTGTACGAAGATCCCAGTAAAATGTTTAGCAGACTTTACTAAGAGATTGCAGTCTATGTAGAGAGACTGCTTTACCTGTGGAACAAGGAAGCAATTGTTTAATAAAGCTCAGCAACAGAATGCGACAGGTTAGAAAAGAAACTGAAGATCACTGTATCCAGCTGAAACTGCAGGGGGAATTTAGGGAGGCAGGGTGCAGTTACTCAAGCCACAGTTTTAGCAAAGAAGCAGGATTAGGAGCACTATCGATGTAAAGTGCAAGGGGATATTTAATGACTCCAGATGTTCAGAACCTTACTTTTGAGCCTCATCTGAAAACCAGTGCTTCTAGCAGCATTGTGCCTCTCTAACCCCCTGATACGGAAATATTACCATACGGAGTCTGTCACTTACCAAATCACCAGGGCTACTTCATACAGCAGCTGGCTTTACCGTTACAGTTCCCCATCTGTCCATTGAGTAGGCCTGACATTGTCTAACTTCTGTGATGGGACATGATCGCCCTCCAAGGCCATATGGCCATTATCAGCAGATATGCAACACCATCTATAACATTAAAGCTGAGCAGATCAAGCACAAGCAACCAGCAAAACAAAATGGGACACGATTAGAATAAATTGCAGGACAGTTAGTTGAAGGTCATGCAGTTCAGTACTTCTGTTTCCTTTTGTGTTTTTGGCAGGTATTTATTATTTCTCTGATCGGAGACATCAAGTTCCAGCATTTTAACCCTGTACTTGAAACTTATATTTACAAGCACTTCAGCACCACCCTGGCTTATGTGTAAGTATCAGTAACCACAAACCTAGCTATCACAGTGATCTCTTGCTACTGCATAGATTAGGTGGGGTGTAGGAGATTAAGGTGTGTGGGTGAAAGACAGAGGGTATGTACACCCATGTGTTCCCACCCTGAGATCATCTTGAGAATAGAAGAAAATTATAATTATTTACTGCAGAAATAATTTATGATTGAACTAATTCATTTTAATCGAAGGAAAACATTGGCACTACCTTTGTAAACAGCCAATCAAGCGACTCGTCCCGATGTCCTGTTGAACTGTGACCCTGTCTCCTGGAATTATAAAAGCTAGCGCCTCTTTTGCCTCACCAGCTGCCAAGGGACTTGACATTGCCTGGAACTCTCGAAGACCTTTGAGTGGTTGCTTTCTCCTTCTCTGCACTTGCTGTACAATCGCTGTCAGCAGAGGGTTATTCTCCTCCTCCCCCCCCGCCCCAGCTTGCGGAGGATTCTTCATCCTCACTGCTCTTCGCTAAAAATAAACCCTTTTTTTTTTGGTCTGATTTATGGATGGGCTGCGTCTCAGCTGCTTTGTTACCTTGCCTTGTTTTCCAGCTTGGCTCTACAGTGTGACATCCCCATGATGCCAAGCGGACTAGAGAATTATTCAGTGCTCGCCATACGCTCTGTGCGCCAAAGGGTTTGACAAACAACGAGCTAGATCCTGGCAGTGCAGCGCGTGGGGTAGGCGAAGGCAGGGGCTGCTGCGCACTCAGCAATCCCTCAGATATATGCTGGGTTGCTCAGAGCTTGGTTAATGAGGAGAAAAAGGTGTTTGCTTGAACATTATCCTCCCCAGTGCTATGAGATCTTGAACTTCTACCTAGACAGGGACCAGAGACTAAATAGTGAAGATGCACTTGTACACCTTCTGTCCAAAGCCCTTTATAAATTAAGTCTCAGGAACCCCGCTCTTCTATTAAAGGGGCCATTACCCCTTTGTACATGTAGGTAAACTGATGTCCACAGCAGCTAAGAATCTGGTGTTCAGGTTCTGAGATTCTCAGAATTAATGGGCTTCCCAAATGCTTAATTAAAGCTGCCCAGGCTCAACACTTTGAAAAAACAGGCCACAAAGTTAGAGTTTTCAAAAGGACTTAGCACCCACATTTGGGGCCAGATTCTGGGAGCTGCTGGGTGCTGAGCACTTTTGAAAATCTGCTCCCATGTGGGTTGCCCAAGGTCCCAGAGTGACTCCGTGGCAGAGCTGTGACTAGAATCCAGAGGCTCTTACTCCCGGTCGCTAGCTCTCTAACCACTAGACCACAGTCCCTTTGTGGGATACGGGAGCCTGGTTTAGCTTCCCCTGTAACTACACCTGCGTTTATTCTCCTCTTCTTTTCCTTTCCTAAGGAAACTCACCAGAGTACTGAACTATTACATACGAAATGCAGATGACTCCAGCAAGACAGAATTGCTGTTCGCTGCCCTGAAAGCCTTGAAGTATCTGTTCCGATTCATCGTCCAGTCACGGGTGCTGTACCTGAGGTGAGGCAGACCCTCGAGACTGTGCAAAATATCCACAGAGGGTACAAACTGGCATCGCTCTAGCCAAGGGAGCCTGCTTTCGATTTCCTCCAGCGGAGGATGCCCCGAGTTATTAAGAAAAGACCTCTATAGCTGCCTTTCATCCAGGACTGTAGAGAGATCTGTGTGGGTGGGTGGAGATATTGATCAGAACAAGGGAAAACAACTTAGAACACGTTCCTTGGGGTGAAATTCTTTCTAATCATTCACATCTTACATAAGCTGCATACTGCAATGCAGATAAGGAGTCTAAACTCGGTGGTTGTTTTTTAAATGCCTTCCTTGTTTAAGAAGCTTCCTCATTTTAAGGGACTTTTGGGGGTATTTCTGCTAGGTTCTGTGAAGATCCAGATTGTTTAGAGTTCCCCTTCAGGTTTTTTAAATCAATCTTTAGTGGTGAGAGAAAAATCCCCTTCTATATTAATCCGTTCAATGGAAATGTTTGCACATTATGGAGGATGCCTGATTCTGCTCCCATTGAGCTCTTTGCAGTAGACATTAAAATGCACTGTCAGCTACTTGAGATCACTTTGTACGTCGCCTCACACAATGGGGTCGTAGCCACTAAGATAACACTAACAATAACACTAACGTAGCCACTAAGATAACACTAATAATAATTAATGCTATTTGTTACAGTTCAGGACAACTGCACCTGTATTCTCCCTCCATGGTCCACCAAGGGCTAAGAGTTTCTGGCTGCCAGCTGTCACCTCTTTTGGGCAAAGACCCATGTGTGTGTGTCTCTCCCAACTGGATTTTTTTTCAGGCTGCACAGTTCCCTGCCTACACTGTGATATTCCTAGCAAGCCTAAACAGACTAAACTAAACTGCCTGACTAAACAGACTGCCTAAACAGGCCAGCATCTGCGCTTTGCTTACTATAAACAGAGTAATGGCCCACAGTTACATCTTACCACACAGCTCTTTCTACGCAAGCACGTTTATTCTTAAGCTAGAAGCAATAATGAGAAAACTTATTAAAAACAAAGAACCTGCACAATACAAAACGGCTCAACTTTGGTCTCTGCAAACTCCAACCTCGGACTCTTGTAGGTGTCAATCCTTCAAAAACCCACAACTGCGTTTTCCCTGTCATTGTAAGTTCATAACTGTCTCAGATCTGGAACCCAGGCTGGGCAGTTCAGCAGTCTCTGGGAACAGGTAATCATCAGACAATCACCTCTCCTCAGGATGTAGTTTCAGAAGGCAGAGTTTTTGCAGAACCAGAGGTGAGGAATGTGCAGTAAGCTCTCCCTTGGTATACCTCACAAAATCCACTTAGCACTTACTGTCCCAAAAGTCCACTTTTGTCTGGCACCTTTTCAATATAGTCCTCCCAGCCTCACACCACATCTCCCCCCGTAGAGAGATTATATATAATCCTAGCCTACAATAACACATAAACTTTGCATTTAATACAATGGATTCCAAAGATACTTAAACTTAATAAATAAGGATATGCAGGAAATTCCCCATCACTGTCCTAGTATATGCCAGATTGCGACGTGTGTCTCATAGCCCGAAACCATTCTTCACACGATTCTCAGCAACCATTCAGGACTGTTTTCTCCTCTTAGTCGTTCAAAGCCAACGTAGAATGAGCTGGATTCTCTTCTGACTCGGACATAATCAACAGAATTTGTAAACTATGCTTAAACGTCAAATTTGGTCATCGTTGAAGCCAGAAAGGACCCAGCTTGACTCTCAGATTCCAGGCTGAGTTTGTGGTTCGGAAAATGCCCCCCCAAATCTTTTTGCTATTAAATTTAACAGATTTAATCTGGAAATCATTGATGCAGTAAATCAAGAACCCCACACAGCCACTTTTACTGTCACTTTTCATAGCAAAAGAGCACTTTAAGAGGTTGCTCTGGAGGATAAAATGTATTTAAGCCGTTGTGGCAGTATTCCTCGCTCTGGCCTAGATTGGTGTGTATAGCCAATGTGACTGACGTTCCTGCTCTTTTTCAGGTTTTATGGGAAAGACGAAGATGGGGATGAGTTTAACAATGCAATCCGCAAGTTGTTTTTCTCCTTCAATGTCCTCATGGACCGACCGCTAGAGGAGGCTGTCAAGATTAAGGTTGGTCTAAAGCCTGTTTTGAATGGTGGTACACATCTATTCTGAGGACAGGTAATCAGTATTAAAGCCCCCAAAGTGTAGCAAGTATTAATCTGAGCTCTTTAAGCTTTGCACAACTGTGACAAACGCTAAAATCTTGGCATTGAAATGCAGCCCCTTCTGGGGTCGAGGCTGACACCAAGTCAGCCTGTAACAATGTTGTAGGGAGGACAACAGTTTGGCCAGTGACACCTGGGATTATGAATGATTCAGACAGCAAATGATATGGAAATAAACGTAACAAATGTAGATAAGGAAAGTAATGAAAGACCAACAAGCTTTTGTCTGTGTCTTAACTTGTTCTGCTTTCTTGTTTGTCTTGCGTGAACTTTACTTGGAGCCCTCTGAGTGAGTGAGGAACAGAGAAGCCATGCAATAAGGCTTACTTGCTGCTTTCTTCTTTAAAATGCTTCTGGCCAAAATGCATTAGTCACTTTCCACCGGAAGGATTGATTCTAGATAAGAGAGGCTTCGCATTTCAATGTTTGATCGATTTAAAAACCACCCTCTCCAATGCCTGTGTGGTGAGGGGCCGTTCTTCCTGCAGCATGGAATTTTTTGTTCCCACCACCAAAAGCAGATGGGGAGAATGCCTCTACAGCAAACCCAGGGGAGACCTTCAGTAGCTGTCACACACCGGCACTCAGATGCTGCTGTGATGACCCATAGGTGCCTAGATAGCTTGTTATTGGTATTGTTCATGGACCTACCAAACTGTGCCTCTAAGGAGCAATGCAAAGGGAGCACTTGGGTGTATTCTGCATCAGAGACCCTGTTTCCTGGGACTCCCTGCCAGAGGGGAGTCATTTGCTGCTCCTCTTTTAAGGGGTACGGCATACCTTAAACACCCCCTCCCACACGCACATGGTTGGCTAGCACATGCTCCTCCTTACACCAGTCTCAACAAGTTGTTCTTAAGAGTGGGGACAAATGAGCTGCAGTTGAGCACAGGGTCTGTGATTCTTATGGGGGCTGTGTACGATGGAAGGTAGGGTGGAGTCCAAGCTCCCCTTGACTTTCTGACCATATAAGGGCTGGCTACAGTCCAGTCCAAAGAGTTTTAAACAAGAGCGAAAGTCAGACACCATTGTCTTTTTCTATTCAAGTTTTTTTCAGCTTGTGGCTAGGCCAATGCTGTGAGGAGGAGGGCTTTATTTTTAGCAAACAAACAAAACAAAAAAAAGTGTAAAACATATTTCTCATCTCTCTGCTTGCCTGTCCAATGCATTTTGATTTTTTCAAGAAGCCCAGTCCCTCGGACAGCAGTGTGTTCACAACCAGAAAGTCAAAAATTAGGCACTGGCTAAAAGCGTTTCATGTAGCATCCTTTCAGCTCTGATCTGCAGAGGTGCAGATGCAGAGGCTTGAATTAGATCACGAACCGGCACAGGGTTAGCGTTAGGGGTTAGGGTTAGGGTTGTCTGCATCTTTGCTTTTGCCCAGACCAGATACTACCACTGGTGATGTGAGCCTCTTCCAATGATGTCGAGCAGCAAGTCCTCAGGCTTGTTCTCTTTTACAACGAATGGATTAATCTAACCCATGTATGTTTTTTCTTCTCCAGGGCGCAGCTTTAAAATACTTACCAAGCATCATAAATGACGTCAAACTGGTATTTGATCCGGTTGAGCTCAGGTGATTGTGTTAAGCATATTTGTTGTCTAAACCTACTAAATATGTATCTTTGTGGGGAGGGGGGGAGTTGGAAACTGTGCTAATTTTAATAATTAAATTGCGTTGCACAAGCTGCGTGATTTAATGTGAGCGGTTCCTTGGAAGGATTTAGAGGAAGCCACATAATGGTTTTAGAGCTGCAGCCCAAAGGAATTAGCGTGTTTCAGCTGAATTTTCCTCTGAGTTCTGAGGCTTTCTCCAAACTGAAAATTCAAGGGCTACAAAGCCATATGGATGAAACCCAGTGACTATGATTCCACAGACCCTGGATCATTAGGTCTCAGGTTTCCAAGGCCCAAAGGGTGACAAAGGCCAGACAGGAGGGATACAAACCATTTATTCATGCACGAAACTTAAAGTGCAGTGGATTTCTTTTCCTCGGTGTAAATAGCTTTCCCTGCCTGCGTTCAGGAGCCTTATTTCGGATAAATAATAGTGAGAGGACACCAAATGTATGTGGAATGTAATTCACTCTGGGGGTGAAATGAGTGATCTCCCTTGAAGTGGGGGATATATTTGGGAGATTATGCTTGCGGTGATCAAAATGGCCAAGTCTCCCACAACAAGGGCTCATTGGGCTGACATGATTAAGACACATCAGCTTCATTGCCAATGGCACACAAGGGGGCGATGTGGCCAGCATCGTGTCTGACCATCTTTGACTGCCCTAACCTGACAGGTCAAGTACCCATTTTGCATCTGGGTGAACTGGAAGTGGCTTTTCAGCATGAGATTCAAACCCACGACCTTCAGGATTTTGTAGTCAAGGACCTTAGCTACTCAGCCACCGCTGCACCTCATATGTTATCTTGCACCCTTGCAAAATCCTATTTGCTTAGAGAGACTTTCATTTTATTTTTATTTCTGGCAGGAAAGTTAGATATATATTTTCTAAAAGTGATAGGGAAGGACAAATATGTTCTGTGCCTGGGCTGATGAATTTTCATGATAACTTGTTGTAATGTTAGATTAATTATCTGAGAGGTATAAATCTGCTGATTCTGGTCACTGTTCATTTTATTTTAAGTTCTTTAGTGAGCTTCCTGAAACCATATAACATGAGACTTCCATATCGGTTTACCTTGAGACTGTTCTCAACACAATGGCACAACTGCTTGAGCAGGGGCAGGGCAATGTAATATTATGTGGAACCATGCCAACAGCATTCTCTGGGTGAAAATACTGACCATCTGTCTACCTTGTGCTTTGCATTCTAGCATCCTCTTCAGCAAATTTATCCAAAGTATCCCTGACAACCAGTTAGTTCGGCAGAAACTCAACTGCATGACCAAGGTAGTGGACAGTGATCTGTTCAAACAATCCGGTGAGTAGCCTATTGAGATCTCCAGAAACTGCAGGAAATGCACCTTCTCAAACAAATACTTGTCTGTAAAGTTCATGTCTCTCTTTTAAATTTCTCCTTCAAATCCCTCCTTAAAATTCTCCTTTGCTGTGATGCCTACAAAAAAACTTGGCAACAGCGAGGTTGTTGGTGTGCTGAGGCCACTGCCTATATGCCGACCAATGCGGTCTCATAGATGGGGGACTACAAAGACACAATCTGATGTCTCTTGTCTTATACTTAGATTGTAAGTTCTTTTGGGGGCAGGGACCAATTTTATGTTCTGTTTGTATTACACCTGACACACTGGGATGCTGGTCCATGGTGGACGCTCTTAGTCATGACCGCAATACTGAAAATTAATAAAAATTACAGTAACACCCCCTGGTCAATTTTAGTTTTGATGTCTGTCTCGGGATAAGGATGATTTCTTTTGGGTTTATTGGTACGTTTTTTGGTTTCTCTTTCCCTAAGCGTATTCCCTAGCAAAGAGCAGTAGTTAAGAGATGGTGAGATAATGGATCCCTTATGTTGGGCACATTGAGCCAATCCCTAAGATCATCACTAAGGACCATGCACCATAGCTCTTTGCTCCTATACGTAGAAGCAGTACTATGTTTCTCCAGGATGTTAAAACACAGATGCAGATACTAGGGTTTCTAGAATGGCAAAAACATGAACACACATTGCTGGAGAGGCAGCCATTAAGTAACAGGCAGCAATAAAAATTGAGCCACTTATTAAGGATGTAAATGTGGATTTAGGTGCCTAATTTTAGACACCCAAATTTGAAAATTGTGCCCTTAACCGCTCTCTGCTTCATTTCCGAATCTGTAAAATGAGGATAATAATCTTTACTCTTCTTTGCAAAGCCCTTTGAGAGCTTGAAAAGCCCTAGGTGTGTACTTGGTGTTACCATGATGTGTAGAGGTTATAATCCCGAGTATGACTGCAGCCAGTAGAGGTTTTCCTTTATCTCAAAGGAGTCTGTGCATCTGTAATTAATGATACTGGGTTCTGTACATGCCAGGTTTTATCCAGGCTGCATAGTTTCCAGATTAGCTGGAGCCTGTGCTGTGTACAGCCACCATTTGTTATGGACATCAGATCTATTTTAGGTACTTATCTGGCCCCCATAACTCGTAGAGGGGAGCGCCTCACAATCTTTAATGTGCTGATCCTTGCAACATCCGTGTGAGGTAGAGAAGTGCTATTATCCCCATTTTATAGATGGGGAACTGGGGCAGAGAGAGACAGGTAAAATTTTCAAAAGCGCCTACTAAATCCCATTTTCAAAAGTGACGTAAGGCCAGATTTTCAAAGATATTCAGGCATCTAACCTGCTTCGGTGCTTTCGAAAATCCCACTAAGCTCCTGTTTGCATCTTTAGTTGGCTATATAAGAGCTAGATATTATTATTAAATAACTGAAAAATCTGGCCCTAAATCACTTTTGAAAATGGGATTTAGTCTCCTAAAAGCCTGTGTCACTTCTGAAAATTTTACCCATAGACCCTTACTTAAGGTCATGCAGGGAGTCAAGCAAGGCAGGAAATCAAACCTGGGATCTCCCAAGTCCTATGTTAGTGTCCTAGCCATGGGACCATCTAATACATATATTGAGAGAAATCTCTCTCGTGCAATCTGTCTAATTAGAAGAGAGGCAATCTGTGCTGTCATCTACCTGTTCCAACCACTGTGACATGATTTTAATTTTGGTGACTGAGTCAGAGTGAGGAGCACAAAGTTTTCTTTTTGTGGTCACTTATACTTGGCTCTGAAGATTATTCTTAGGCCATAGTGATACATTGTTCTGTTTCTTCATTTCTCAGAATGCAGAGATGCTCTCCTGCCTCTGCTAATAGATCAGCTAAGTGGCCAACTGGATGACAATTCAAACAAGCCTGATCATGAGGCCTGCTCTCAGCTCCTCAGTAACGTTCTAGAAGTGCTTGACCGGAAGGATGTGGTGAGTATGGGCTCTAGTCTGTCATCCTCACTGGTAGGGTTACACTGGTATAGGTCAGAGGAGGAACAAAACCTTCTTAAGTGCACCTCCCAGAACCAGTCTTTATAGAGTTAATGAGACCAGATGTTCACAGAAGTTTTTCCACATTGGGTATTGGCATGAGACGTTTGAGTCGAAGTAAGATAAATCCGACGTATCAAAAATGAACCTAAGACATTCTAGGACAGAACAGGGGAAGGCATGGTCAGGTCATCCCCAGAGAGGTGCTCCCCTGCTGATGCAACGCATGTAGGGGATATAGAAAAAAGGGGCTCAAGTTAGAGCTGCCCTGGGGGCCGATCCAGCTCCAGCATAGGGAAGATTAGCCTCCTGTGAATCCCTTTGCTGGGCCCTGGACTGGTGCAGAGATGTATTCCCCCGCCCCCTTCTCGGAGTCTGAAACTACTTTCTATTTAAATGAATTTCTGATGGGCAAAAAGTCTCCTTTTCTCATGTCTTCTGACAATAAATAGCCACAGTCAGCCTGGCCCTTCCCGACAACAAATCTCTCTGTAGAATGGACCATGCTGAGATTAATCTAAAACAGCCCGTGCTTCTTTAATCTCTTCAGGGGCCCACTGCAGTTCACATCCAGCTGATCATGGAGCGCCTGCTGAGGAGAATAAACCGGACGGTGATTGGAATGAGCAGACAGTCTCTGCATATTGTGAGAGCCTTTTGCTTGCTTCTGTTCTTTGCTTTCTACCCCTTGCTCTGACGCTTCAGCAGATGGGAGCTTTCCGTCACAGTCTGTCCTGCTATGGACTGCAAATTGTGCCAGTGCGTTATAAAATCTCTGTCCTGTTTCCTGCGCCCTGCTGGGGTCTATGGGAGGCCTGCCCCAGCCCTATTAAAATCGGGTCTGGATGGCTGTAGAGAGAGGTACTCTGCTAAGGCACCATTTTTAATCATGTCTGGGGCGGTAGTGGCTGCAAGTTGTTACTGTCTGGTGACTCTTTGGCAGCTTGTATGTGCAGTGTGTTTGAGTCTCAGTCCAGTTCCTAATAGTCAGACAGCCACATTGTAGAAACACTAATTAATTTGCTTCCGATGTTGAATGGAACCAGATGCTGATGTACCCTCGACCCTGTAGGTGTCCTCTCCAAGTCTGGGGTGAAGCAGGTTGATAGGAAAACAAGAGGAGGTTGGCACCATTCTGGCCTGCCCTATACTTGGTCTGTGGATGGATAGAGAACTCCAGGGCTGTCAATCCAGCACTAAATTCACTTTATAAGAAGAGGCTTTGACATTGGCGAATGGTTTCCTTCAGATGTGTTCATAACGAAGACTTGGAGGGTCCGGTTTAAAATGGATGTAGGAGCGTTCTGCTTTGCAAACGTAACCCCTTGTAGTCTCAGCAGTCCTTGCACTAGTGATCCGATAGGAAGGGAAAACATTCCTGCCTGGGTAAGAGCATTTTTTAAAAATATTTACCAAATTGTGAGTGTCTCAGTAGCTCAGAGGGTGACAGGCCAATTTAAAAAAGAAAAAAAAAACTGCTACTTGCCTTTGTAGGAAACAAAGCGATTTCATCTTAATCTCTCGCCGTAAAAGGTGGGGTTTTTGCAAATTCCAGTCCTTGAAGGGATAAAGTCTGTCCCACCTCCTTGCCTCAGACTTAAAACTTAAACCCTATGAGAGATGATGTCCAGATTAATATGTTGGTATCACCCCACTGCTGTCCATGAAACGCTGCGGATGTTACTGATCAGGGGGGGACAATCACATTCAGTGACCTTAGTGCCTTTCTAGACCCCACATTAGCAAAATACTTAATCGGGTGCCTGATTTAAAGCAAAGGTATGATCCTTGTGAAGACTATTCCTGTGACTAAAATTAGGTACATGCTTCAGAACTGTGCTGAATTGGGGCCTTCGTGTAGAAAGATAATTGACCAAGTGCTTTTCTTGTCTTTTCCATTCCAGGGTAGTTTTGTAGCCTGCATGACAGCCATCCTGAGACAGATGGATGATTTCCACTACAACCACTACATCAGCACTTTCAAAACCAGACAGGACATTATCGTAAGTCATCTTGGCCCGGGCTACAGCCCAGTCCATGTAGTGTCCCTCTCTAATTTTATCCTATCCAGCTCTTATATTAAGTTCAGGCTCTTGCACCCATCACTGAGGAGTATGAATACCTCATATTGCAAGTGTTTGTGGAACATTCACTTCACCCCAGCTGGATACAGCGCTGCTGGCTGTTTGCTGACTTAGCAAAGCATCGGACTAGTTTGCCACGTGGCGTGAAAACAGAACTTTAATGAGTACTTGTGGCACCTGAGAGACTAACCAATTTATTTGAGCATAAGCTTTCCTGAGCTACAGCTCACTTCATCGGATGCCTACTGTGGAAAGTACAGAAGACGTTTTTATACACACAAACCATGAAAAAATGGGTCATTATCACTACAAAAGGTTTTCTCTCCCCCCACCCCACTCTCCTGCTGGTAATAGCTTATCTAAAGTGATCACTCTCCTTACAATATGTATGATAATCAAGGTGGGCCATTTCCAGCACAAATCCAGGTTTTCTCCCACCCCGATTTGGGAGATATCATAAGGAGAGTGATCACTTTAGATAAGCTATTACCAGCAGGAGAGTAGGGTGGGGGGAGAGAAAACATTTTGTAGTGATAATGACCCATTTTTTCATGGTTTGTGTGTATAAGAACTTCTTCTGTACTTTCCACAGTATGCATCCGATGAAGTGAGCTGCAGCTCAGGAAAGCTTATGCTCAAATAAATTGGTTAGTCTCTAAGGTGCCACAAGTACTCCTTTTCTTTTTACAAATAGAGACTAACACGGCTGTTACTCTGAAACAGGACTTTAATGACTCTCTAAACCTGTGTAAGTGAAGAGCTGGAAAGAAGAAGATAGACTGAATGAGGATGAGAGGACAAACAGAGGAGTTCGTTTTCCCTTCCTTTCTCTTCTGTCTCTATCCATGTGTTCTTCGCTCTCTTTTTTTCATTCTATCCTTTAAGAGCTCCGTTAAGAGCTTGGATTCCCCCTTTTTTTTTGTCTGGGCTGATGAAAAAGATGACGAGCTTGGAGCAGTATCTCTATTAATTTCCAAAAATATGCCTGTGTGTTTGTTAATAGAGCCACAGGGCATCTTGGCTGCAAAACCTGAAACCAGGGAAATTTTGGTTGATCAGGGTTCTGTTTCAAAGCCAGATGAGGTTTCTGAAAAGCTCTGTGGTTGTTGCAAACTTTTGGGGGCAGGGATTGCTCTTTGTGATGGGTTTGTATAGCACCTAGCACAGAGGGATCCATGATTTGAAGCCCCGGAGGGCACACCTCTAGTGGAATAAGGTAGGGGGCACGGCCCTGGCTGGCCCAGGTCAGCTGACTCAGGCTCATGGAGTTAGAGCAGCGGAGCTGTAAACTTCTGTGTAGACGTTCAGGCTCAGGCTGGAGTGTCCTCGAGGGTGGGTGTCAAGCATCCTTAGCCAGCATTGCATATCCATCCTCTGTGTTAAACCTGTACAATTCATGATCTTCATGTAGTTTCAGTGCAAAACCAGGTGAAACAACACTTTTGCTCTTTGATCCCCTTAGAACCTGAAACTCCAAGTAAAGGCTAAGTTTCACCTCCCACCCCCCATGCAGATCAGAACCAGAGAAAGTATTGCACAAGCTTCTGTGGTGTGACACTGGTCTAATTGGTAGTCACAGCTCCTGGTTGCTTGTCTCTGCCTGTAGCTGTGCAGAACAACATAGTGAACTGGAACACAGGTGTGGGTAGACTTTGCATTAGGTATTTCAGAATTTATTGTAAAATGTCTGTAAACCACTCTGAATGGCAGCATGCTGCCTTTGTTTCCCTGGCTGGTTATAAGTGCGTGTGATCTGTTAAGCAACATGGCCACCTGCAGGACATAGAGATTTCTGCAACTTCATTGCCTAGACTGAAAAAGCCACTCATCTGAATAATCATAGAAGATTAGGGTTGGAAGAGACCTCAGGAGGCCATCTCGTCCAACCCCCTGCTCAAAGCAGGACCAACCCCAGCTAAATCATCCCAGTCAGGGCTTTGTCAAGCCAGGCCTTAAAATCCTCGAAGGGTGGAGATTCCACCACCTCCCTAGGTAACGCATTCCAGTGCTTCACCACCCTCCTAGTGAAAAAGTTTTTCCTAATATCCAACCTAGACCTCCTGCCCTGCAACTTGAGACCATTGCTCCTTGTTCTGTCGTCTGCCACCACTGAGAACAGCCGAGCTCCATCCTCTTTGGAACCCGCCTTCAGGTAGTTGAAGGATGGAATCAAATCCCCCTCAAGAGTTCAAATAGAACTCTTTTGAGTTAGTAACTCACCTGAGAGATTTCTGGAAGAGTATGCATTGTAAAACCTAAACACCTTGAGGGTTTTGCTAGGGCTCATCAAATGAGTAGTAGCCTTTTTCAAATGAATCAGTGGTCAGTGAATAGGGTCAGAGTCGGCTAGAAATGTTGTTGAAGAGCAGGAGTGCTAGAAGTCCTAGGAGTGTTAAAGTTAGGCACGTACTTAATGACTTTTCCGAAAACGGGGTATAAGCTTCGATCTTTGAAGCTGTCATTTGTGCTTCTCATTCATTCCATGGTTCAGTGCTTTCTGAATCATGCATTTAAATGTTCCTCTTACATTTTCAGTGCATGCACAGCCTGTGCATGTGAGACAAACCAGGAAGGTGAATTGTATAAAAACAAAGTTGGTACAAGAATACAACTTCAGGAGACACTGGTCCAAAGTGTAGGTTTGGAATCAAACTGTTACCATCCCTAAAACGTATAGAAATGTATCCATTAAATTATTTTTAAAATAATTCCAATGGCATCATGATTTATTTACAATTTTTTTAAAAAATAAGCATCCCCTTGTGGCATTTTCAGCCCAGACATTGCAATGTTGCTTCTTCAGGTTAACATGGTTAGGGGTTAATTCTAGTCTTCATGGTGCCCCTTGTCAAGCCTGAATCTTTCCATCAAGCTCTGATTTAATAATGCTTAGAGGATTTCTGCTACAGCAGTAGCAGTGTCCATTTCTCTCTCTGCATCAGTGTCACTTTCCAATTCTTTAGTGCACGCTATTCAACTCAGCAGCACATTTCTTCGCTGGTGACCTTCGGAAAGTGGTGACTTCTCGGTTGTGTGTGTGTCTGGTGCTTGAATGCGAATGTTACCTCTTAGAGCAGAAGAGAACTTATGAACATTTGAACCTCTGGAGACGGAGGTTCTTTCTTGGTCTAAAGTTAGATTTTGTCAGTATTGCTTGCACAAATCCCACTCTTCATCCTGCAACTTGGCAGAAAAGCCTCATCTAGACTAGGACTTAAGGTGTGATGGCTTTAACTTGACCGGTTTAGCTCTTGGTAAAAACTGCATGTCTTGTCTACACTAGACATTTGCTAACTTCACACCTCATCTAGTGAAAGCCTAAATGACTGGGAAATGACAACCCCTTCTATATCTATGTATATAACAAATAATGCAGCAGCCCGATGTAATGTCATCATTCATACATTCTGAAGGGAAGTATTAGGTCGAAAGACTTTGAACACCTGTTTTGCTTTTTAGTGCTCTCTGCGCATCTAGAGATTGACTTCAAACAATAAGAACAGATTTAATTGCATTAATTGAATAGATTTGTGGAGGGGATTTTTTTTTCCTCCTGTAATTTGATGGATGAGATTTCAGACATAATTTAGTTACCATGATATATGCCGCAATAAAAGACGCATTTCAAAAGGCCAGCATATTGATCTGTGATCAATGGAATCTGCAGTCACGCATGTTTGCATCCCCCACTCTTCCTCCCCCTCCCCCCCCCGTGTTTCCATCTGATTACAGACTAATGTTCTTGGACCTTGCATGTGGCATGTTTTTGTACAGGACTTCCTGATGGAAACCTTCATCATGTTTAAGGATCTGATCGGAAAGAATGTCTATGCGAACGACTGGATGGTGATGAACATGATGCAGAGCAGGTAAACAGCCTCTACCAGAGGCTGCTACTGGTATAAGGCTCAAGTGACTTCTTCAGAACTTGTTGGCTCTGGGACTGGGGAGGTTTTGCACTAGAGCCACTGCAAGTAAATTGAGATGTACTTCCTTTAAAAGTTCATATTGGTTTAAGTTAGCTTTGACTAAAGTCCTATTGGCTGGACTTTTTTTTTTTTTTTTTTGGATGACTTGTGAACCTGCAAACTCTTTCTTCCTCTGTCAAAAGGAGTGTTTGCAAAACTGAAAACTTCCCCCCCAGTGATTGTATTTCCCTGCCAGAGATGCCTGCTTCAATCTGAGAAGCCTCTTTATTTCAAATCTGGGGGGAGATGCATCGTCACTTGGGAAACTTAAAACTAAACTGGACAAAAGAGGATGATCATGCATGTAGGATGCTAGCCCGGTACCTGGGAAACCCAGTTCATTTCCCTCCTGTGCCACAGACTTCCTGTGTGATCTTAGGCAAGTCACTTAGCCTCTCTGTTCTTCAGTTCACCATCTGTACAATGGGGTTAATAGCACTTACCTACCTTACAGGGGTGTTGTGAGGGTAAATACATTAAAGACTGTGAGTAATTTAGAAACCACAGGCACAAGGGTCATGGAAGTGCTGAAGAGAGACAAAACACGAGCAAATATCCTCTGGAACCACACTGCATTGGTATGGGGACTAGATGACCTAATAGATCTTTTCATTTGTAACTTCCCTAAATCAGGGATACTTCTATTGCGAAACAGAGAAATAACCTTCACCTCCCACTGAGGACAGAGAATTTTGGGGAAAGAGAAGGATTACAGTACTAGAGCTGAACCTTTGAGGTCACTGGTTCGTGCCTCATCCGAGCTTGCGAAAAGGAGCCGTATATTCAGGCATGTGCTGTTTCTACTTCCATGGATGCCTCCTTATCTGTGTTTACTTTTCCAGGGTTTTCCTCCGAGCGGTGAACCAATTTACCTCGGTGCTCAACCGATTCTTTCTGGATCAAGCAAGCTTCGAACTCCAGGTGAGGATAAATTCCGTTCTGGATTCTCCTGACCGCTTTGGAACTGAGCAAGTCCAGAGAGGTGATGGGTCCCTCAACTCCCACTGGCGCCAGTTGTGTTATTGATAATGATGAGGGTGTTATTGTTCTGTCCTCTTGGTGGAAAAGTAGCATGACTTGGAAATTTCTAACCTGAGATGCTACTTGTCACATGGGGCTTGTGCTCAGCCAATGATCTGTGGAGCACGTTCTACGCTCATTCTGCATGCCATATAGCATTGATGCGCTAAAGCGGGAGTGTAAAAGTATCTCTTTCCACCCCTTACTTTTGTGTTAGGTTGACTATAGTTTACTGGCACTTTTGGAGAGATTTGATGACAAAACCCTCTTTTGAGGACGCATGGTCTTGTGGTTAATGCCCTGGACTGGGACACAGGAGTTCTGTTCAATTCCTAGTTCTGCCTCAGACTCCCTGTGTGACCTTGGGCAAGTCACTTAAACTTTCTGCTACCTCCGTTCCCCGTCTGTGATATGGAGATAATACTTCCCTATCCTCACAGAGAGACTCTGGAGCCCAAGTCATAGACTAGCACCCCACAAACACAGAACAAAAAGATGGTCTCTGCTCCAAAGAGCTTACAATCCAAGTATATGATAAGAGACAACAGGTGGAAATAGACAGATGGAAGAGCTCAAGGAATCAAAGAGACTGTATTGGTCAGCAGATAGGCCATGGTCTCAGCACACCAGCAACCTACCTGTTATGTTCTTCATGGGCATCAGGGCAAAGGAGAGCTTTAAGGAGGGATTTGGTGTATCTAGATTCATAAATAGTCTTCTGGGTGAGCATTTTAAATAGATCAGACCAAAAGGAACAAAGTTTGATGGTGCAGATTATATAGCTCTTAATTAGCTTTTACACCTGTTGACCTCCTGTGGGAATTTATTTTTTCCCATTCATTGTAATTGTGTTTCCTCATTAACACCTGACAGAGAATCTGCAGCACTGGTGATGAAGTAGCTCTCTTGTGCTGTGTGTTTCTGTTCCTTTGTGGTTTTCCTTTCTTTAATCAGTTTTTCCCCCTCTCCTCCCCTCCACCCCCACAGCTCTGGAACAATTACTTCCACTTGGCAGTAGCTTTTCTCACTCACGAATCCCTCCAGCTGGAGAACTTCTCACAGGCCAAACGCAACAAAATTATCAAGAAGTAAGTTCACATTTAAATGTGGTCAGGTCGTCTTACTCTTAGAAAATTAAACCCAGTCTTTATATTGTGCTCATCTCGTGGGGCACAGCTGGTACAATCCCTGGATATGTCCGGACTGCAGTCACAGTGCGCGACTCTAGCTCCTGTAGATGTACCTGGGTGGCTTTTAATCTGGTTAGCTCGGGTACTGGAGCAGTGAAGCTGTGGCAACATGGGTTTCCGTGCAGACTAGCCACCCAAGTAAGTACACAGGGCTCTGGGTGGGCTTGTACATCCTCTGCTGAAGCCGTTGGTTGCAGTGTAGACATACTGTGCATGTGGGCTCTCTGTGACAGGACAGTTTGTGGGCAGTCCAGACAATGGGCTCTGCATGTTTGGGTTGAGTTTAAACACGTGAGTGGTTTGGTTAATTCTCAAACAGAAGTTGCTGCTTCTTTAAGGTCCGAGATAGAAGGTTTTCCTCAGCCGAAGTCCTCAAAGTAAGGAATTACTGGCTTCCCCAGCCGTAATGCAAGACAAGTGAGCAATAACCAGCTCATCCCTCCAGCATTAAGACGTCTTCTTCTCAAAGCTCCATTTCCTGTCGTCTCAGTATTGCCAATCCCAAGTGTACAAAAATCCTGAGTCAGGCCCCCCAAAATCATGATGTGGGCTTCAAAATCTTGAAAAAAGGGAAGGTGCCACGGCATCCGCAAGCCCCTGCTGGAGTCCCAGCACTGTGGGCTGAGGGGGGGGAGGCTGTGGGCAGGGCAGCAGCGAGGAGGCACGTCCCAGGACTTCCTCCCCTGGCTGCAGCCCCACAAACCTGCCTTCCACTTACTGGTAAGCTCCAGAGAATAGCAACTGTTTGCTGGGAACCGAGAGGTTGCAAATAAGGGGAATCCACTGCAATCCCATTCATAAAATTATCAAGTGCCTTCTTAAAACTAGTTCGGTTTCTTGGCCCTACTCCTGCCATTGGTCAGCTTTTGCAGAACCTCACTCCTCTGGTTAGAAACCTTCTTCTAATTTCCAGCCTAAACTTATTCATGGTCATCTTATCACGATATGTTCTTGGGCCAACATAATCCTTCATCTTAAATATCTCTTCTCCCTCCCTAGTGTTTGCCCCCCCCTGAAGATATCTGGTGTCCACTCACCTCTTGGCAGATTGGTGGTAGGGAGGAGCTTGGCCTTCAGTTTTTGAACTCTTTACCCTAGATGCCCAATATTCAGGGCTACATTTTTTAAAAGGGCAGGCTAGTAGATTGTGCAGCTGGGCTGTTACATTTCCCTGGCAGTTTAACAAGGCAAATTTCAATACATGCATTTTTTCTTTTACCTTCTTCTCTCGTTTAATATTTTTTCCCTTTCTAGATATGGGGACATGAGGAAAGAGATTGGCTTCAAAATAAGGGATATGTGGTATAACCTGGGTGAGTTCCCTATCTGTACAGTTCACAATAGTATGTATGTTCTACCTCCAAAACTGGATTTCCGTTCTTCTGTGAGATGGGGCTCTGCAGTCCATCCGCTTCGTGCCTGGTAACTCTTGCATGCTGCTAGAGCTCCACCGAAGCTGTGGACCCCCAGGATTAGCTGTCCCGTTCTGGGACTATGTGACAGTGAAAGCAAGTAACACAGAGACTTTGCCAAGGAATTTCTAAACCAGTCACGCTTTACTCACAGACACGGCACAAGAGAGATACAGATCTATGGAAAAACAACAAAACCTGCATGCAAATCCCTGCTTCAGTTTCCTTACCCCTCTGAGAGCCCTTTAGTTTTTGGTCAGTGTCTTATAGGGAGTGCAGGAGCCTTCTTCCTCAACTCCTCTTCCTCCTGCACAGCCTTGCCTTCTTCTGATCTTCTTTCTCTTGATGGAGAGAGTCTCACGTTTTAACATTTGAATCACTTTGTCTCTCCCAGTCCTTCTGTTGTTGCTTTTTAACTTCTCCACTCTTCTGAGCTGCCCCCTCCTCCAGCCCCAGTTAAAAGCAGTTAGCAATTTGTTCGCTTTTGGCTGGTAGCGCCCATTGTGCTGCTAGGGCAAGATTATTCAATTGTCAGTGGTCCTGAAGGACTGTCCAGCTCAGGGGCAGACACCCAGGTGCCGGTACCCTTTCCCTTAACACCAGAGGCTGGTGCACAGACACGATCATACAATCCAGTCAGTAGCGTTAATTCCCACAAACAGATTCCCAAACCGTCACACCATATAAAACTTGAGAGTGGGATTTTCAAGAGAGACTCAAAAAGAAAAGGAGGACTTGGGGCACCTTAGAGACTAACCAATTTATTTGAGCATAAGCTTTCGTGAGCTACAGCTCACTTCATCGGATGCATACCGTGGAAACTGCAGAAGACATTATATACACAGAGACCATGAAACAATACCTCCTCCCACCCCACTCTCCTGCTGGTAATAGCCCATCCAAAGTGACCACTCTCTTCACAATGTGTATGATGATCAAGGTGGGCCATTTCCTGCGAGAGAACCTGGATTTGTGCAGGAAATGGCCCACCTTGATTATCATACACATTGTGAAGAGAGTGGTCACTTTGGATGGGCTATTACCAGCAGGAGAGTGAGTTTGTGTGTGGGGGGGCGGAGGGTGAGAGAACCTGGATTTGTGCTGGAAATGGCCCAACTTGATGATCACTTTAGATAAGCTATTACCAGCAGGACAGTGGGGTGGGAGGAGGTATTGCTTCATGATCTCTGTGTGTATATAATGTCTTCTGCAGTTTCCACCGTATGCATCCGATGAAGTGAGCTGTAGCTCACGAAAGCTCATGCTCAAATAAATTGGTTAGTCTCTAAGGTGCCACAAGTACTCCTTTTCTTTTTGCGAATACAGACTAACACGGCTGTTACTCTGAAGAGAGACTCAGTGATTTAGGAGCACAAATGGCAGCGGGGCATAAAACTGCACCATTAATGGGTGTCACCCGCTTTGAGAACTTCACTGGCGCGGAATGTGTGCACTGTCTTCTCGTTACCTTGAAATGACTAATGTGCTCCCAGATACAGCCACCTGCCTTCAAGCAGCTGCGTTCCACTGAGCAGAGGCTGGGTCTAATCTTCTCTCTGTCACAGGCCCCCATAAGATCAAGTTCATCCCATCGATGGTGGGTCCAATCCTGGAGGTGACCTTGACACCTGAGTCCGAGCTGCGGAAAGCTGCCATTCCCATCTTCTTTGACATGATGCAGTGCGAGTTCAACTTCAGTGGGAACAGAAACTTTCATATGGTGAGGGACCGTGGAATCGTCGGCACTGACGTTTCATGCCGTGTGTTGGGCAAGTAGGAAAAAAGCAAATAAAGGAGTTTCCTTTAAAAAAAAAAAAAAAAAAAAAGTGCACACAAAGCACTGTGGGAAGTCTATTGTAAGGCCGTTTTATGTGGTAAATGTAGCAGGAGACTGCAAGTCTGGATTCTTGTGTTCTGTTACTGACTGTGTTGCTGTGTAGCCTCGGGCAAGTCACTTCACTTCTCTGTGCCTCAGTTTCCCCATCTGTAAAAATAGGTGAATACCCATCGCACAATTGCAAAGGGATTTGAGATCCTTGGATCAAAAGGTGCATTATAAACTAGTATTTACTGTTTATCTATATAGTGTTGTTTATTTGTATTACCATAGCACCTAGCAGCCCTAGTCCTAGACCAGAGCCGCACTGAACTAGGTGCTGTACAAACAACAGAACCAAATGGTGGTCCTTGTCCCCGGGGTCTTGCAACCTACATAGCAATAATTCTCTGAGGGTAACTTCTTGGCTGCACATATTAAGTTGTTCTGATCTATGGAGCAGTTAACATCCTTAATAACCGCTTCGAAAAACTTTAGCCCTCACAATTTCCCCCACTTTATTGTGGCTGTGGTACAGAGAGGGGAAGTGACTGGCTTGAGTTTACCCAACATCTGGGGCAGAACTGAGACTCGAACGCAGGTCTCCGACACACAACTCTGGGCTACTTCCACTGGACTTCTCGCTGTATTGCTAGCCTGAAAACGCTGGTAGGGAAGGAAGAAAGAGAGGTTCTTTGCTTGGTGCCCAGTTATCCCTTCAACTCTAGCAACTGCCACTCAGAACTTTTCTTCCCACGTTCCTCGGGGGATGCCAGTCATTAGCATCACAGCCAGTAGGTAGGGGACACTCCAGTGACACTATGGTCGTTCTTCTCCCTGAAGACATTTGAAATCATCCATCCTTGGCGTTCTGCCTTTCAGACACACAAGACTGTTGTCACAATGTGATGCCTGTGTCCCTTTGCACTGTACATGCACCAACCCTTCCCTGCTTGGATCTCAGTTTAAATACTCAGAGGGGATCTTATTTTCCTCTGGGTCATCAGCCTTTGGCATTGTCTGCCCCGAGATGTGCTTGGATTGCTGGAGCGTATGGGAATTGCTTGAATGCTATGGGATGTTGGGGCATGAATGTTTAATACTGGTTATAGACACACCCTGGTATCTTGGGGCTTGAATTGCTTACTACTGGGATGCTGGTTCCAAGAACACCAGTGGTAGCCTGGGGTATGATTGGGATTATATGCTTGATCAGGGTCACTCCTGCTCACACGTACACAAAATCAACCTGATCATCAAATCTGTGGCTGGCAAGAAATTTCCCCCTCTACCATATTAGCAGGGGCCTTGATGGGGGCTTTGCCCTTTCTCAGGAGAGAATAGGGAATCATCCATTAGGATCAGGGAGATATATCCCAGATGATCAATTTCCTGTGACTTCTGGTTTGAGCAGGGGAGCTGTTCACATTGTCTGGCTCCTTCCCCGTCTTCTCTGTCTTTTCCTTGGGTAAAATCATCCTCCAGTTTGGCCAATTAGATCAGTGCCCCATCATGGGGCAATTCAGAAATTCCTCCTGCAAACACATCTGGGCTTTATTCCAAGTGCTCAGGATTTGTTCTGGTTTTGGATTTTTGTGTGTGTCTTTTTTAGCTTGAAAACGAGTTGATAACCAAACTGGACCAGGAAGTGGAAGGGGGCCGAGGGGACGAGCAATACAAGGCCTTGCTGGAGAAACTGTAAGTGTCTGAAACACACTCGGAAGAACACTAAAAAATCCTAATTCGCTACTTCAGATGATTGAGTAACATAGAGAAGGCGCAACCTGCAGTGATCTCAATATGAATTGGCTGCTGCCAAGATGGACTGATTGGCTTAAAATTATACCTTTGTTGTTGTTTTGCATCACAGCAGCACCTACAGGCTCCAAATGAGATCAGGGAGCCCGTGTGTTAGGTGCTGTACAGCTTCTAGCTTCCTGATGAGCAAAGCAGAGTAGCGAAAAGCCTCTTTCATGAACATCCATGTGTTTCCGTTAGAGCCTTTTGGCCCAGTGACTTAGGAATGATGATCATAAAGTTCTGTTAACAGCAGAAGCACCGTCCAGAACTTGAATGGAATCTCTCTTTTCTTCTGTATTTCTCTGTTCTTTCCTCGGGCGATATGCCTGCAGCCTTTTGGAGCACTGCCGGAAGCACAAATACCTGTCGAGTTCTGGAGAAGTGTTTGCTTTGCTGGTCAGCAGCCTGCTTGAAAATCTCTTGGACTACAGGACCATCATGCACGATGAAAGCAAGGAGAACCGTATGAGCTGCACTGTCAATGTGCTGGTAGGAGGGGAGGCCTCTGGTGCTAATTTACTGACTTGCTTTTAACATAATCATTGGACAGACTTGGTATTTCCAGAGTGCGGGTGCCAGGCTTAGCTTGCACCTGAGATTCACCCTGAAAAATGATTCATTCCTGAATCTCCAGGAAAAAACAGGAGAACATGAAAGGTAGGAATCCTTAAGACAAGATTAAATATCTTTCTAAAAGACATGTTTTAATCAAGCCTCTGGGAGAAATTCCACAGCCTGCAAATCCAGGAGGTCAGACTAGATGATCACAGTGGTCCCTGAGGCCATGTCTGCACTTACAGGCTTACAGCGACACAGCTGAATCGACACACCTGTGCCGCTGTAAAAATTCTCTTGTCTTATGCCGACGGGAGAGAGTTCTGCCAACAACATAATAAAACCAGCCCAACGAGCAGCGGTAACTATGTCGGCGGGAAAGCATCACGTCGTGCACGTGAGCGCGTATGCTGGCAAAACTTACGTCAGTCGGGGGGGGAGAGGGGAGTTGTTTTTTTCATGCCCCTGAGCGACCAAAGTTTTGTTCACGTAAGTGCTATAGGGTAGACATGGCCTTAGTCTGTGACTCGATTTTCAAAAAGGCCCAGTCTTAGCCTAACTCTGCTCCCGTTGATGGTAATGTTTTACTGTGGGCTTCAGCACAGGTGGAGCTAGGCCAAATCGGAGCACATCTGAAAATGCCACTCTTAGCTTTCAGTGACCTGGCTTTGGTCTGCCTACTTCAGGGGAGGTTCTGGCAGGACTGACTGAGCCAACTCTGAGCAGAGTACGGCAAGCCTAATTGAAGATGGCGCTAATTTGGGAAGCCAGCCCCAACGCTGAGTGAAAACTAAGATGTGCATGTTGAGGCTGGCACCCCAAAGCTAAGCTAAGCGACGCTCAGTGTTTTAGGTTGGTTTGTTCTGCAGGTGGGGCAGCTGTGATCAGCTGAGCAGTCTACAGATGAGGAAGTTGTGATCTGGCTGCTGATCCGACAAAAAAACACCATTAGAATAGCCTCTCCAACGGTGTTTGGGGTACCTCTACCGGAGTTTGGGTACTCAGAAACAGCAGTGATCATAGAAAATTATTGGTTGAGGGAAGATAACCAAATGTTCTGAACCCCTGAAAAACGATTCAGGCTCAAATGTAGGGCTCTTAACCACATTTGAACCGGATCATCTGTTCTTACTAACATTATTTGCTGGGATTGAAATGTTCTCGTATGCCACTTTATTGCTCTGTTTCTAGCTAAAGTTGGGCACAAAGCAAACTGTCGGCGACAAGCAGCTGCGAACTTTAGAGGGGTTTGTCATCCAACTCAGATACAGATTTCATGGCTAACCCTCATTTCCATAATACAGCAAGCCCTGGATTCCATATCCTCAGAAACTGAGGCGAGGATGGTGATGCCTAGTGAGTGGAGCCAAGGGTCAGAGCTGGAGTCAGGAATGAAGAGCTAGAACAAGGCAGGAGTAGGTCTTGGAGCAAGGCTGGAGCTGGCTGCGCCTGTGGACTCTGTCACTATGAGTCAGAGGAGAGTTCTAAGCCATGAAGCGACGTTGAGAAGACTGAGCTGCTGTTTCTCCTGTGAGGCTTATATCTGTGCTCTGAGAGTCACCAGACCAGCTCTTGGCTTGGCTGGGGCCTATCGCAAGAACGACTCATCCCTGCATGTGGCTTAGTTCAGAGACCACTCTTCACCTCGCACTTATCACTCGCAAATTGATCGGGGTTAGAATTTAAGCTTGGCTCCTTGACCCTCTCTCAGCTGCCAGTCTCTTTATGGGTTACAGAAGTCTGCCTGAGATCACACATGTCTTACAGAGAGGAAGGATGGTCCGGTGCTTAGGCCACTAGCCTAGGACTTGGGAAATTTACATTCAACTCCTCTGCCACAGATTACCTGTGTGATCTTGGCCAAGTCACTTAGCCTCTCCGTGCCTTAGTTCCCCATCTAGGGATAATAGCATTTCCCTACCTCACTGGGGGGTTGTGAGGATAAATACATTGAAGATTGTGAGGTGCTCAGGTGCCGTGGTAATGGAGGTCAGATAAGTACCTAAGATTGATAGCCCTAAACAGGTAATTTACCTGACTCTGTGTGAATTCAGTAGTTTTTACACCAGCTTGATAACTGTGTGTTATTTTCTCGGCAGAATTTTTATAAGGAGAAGAAACGGGAGGACATATACATCAGGCAAGTTGGCTGCCTCCAGAATTGCATATAGAAATGTTTTATTCTCACTGCTTTTGGGTGCCTCCGTTCAGGAGCCTTCAGATCAAATCCCTGTTTGCTTCTCATTCATCTAGGTATCTGTATAAACTTCGGGACCTACACAGGGACTGTGAGAACTTCACAGAGGCAGCATACACTCTGCTTCTCCATGCAGAACTCCTTAAGGTGACTCATTAGAGGCAATTTTAGTATTTTTACAGGGTTTGTGGAATTTCAGCTTGACAAAGACGACCAAACAATGCAGAATAATAAATCTGTGTGATTTTTAACCTGAAAAGCTTGCCAAGGACTTGAATAGTTTTGCAAGTTGCACATCAGGTATAAACTGGGTAGTTGATGAAAGCAGCAGAGTAATGTAACTTGCACCGATTTGGCATGCAATCCTGCAAATCTTTGTTTGGGTAGGATGGTCTAGTGGGTAAAGCACTGGACTGGGAGTCAGGAGATTTGTGTCCTATTACTGGCTCTGTCACTGCTGTGTGATCTTACCAAGACACTTTACTTCTCTGAGTGCCTGTTCCCCGTCTTCAAACTGGGAATAATGATCATAGAAACATAGGACCTGGAAGGGACCTGGACCTCTCGTCTGTACCCGGTCATCTTGTCCATCCCCCTGTACTGAGCAGGACCAAGTATATCCGCTGCATCCCTGACAAGTGTTTGTCTATTCTGTTCTTAAATACCTACAATGACGGGGATTCCACAGCCTCCCTGGATACCCTGTTACAGTGCTTTTAACTATCCTTAGAGTTAGAACGTTTTCATAGAACTGTGGGACTTGAAGGGTCATCTAGTCCAGTCCCCTGCACTCAAGGTAGGACTAACTATTGTCTAAACCACTCCTAATATCGGACCTGAATCTCCCTTGCTGCAAACTGAGCCAGTTACTTCTTGCCTGATGGTTGGAGGACATGGAGAACAATTGATCACGGTCATGATAGACACCTTCCTTTCCAAAGTGCTCTGAGATCCACTGATGGGTAGTGTATTTTTTATTTTAGTAGTCCCATTGGCTTCGGTATGACTGCTCATGTGACTAAGGGGTTGAGGATCAGAACACTGGTGTGAAAAATGAGTGTGACTTACCATTACTTGGGCATTCTGTGGGTATGGAATTCATCCCTGGCGTAGACAAGTGCCAGGTTGCACCTATCTACAGCAGTGCTGATTTTCTTTCCAGGACTGTTGGAGATGGTCCAGGGGTAAAATGAAGTGTATTGGGCATCCAGGGTACCGCTTGCTCATAAACCTACCTGTTAATTTTTCTTCCTGCCACGCCCCCTTCCTCCCACTTGTGTATCAGTGAGGCCTAGCCTACACACAGACGTGCCCTGGTTTAATTACACCGATGCAAAATTCAGTGTGGCTACTCTTATTTTGGCTTCAGAGTGGCTTTTTGCCTTTTAGCTTGAACTTGTGCCAAAAAATCCTGTCTTGAACTGAAATAAGAGCTTCCACAGAGCCATTTGGATTTTGATTCGTTTAAAATGATACCTTAAATTACAATTCAAGGTGCGGCACTGCGTGTAGGTAAGAAATTATGTCCATTTCACACACCCATCCGAATGTCAATTGTTTGTCAGTTACACAACTTTGTCACTTAGGCCTGATCTGTACACACACACGCGTGTGCGCACACACACACACTTGCACGGGTTTAACTAAAGGTGTGATTTCTATACCAGTTTAGTTAAACCGATGCAACTTTTGTGTGCAGACACTCTTACATCTATTTAAACCTGGCTTATGTCCGTTCAGTTTGCATCAGTAAATGTATAGGTGCTTAACCTGTATAACCAGTTTCAAACGGATAGAAGAGCATCCACAAAGGAGTTTGCATGAGTTTAACTAAATTGGTTTATGAACTGATTTAAGTTAAACCAGTGCAACTTTTGTGTGTAGACGAGGTCTTACTCCTGGGTTCTGACCATTTATTCCTGCAGTGTAACTTATACCTCCCCTTGCATTGCTGTTGAATTTGGTTCAGACACATCCACAGGAGTTGAACCCACTCACATTTGGCTCAACACGTCCCAGTTCTTTTCAACTGTTTTTTCCCTTTTCCCAGTGGTCCGATAAGCCGTGTGCTCCCCATCTGCTGCAGAGGGACAGCTACTATGTTTATTCACAACAAGAACTCAAGGAGAAACTCTACCAAGAAATCATCTCTTTCTTCGACAAGGGCAAAGTGAGTCTCTCTGCAGATCTTGAGTGGCTCTTACAAACAAATTGATCCGGAAAGAAAGGGAAAGATGATAATCTAACAAGCCTGTGTATAAATCAAAAAGCTAGGATTTTTTCAAAGGATTCAATTGAATTTCAGTGGGAATTTGGCACTTAACTCCCTTAGATTCCTTTGAAAATCCAGTGCCCCCTGTGAGTCAAAGGTCTCATCCTGCATGATGCTGAGCACCCTCAACTCTAGAGCTGGCAGAATATCGGGGTGGGGGGTAATTACAAGTGTTTTTCCTGTCTTTCTTTTTCCCTCGACAAACATTTGTATCAAAATTTTTAATGGTGAAAAGAAATTGGTTGATTGTACTGAGCTCCCATTAGCTGAATTCTTAACAGATGGCTCCCCCATTCCTTCCCCATGGTGAGTGTAACTGCCTTGGAAGAGTGGTTTCAGTGGGGGTGGCTGCTCTTCAGGGTGTGTGCTGAGAAAAGGATTTGAGCCTAAAAGGTGGTTATGAGAAGCAAAGCTTTTTTTAAAAAAAAACCACCACCATATGTTCTACCAGCAATCTTTACCAAAAAATGCCTCATTGGTAAAAAGCTAAAACACTCAGACCTGAGGCAGCATGGTCCAGTGGGCCATTAGACATGAGTCAGAAGCCCTGGGCTCCTTTGTCTCACGATCTGACCTTGGGCATGTCACTTCCCCTCTCCATGTCTCAGTTTCCCCATCAGGGCGAGTGATACTGACCCTTCTTCGTAAATCACTTCGAGATCTACAGATGAAAAGTGCTATATAATTATCATGAACATAGTAAGAAATACAGTCTGTACAGTGTGAAGCTCTCTGGAATGTCTGATGCTTTAAGAAAGAACTACCTGAAGTCAGCTAAATTTCTTATTTACCTATGGGAGGCAATAAATGCTTTTATAATAAATGTTCTTTTTTACTGTTGTTGTTTTGTTTCTTTCCTGGAGATGTGGGAGAAAGCAATCCAGCTAAGCAAAGAGTTGGCTGACATGTACGAGAACAAAGTCTTTGATTACGAGGGGCTTAGTAATCTTTTGGTAAGGTCCCTTTTTCTGGCTTGGGTTGGCTGCTGCCTGTTTAAATGGATGTTGCTGGGTCGTTCCGGCCCAAAATATAGGTTATTATTTGTTTAAAGGTTTTTTGCAAAGCTTAATATTAAAGAGGAATATTTTCATATCTGGTTTTTTTAAACTTTCTTTTGCCATTAACATAGATGAACAGAATATATCATAGTTTAAATTATACAGGTGTTTTACCCTCCTTTACACTAATAAATTAACATTTCCATACAAGTATAATACATTTTGCTCCTACCTTTAAAACTATTTCTGTATATCTCACCAACTTATTATTGCTATAGCACCTGGCAAGCCGCACTCATGGACAGGACCCCATTGTGCCAACACAGAACAAAAAGCTGGGTCCCTGTCCCAAAAAGCTGACTGTCTTATTTAACCTGCAAAGATATAACCAGCTGCTTGCTGTTTTGTGTCCCTGCTCCCCTTCTGCCTACGCCTGGATGTTTGACACCATTTCGTTTGGGCAGCCTCATGCCATGTTTATTTTGTGATATCTCTGAAGACAGTGCAGTCAAGAAATCTAGTGCATGAGAACCAGGAAGTGACATTGAGTATGACCAAAACCAGCCCCTATGTCAGCAAAATACAAAAGAGTGCTAACACAGGATAAGCAAACATTAAGTTGATGGTTTTTTTACAATTCTTTTGTATTTAATAATAAAAGTCATATTTCATAGATGTGTTGCTAACAGCACAGGGTGAGAAAACAACCTTGTAAATATGCCTGACAATGTCTCTGTGAGCTCAGAAATGAACACATCAAGGGTTTTCTTTTCCTTTTTTCCCAGAAAAAACGAGCCACATTTTATGAGAATATTATGAAGGCAATGAGACCTCAGCCGGAATATTTTGCTGTTGGGTATTATGGGATGGGTTTCCCCTCATTCCTCCGGGTAAGAATCCTGCAAGTGCTCAGACATTACAGTGATAGGTTCTACAGGAAACTCTAGAGGTGAGGTTTCTAGAGGATTTTGATGCCAAATGCCTACGAATCTGAATGGCAATTGACCGTCTAAATCACTTAAGTGGTATGAAAATCTCACTGGAAATGGCCTGAATTCTCAGTTACACTCAGGCCCTTTTACTTTAGTATAAATGAGAATTCAGGACAGTTAGTTGCCCGTAGCCTGCTGGGTGATCCAAGTGATCTTACATGGACTTAGAGGGAATCTTTCATATGTTTATGTGCTCTCCACAGTCTCTTAACTGCTTATCCTAGTGATCTTCATTGTAAGAGTGGGTTTTTTTTCTTGTAAATAATTGACCCCCAGGTGCCTCCAGACTGAATCGGTCTAATTCAAGGATATGGGTCACTTCACTCTAGAAAGTTAATGAGATCTGTCAATCCCGGATGCACTGGAATGCAAAGATGCTTCCTGTTTAGGGTTGCGTTAGTGCTGGATCCACACTGTACCAATGTTCCTCAACCTGTTCAGTTTGGTGACCCATATTTGAAGTCAAACACATTCACAGCCCCTTTACATTTATTATAAAAGTAAGGGTAACAGTTGTATTAATGCTAACAGTGATACGCCTGTATCGTTTAGAGGTGTGTGGTGTGTGTGTGTGTGTTTTTGTTTTTGAGAGGTTGACGGAGCATACCTGACCTCGAAGGGGAAGGATGTGCGGAGAGCAGGGGACTGAGATTTTCTTTGCTTTCGATTGTAATAAAATTGTCAATTCCTCATGACTTCCTCTCTTGGGGTTCACAGAATCACAGAATATCAGGGTTGGAAGGGACCTCAGGAGGTCATCTAGTCCAACCCCCTGCTGTCATTTAGCCAATCCCCAATTTTTGCCCCACATCCCTAAATGGCCCCCTCAAGGATTGAACTCACAACCCTGGGTTTAGCAGGCCAATGCTCAAACCACTGAGCTATCCCTCCCCCCAAAGTTGTGATCTACTAGTTCACACACACACACACGCCTATGCTATGCAGCAAGTCAAACTAGAATCCTAGTGGTTCCTTCTGGCCTTTAAATATCTATGAATCCAACACATTTGACAAACACCAAAACTGACCACAAAACAGTCCCAATACCATCCATCTTCCCAGCACAAACTGTTGACCTGCCTGGATGTTTAACAAATAGTTTGTGCTGGCTTAGCAACACAAGGCTGGTTTTCTCTTTTCCCTCTCTGGTCTGTTATCCACGAGGTAGGGTGAACAGATGCCCCGATTTTATAGGGACAGTCCCAATATTCGGGGCTTTGTCTTATATAGGCACCTATTACCCCCAAGCCCCTGTCCCAATTTTTTACACTTGCTTTTTGGTTCCCCCCCCCACCACCACCACCACCACTAGGACATGTACATGATGGTTAACAACATGTGCTAATATTTTATGTGTGAAATCATTGGAACAAACTCAGTGACCCTTTTGTGGAGATACCAGCAACATACATGGTTGCAAAATGTCACAGCTATTAAAGGTTTACACTTATGAATTCATTGTGGACTTCAAGGCTCAGCCCAATTCCACTGCAGCCTTCATTCCCACAGTGTATATGTCTGGGTACCTATATGGCACTCCTGACTGTAGTATGAATGCCTCAGAAGCATTAATGGATTTTATCCTGTCAGCTAAGTATTATCCTCATTTTGCTAATGGAAAACTGGGGCACAGAGTAAAATTAAGTGACGTGGCTGAGGTTACGCAGGAAGACTGTGGCTGAGCTAGGAATTGAACCATGGTCACCTGAGCTTTTGGGGAGTACTTTATTCACTAGACCATGTGTGATGGAGGGATTAGTGGATGGGGTTCTCTGGCCTATATTCAGACTAGATGGTCAGATTTGATGACTACTATAATCATCTAATGTATTAATCAATGAATTCATAACTAAAACACTGCTTGGCACAAAATTTTAACCACCCAGATCGCACCCCAAGTGTGTGTGATGTCTGAGTCGCGTCTAATTCTCATTTCCTCCCGCTGCCCGCAGAATAAAATCTTTATCTACCGTGGCAAGGAGTATGAACGGAGGGAAGACTTCAACTTGAAATTGCTGACCCAGTTTCCAAACGCCGAGAAGATGACCAGCACTACACCTCCAGGAGAGGAGATCAAGTCTTCCCCTAAACAGTGTATCTTTTAGCTATTGTTTGGTTTGTCATATTCAAGCCCTACTTCCTCTGCTTGAGGTGGCAGAATCTGTCATGCTGGTACTTTTTCTGCACAACATGTGATTAGACTGCGGAACTCATTGCCACATTATGTCTTTGAGGTCAAAGACTTAACAAAATTCAAAGAGGGATCCGACTTCTATATGGATGACATGGAAATACAATAATTACAATGCTAAAAAATGAATAGGGATATAAAACCTCATGCTTCAGAGTTTAAACCAGTTTGTTAGAAGTTAGGATGACATTTCTATGGGGGTCAGATTATCCCCCAGCTACCCACTGTGGGGTTTCTTGCACCTTCCTAGCAAGTGGCGCTGGCCACTGTTGGAGACAAGACACTGGGCTAGATGGATAATGGGTCTGATCCATTCTGGCGTACAACGGGTGAAAGTGGGGTACAAAGAAGTGCCATATCGCATCTCTTCTGGACAGTGCAGTTTATTGTCAGTCGTGAGGAATCTGATTATTTCCAACCAGAAATTGATACTTTTTAAAATTTACTTTTAATTTTTGTAATAATTATAAGTGCTGATGAAAGGTGCCAGGTTCATAGCCCTGGAGATTGATTTCTGATTCTCCACCTATATACTGGAGTAACTCAGTCAACAGCAGCGGCATAAAACTGGTGCTACAGAGTGGAGAGTCAGGCTCAAGACTTCTCTTTACTAACAGTAAGGGTGATTAACAAATGCCCAAAGGAAGTGGTGGATTCTCTTGGTGTCTTCAAGACTCAGATGCCTGTCTGGAAGCTGTGCTTCAGTCAAACACAAATTATTGGGCTCAGTGCAGAGATAGCTTAGTGAAATATTCTGGCCTTTGTCAGACAGGAAGTCAGACTGATACTTCCTTCTGTCCTTAAAAATGTGTGAAGTTCTCAACAGCAAAGACACAGCTCAGGCAGCTTCCCCTGCACATATCAACCCGGCCAGCTATCCGCTTAGAAAAATTCATTCAAGACCAAACTTGGTATCAAAATTGCCTCCTTCAATTCTGCTGTTTCAGCTGCTTCCTTTGTATCTGTTCATGTTTGCACTAACGTTTTGGCCAGGGGTAGGCCTGAGCTGCACAACGTGGATGCAGATGTGAACTCTTCCCAAAGTTCGGGGATGTTTGGATGCAGGGCTTTGGCTTGGTCCATTATAAGAAGTAGCAGCTGCATTGTTTGGATCTGGTACAGGTCCATTTGTGCTTCTTATTGAATCCATTTGAAAGGACAGGCAGTACTATTGCTCCAAGTACACTGTTACCACAGACAGGTTGATGATTCTGTGAGTAGTTCAATGTCAAGCTTTTTTTATTATGTTTGAAATCCTGTTTCTTTCAGGCCCTTTGAAATTTTTAACAGAAGCTGTATCCTCACTCGCTCTCTCTGTGTAATAAAATAACATCTTGCCCTTTTACGGTTGTTTCATGAAAGGAACTGAACGTATGTTGCAGACGTTCCTTAAACCTTGCAACACCTCAGTGACATAAGGAATATATAGGGAATTACATCAACCACCATTGACATGCAGCCAATTCTAGGGAGCAGCGAAGCAGCTGATCAACAGCAATATTAGGTGACTGGGCCAGATTGTGTGGCCCTCCTTTTCATTCGGGGTTTTACTTTTGGGGCGTCTTCAGTAGAACAGAACAATGGCCCCAGAGATAGCAGTAACACTAATAAAAAGTGTTTGTGTTTTAGGCCACTATTGTAGACCACGGTATTATGATTTATTTAATCTCCATCATAGCTCACCAGTGCAAGAGCTGGGGTTAGAGACACCTCTTCGCTGATTTACAAACAAACAGCCTACGTTTGTTAGGTAGCTTTATCAAAGTCTGTTTTCTGGCTGAGAGCTTTGAAGTGGGCTCCAAAATGCAGACATGCTCTGCGTCTGCAAAGCACGTGTCTGTAACACTCAAGGGAAACTGCATTAGCTGGCAATAGTAGCAGCAGATCCCTTCGGCTCTTTATGAGCCAGTTCTTAGAGGGTGACATGCATGCATGCACAATTACACTAGGTCTTGTGAAGGAATAATGTGCATACTTTAAACGTCATGACAACAGTGCAGGGGACACGGGGATTGTTCAGAAATCCGACACTGAAGAAAATGAGAAGGATGTTCCCTTCCTTCCTTTTATTCTCCCATCCGAGATCCCGGCGTTTTCCATCCTTAACAGGAACCCCGCAGATGTGCAGTGCTTTATAGTGAAGCCTGTGATGAACCTGCCACCCAACTATAAAGACAAGCCTGTTCCGGAGCAGATCTTAAAGTAACTTCCTTTCCTTTACTTGTTCTCTCTTAGGAACGCCGAGGGGGTTATCAAGGGCACCAACCCCAATTTAGCCCGCCTGAGCTGTGGCTTTCCTAAACCTGGGAAACTTAAAAACTCCACATTTGCCACTGGCCAGTGATTCTGATGCCAGAATATTTCCATTTCAAAGCCCAGGTGTCTGGGGAGGAGATGAATGTTGAGTTTTTAATGGAGTTCATTGCGTTTCCCCGAGCTCAGCCAGCGCGATCCCCCTGTTTGAATTCACTCGCCACTGGTTCTAAACTAACCATGTTCAAACACGGTTGTGTACAGCTCCGGAGCCTTCAAGGCTTAGCTGCCCTATTATTTTGTTTGTTGTATTTCCATAGCCCCTAGCGGTTTCAGTTGAAATTGGGTGCCTCATGCTGTACAGTGAGAGACGGTCCCTGTCCTAAAAAGTTTGTATTCTAAATAAACAAGAGGAAGAGAGAGGATGGAAGGGGAAACTGAGGCAGGGAGGTCAAGTGACTTGCCCAAGGTTACACAGCTGGTTATTGGCAGAATTGTAGCAAGGGAGGGACTTGGTCTCCTACAGGAATCCAGTAGTAGTTCGTGGCATTCATCCTGCAGGCTGAGTGGGAATTCGAAAGCTCCTTGATTATTCTATAACTATAGAATAATCTATAGAATAATAGAATAATCAAGGAGCTTTCGAATTCCCACTCAGCCTGCAGGATGAATGCCACGAACTACTACTGGTAGTATATAACATGGTGGGGGTGGGGGGTAGGCGCGGAGTTGTGCTGCCCACACAGGCCAGAAGGTTGTGTTCACAAACATGTAAGAGCTGTGTTTTTAAATCTGGTAGGCACAGGACATCCTGATCTTCCACCCGCACCTTGGCAGCAGGACCCACCTGGTGGGGAGAGCTGCTCCCTGATTTCCTAGACCAGTAATGGCATTGCAGGGCAGAGTAGAGGGTACTCACAACTTGATCCTCATCTTCCCCAGGGCTAAAGTATAGGTAGAACATGGCTTTTTGCAATGTGCACAGGGGAGAATAAATTGTAGACCATGGCTGGGCCACAACCATGTTTAAGCCTAGCTATTTTTGGAAAAGAACAAGAGGAGGAGGAGAAAAACCCCCCCCCCCCATTTATTGTGTCCTTCCTTAGCTACTACAGAGCCAATGAGGTGCAGCAGTTCACATATTCCCGGCCGTTTAGGAAAGGAGAAAAAGATCCGGAGAATGAATTTGCGGTGAGTCCTTCACTTTCTGTTCAAAACGCCTCGATTCTCTAAGCAATGGGGGAACTGCTCTTTGTGCATTGCCTTTCTCTTCCTATCAGAGGGCCCTGACACCTTGGTACCTACCGAAGCACCAAACAGTGATATGAAAATCAACAGATCTAGAACGTGTTCCTCATCTCCCCAGCTGTAGCAACGGGATTTGATTATTTAAATGTGGGGAAAATCAAGAGCTGGGCCTGATACCATGATCTGAACACAGAGCTGATCTGCTCTGGAATGGAGGTCTGGAGCTGGGGTCCTGCCACTTGGAATTCTCTTACCCAGTAGTCCAAGATGGGTCTCTTAAGCAGCATCCCTATGGAGTGCAAATGTGTGACTGGGGTTTGTGGTGGGTGTGATGATGTATGAGGGAATCAAGCCCAAACCCATAATAAAGCCTCAGTAAAGACCACAGCACTTTGAATTTAATCCAGCAATGGAGGTGGGAATTTCAGTAGACTGTATCTGCAAAAAGGAAAGGAGTACTTGTGGCACCTTAGAGACTAACAAATTTATTGGAGCATAAGCTTTTGTAAGCTACAGCTCACTTCATCGGATGCAGATGTAGAGTTTATGGAGCCTGAGTGTAGCGTGTTAGCATCTGTTTTTGTTGCTTCCCAGAAGAGCCGTTGCTGCTATGGAGTGGTGATGCGCGATGTAACGCACTGTCTCAATGTGTTGTATCCCCCTCTAGGGGCTGGTCCACGTAGAGGGTAACAACCTATTATTGCTACTAGCTAATGGACTTACTCCGTTAGCTTTAATGGTAGGAAGCTGTGCTTTGCTGCTGAAAGGCCTGGGTTCTACCCCTGTTGTTGACCTGTCATGATCACACGGAAGTCATTAAATCAGCCCAGTGAGTTGCAGCAGTCTGGTCTAGAGGTGCTGGAAGCCTGGCCTTGAGCCCTAAAACATGTGGGAGTTGAATTGCAATGATTTCCTTATGACTTTGTCTCTTGAATTCCCTGACCAGACCATGTGGATTGAAAGAACGACCTACACAACCGCCTACACGTTCCCAGGCATCCTCAAGTGGTTTGAAGCCAAACAGATTACGACGGTGAGTCCTTGGAAGAGGTGCATTCCGGTAAAGGGACTTTATATGTCAATATCTGGTCAACGTTGGGCTTTTGACAGGCTGGATCGGACCTTTGGCCCATCGTGTCTGATGTGCTGACTCCAGCAATGGCCAATACCTCATGTTTCAGAGGAAGACAACCCCCTCTATCTTCTATAATGCGCCTGGCTATTTGACCAGTGCAGCAGGGAACCCCACCGCACGCAAAATAAGTCCCAGGATAATTGTATGGTGCGATGGCCAAATGCACCTCTATTTCAAACCCACCGCGCATGGTGGTAGGGAAAGGCCCAGTTCACCAAAAACATGTTTTGTGTGCTTTAGTCCCATGGAAATCATGGGGATTTAAATAAGCGCTTTAAGTTAACCACACACTTAAGTGCTTTGCTGAATTTCGGTCCAGTCCCAGATTTCTGCAGGTTATTGGCATGAGAAACGGTCTTTCTTAAAGATATGGTGAATGGGGCCCCTGTACAAATAGAAAGAATGAATCCTCTGCGTGTCAAGTTCCAGGCCGTTTTTTAACGTGTCCATCACTTGTGTCTTTATTGTGCGTTATCCCCCCTCTGGCAGGTTGAAAGCTACACAGGGCAGTTGTTAGGGCTCTTTCTCTTTTGGGGGGGCCCGGTGGTTCTGGGCTGACTTGAGAACACACAGGTTATCCTGATCTTCCCCTCTCCCCAACGTACCCTGGCAGCAGATCCCACAGGGTGGGGAGAGCTGCTACCTAATCCCCCACTGCAGCAATGGTAATGTAGGGCCTGAGTGGGAGACACACGCAGCTTGAGCCTCGTCACCCCAACTGGCAGTAGCATCAGATCAGAAGGAAATGACCCACTGAATGACTGATCTCTGTTTTCCCACTGGCAGCAGGATGCACATAGGGAGGAAGGGGGGAAAGCCGCTGTCCAATCTCCCACTCCTGCAGGACTGGAAGTGGTACTTGTACCAATCGACCATTCTAACAGCAGAATGGGATCAGGAAGCCGCTCGGAATCCTCTTGTCTGCCCTGCTTTTCCCCTGCTCTTGGTTTGAGGCCCAGCCCTGTGCTATGGTGTGCGAAAATTCACGGGCAGGATGGCGGGAGTTTCCAGAGAGGGTCAGTGTGGGATTTCTCAGTCTTCTCTTCATTACCGTTCAGGAGGAGATCAGCCCTTTGAAGAATGCCATCGAAACCATGGAGCTAACCAATGAGAAAATCAGCAACAGCGTCCAACAGCATGCCTGGGATCGTGCCCTGCCTCTGCACCCGCTCTCCATGCTGCTGAACGGCATTGTGGACCCTGCAGTCATGGGGGGATACACCAACTATGAAAAGGTCAGCTGGCTCCATGTAGCGCTTATCTCTCGTCCAAGGTGTTGACTTCCAAGTGGAAGGATGGTCTTGTGGCTGAAGCACTGACCTGGCTCTTGGTTCAATTCCTAGCTACTACACGGACTTTGGGCAAGTCGCTAAAGGCCAGATTTTTAAAGGTATTTAGGTGCTTAACAGGATTTTCAAAAACACCTATGATCTTAGCACCCATCAGTGGGCACTTAAGTAGCTTTTAAAAATCTGTCCCTTAATCTCTCAATGCCTAAATTGCCCATCTGTAAAATGAGGATAATGCTACTTTCCTTCTTTCGCTCACCACTGTTCTAATCTGTATAGATTCAAAGAACAATAGAAAGAACAAAGGTAAGCAGAGGAAGGATGGTCTAGTGGTTAGGGTGCTAGTCTAGGAATGGAGAGAAATGGGTTCTGTTCCTTGCTGTGCCACAAACTTGGGCAAATCACGTAGTTGCTCTGTGCCTCAGTTCTCCATCAGTATAATGGGAACAACAATACTTCCCTACATCACAGGGATGTTGTGAGGATAAATACATAAAAGATAGTGAGGTGCTGTGGTGATGGAAGCCAGATAAGTGTGTGGGGGGTAGGTCTGCCCTTAAAAATTATATTGACTTAGCTATGGTGCTCAGGGCTGTGGAAATCTTCATGCCGTAATTAGGTCTATTTAACCCCTGGTATAGACACACCGAGGTTGACTGAAGAATTCTTCCATCAACTTAGCTACCTCCTTTTTGAGAGGTGGAAGATCAGCTACATCAGTGGAAAAACCCCTTCTGTCGATACAGAAAGCACCCACGCTACAGCAGTATAGAGTAGAATGTCCAAGAATCCTAGAATATCAGGGTTGGAAGGGACGTCGGGAGGTCATCTAGTCCAACCCCCTGCTCAAAGCAGGACCAGTCCCCAATTTTTGCTCCAGATCCCAAATGGCCCCCTCAAGGATTGAACTTACAACCCTGGGTTTAGCAGGCCAATGCTCAAACCACTAAGCTATCCCTCCCCCCAACCCTGGATTTAGCAGGCCAATGTTCAACCGAATGCTCAACGCACTGAGCTATTCCCCCCCCCCCCCGTAAACAGAGTAGACAGAGATCAAAGTAAATTGACTTGTGTCTCAGTTTTAATAATGTAAAATGCTGACAGGAAGACCAGGGATTTTTTTTATAATCACTGTCTAGCTGTCAATATATATTTTGTCTTGATAGCGTGACGGCAAAGAGCAGTCGAATCAGAGTGAAAACACAATCTGTCCCTTCGCAGTTTGTGCCTTTTTTTGGCATGGCATGTATCTCCCTCGTTAATTATACTGAGCTGAAGACAGTTATTACCCCAGCCTCTAATCACATTGCGAAGTCCTGAATAATGCCATCTCTGGCATGAAATGTCATGGTGGTTTTCATAGCTTCAGTGTGTGGTGCTGGAAACGTGTTTGATTTTTAAAAAGTGTCGTGATCAAACAAAATGAAGCACAGACATTGAAGGGACTTGTGTCAGATTTAACCCTGGTGTCAATCCCCCGATTCCAGAGGGATTGCACACTCCAGCAGGGATGAATTTGGCTAAGTATTTTCCCATTTTATGAGTTAAAGTTAACGTAAAGTTTAGAATTATGAAAATGGGAAAGCATTTAAAACAAGGAAACTCCAGGTATTTGTAACCACATCTGGAAATACTCACAACCAGTTCATATTTTCCTACCTCGACTAAGGATTAGCAGAGAGAGAGTCTGGCATTTGTGGGCGGCCTGAATCCTGAGCTTTAATTGTGTCATTGTAGCTGGAAGCCAAAAGTCTCCATTGTACCATGGGCGTGCTTTCTTCCTCGAATAATGAAACTCTTCCAAGAAAAGTACTTTGGGTCCAGCCCTGCAGTTCTCTCTCAGGCTACCCAGCTGTTGACCTCAGTGGGAGTTTAGGCTTTGTAGAACCATACTCCATTGGCCCACAAACACCTGTACATAAAATCCAGTTAACAGAGTGCAGTTTTAAAAGTGGATGGAAAACTAACAAGTATTTTACCTAGAAAATGTTCTTTAAAATTGCTTATCCTGTGAACTGTGATTGTGGGAAACTTTGAGACTACGTTCGGTCACAAACCATGTGAATTGGTGGGAATTTAGTCCTGTTTTAAGGATCCAAATCAGGAAATGACTTAAGAACATGCTTACCTTTAGGCATGAGCTTAAATTCCTTTGGCTTCAATGTGTGGTTAAAGCTAAGCGCATACTTAAGTGCTCTCTTGAGTTACAGGTGTTTTACTGAACCAGGGGCCTTAGTGAAAGCTTAACTGTGGAATCGCTACTGTTGCTTCCGTCACAAAACCCCATATAATTGCTCTGCTGGGAAATCAGTTCCACATGTGGGCTTGGATTCCTCAGCACAGAGGTACCAGAGGCACAAGGGTGGCTTACTAACCTTTTTGAGGTTGGAGTTAAAAATTGTGTGTTTGGGTACAGTTTTGAAGGATTGCATGAGTACTCTGTTGCTTGTATGCTGGAGTTTAAAGAAACTTTGTTACTGAGATGCGGATTGTTGTGGAGTCTTCTGCCTTTTGGGTGGTAGGTCGGGTGAAGGGAGGTTACTCTGGATATTAATACATAGTGCAGGTCAAATGCTGAGGAAATGCTTTACCTTTTTTATTTTTCCCACTGAAATTTTGAAAATCAAAAATATTCAGCCAAGTGGTTGTACTTTAGCAAATTTCAATGGAGAAAAAATGTCAAAACACTTGAGGGGGAAAAAAGCATTTTTCTTACGGTTTTTGAGAGAAACAATCTTAGCTCTTAATTTATTGAAGAAGAAGAAGAAAGTTCTAGCAGCTGTAACATCAGACCACACTCGTTAAGAGACCTGGGAATCTTATCGAAAGAAAGTATTTCACTAAGGGTAAGGACCCTGTCTGAAATTCGTTGGTCTGAAACAGATCTTTGTCGCTTGCTATTGGTGTTCTTCAGGTTAAAAGCCAACTGTAAAGAAAACATAATGTTTTTATGCCTTCTGCTTTCCTCTTTGCTTTCACAAAAAGAAAAGGAGTACTTGTGGCACCTTAGAGACTAACCAATTTATTTGAGCATGAGCTTTCGTGAGCTACAGCTCACTTCATCAGATGTGTGCTGGAAATGGCCCACCTGTTGATCATTTTAGATAAGCTATTACCAGCAGGACAGTGGGGTGGGAGGAGGTATTGTTTCATATTCTCTGTGTGTATATAAAGTCTGCTGCAGTTTCCACGGTAAACATCTGATGAAGTGAGCTGTAGCTCACGAAAGCTCATGCTCAAATAAATTGGTTAGTCTCTAAGGTGCCACAAGTACTCCTTTTCTTTTTGCGAATACAGACTAACACGGCTGTTCCTCTGAAACCTATCTTTGCTTTCAGGCCTTTTTCACGGAGAAGTATCTCCAAGAACATCCTGAAGATCAAGATAAAATTGAACTACTTAAGCAATTAATTGCCTTACAGGTACCATATTGGGACGGGGGGAGAGAGAAAGAGAGAGGGAGAATTGTCACATTGTGTGTGTGTGTGTGTGAGATGTTTGTACAAAATTTTGAAACAACACAAAGAAGAGAGGTGTTAAAAGAACGCAGTGCAATGTCTGTACAATCGTCCCTTATTTTAAAAAGTTCTATGGTATTCTTACTTAGTGGTCCAAAACACTTCAGTCGCACTATGGCACAGGCTAACTTCCTCTTGACCCTAGTGGAAGTTGAGCTTTGATTAGAATCACATTGCTTGGCCTACAAACACCTGTGCATCCAGTCCAGGTAACAGAACATAGAATACAAATACACGAATGTAATCTAAAGACTGAGGTAGGTCAGAGCTGAATTTTAAAACTAGTTGAAAAATTATCAAGTATTGTACCTAGAAAATGCTCTTAAATTTCTTTTTCCTCTGAACGGTACTGCAGTGCTTTGGACTATTATTCTGGAATATGATGGGTAGATTTTTCTCATTATCCTAAACGGTTGCTCATCCCCTTTTCCTTTTTATTATTTATTTCTCTTCTTTACCCCACTTTTTTTTTTTTTTCATAATTCTGACAGTTGAAAAGTCACGCAGCCTGACCTGCTCTGTATATAACCATTAAAATCGATAAGGAAGTTGTCATGAAAATTCCACTGCAGTAGGATGTCAACTTGTTCCCGTATATTTCCATGTAATGGAGCCAGGTTAAAGCTACTTCACAGTTATATTGCTTTGGAGACTGAGTGCTCTCCCCACACTTTACATACCCCATGCTACACACATACAGGATCATCGTGTGAACACTGGGGGTTTGGAAGTGACAGAGAGAGAGAACTCCTTCTTGACCCCTGCAGCACTCAGCTTTCACTCTGGAGCATGAGAATTGATTTTCTTGCTTGCTTGCTTTCTTGCTCATAGCATTAGCTCATAGTATTTTGCGCCTTTTTTTAGATGCCTTTGCTGGCTGAAGGGATTAGGATTCATGGTCAGAAACTGACTGAGCAGCTGAAGCCCCTGCATGACAGGCTGACAACCTGCTTCAAAGAGCTGAAGAAGAAAGTAGAGAAGCTCTACGGTGTGATAACTCTGGTAAACATGACTTGTTTAGTGCAGTGTCTCAAAGAAACAGCCCGGAATTACCCTCTCCTTGTGAGTAGCATGTCCCAGCTCCTCACAGCTTTTGTTTAATATCGTCTGCAGCCTTCCTCCCTGACGGAGAGGAAGCAGAGCAGGTCAGGCTCCGTGGTATTGCCTTACATCATGTCTTCCACGCTGAGACGGCTGTCTGTCACCTCTGTGACTTCCTCTGTGGTATCTACGTCCTCCACCTCATCTGACAGCACCTCCTCCAGGCCAGGATCTGATGGGTTAGTGACTGGCCTTTTCAAAAATGTCAGACATTTATGGGGAGTGGGAATCACTTTTGCTCGTGGAGGTTATTTTAATATCGCCTTCTCAAGGGATGCAGCTTTATAACTTTCTTTTGCTTTTAAAATGAGGTTTCATCTAACCCGCAAATAATAGTACTTAGTTCTTACAGAGCACTTTTTGTCAGTAGATCTCAAAGGGGTTTAGAATGGGGGTCAATGTCATTATCCCCACTTTACAGATGGGGAAACTGAGGCACAGAGAGGCGGGGGAGACTTATCCAAGATCACCCAGGAGGCCAGTGGCAGAGCTGGGAATTGAACCCAGGTCTCCTGAGTCCCAGTCTGATACCCTATCTGCTAGTCTGCCAAATGATGTGGGTAATATAGTACAGTGAAACCACAGCATTTCTGTTCTCCTAAGAGAATCACTGAACCCTGGAAGATGGAGATTAAAACATCCTATGAGGTCTGTAGTCCAGTGGTTCCCAAATTGTGATCTGCAGAGAACTGGATGGTCAGTTAGTGCTACCTCAGCTGCTGTGTTTCCAGCTGGGAAATGGTACAGAATGGAATTGCAATCCTTTCCTGACGTTACTGTTCCACGTACGCATTTGCAGTTGTTACGCCACAGGGCCTAAATGCCTTGCCCACGGTCACAGAGCAGATCAGTGGCAAAGCTGGGAAGAGACCCGCAGGTTTTCCTGACTCTCAGGCCAGTGCTCGGTTCATTGGACAACACTTCCTTCAATGCATAACACAGTGCAATTTCAAAAGTGCCCAAGTAACTTAAGCGCACAAGTCCCTTTGACAGGTTTCAGAGCAGCAGCCGTGTTAGTCTGTATTCGCAAAAAGAACAGGAGGACTTGGGGCACCTTAGAGACTAACCAATTTATTTGAGCATAAGCTTTCGTGAGCTACAGCTCACTTCATCAGATGCATGTAGCTCACGAAAGCTTATGCTCAAATAAATTGGTTAGTCTCTAAGGTGCCACAAGAAGTCCCTTTGAAAGTCTTGTGCTCCTAACTCACTTTTGCACAATTACTCTCGTGCATACTAAAAAGTGAGGGCCTTCTCACTGGAGGGCTAATGCTTCTGGCTTTGTGTCTGTCCTTCGGTATGGGCTGCAGATCCATTCTCGAGCCTCTCTTGGAGAGAAGGCTGTCGACGGCTTCCAAGGCTGAAGAGCTGCCTGTCAAGGAAGACGCCGATAACCGGATTAACAAATTCAAGCGGAAGGACCGGAGTATTAGCAAGTCTCAGGTTATTGTGGAGAAGGAGCCAGAAGCTGAACTGACTTCCAAAACGGTAACAATAGTAGTAGTAATAATAAAATCCGCAGTGGGGGTTTCATAGTTCTTGCTTCTCCTTCAGCCTTGTTTGTCATTGGGATCTTCATTCAATACTGGGAGGGGTTCGAATACCAAAAGCCCTGGTCAGCTAAATAATTACTTGCCTGTTGTTTGGAAACCTTGTTTCAGGAGCCACAGTGCAGTTTGATTTGAAGTAGAAACTTGAAGTCCCAGGTGCTGAAAGTTCCACTAGGGGAGTGCTCATCACCCTCGTCTCTCACAGACGCCCGGGACAGTTTCAAACAGACAGCTGCTATCTAGCCACTCAAAAAATCCAGCTGGAGGGCCAGATCCTCAGCAGGTATAAATCAGCATGGCTCCATTGGAGTCAAATGTACAGCCGCTGAGGATTTGGCCTGCGATTTAGGAATTGAGAAGGGACGATCCAGTGGTTAGGACACTAGAGCTTGAAAGAGAGGCTGCTCTGCCACAGATCGGTGACCTTGGACAAGTCATTTAGGGCCTCATTGTAAAAGGTATTTGGGTGCCTCACTCCCATTGATTTCAATGGGAATTAGAAGCCTGGCTGGCTCACGCCCTGAGGGAGGGACCGCAAAACTGGTCTGCATGCAGCTCTGGGGTTGAAGATGTGTTGAATTTGAGCCTGATCCAATGCCATTTAAGTGCTACTGTTGATTTCAATGGGAGTAGAATCTAGGGCTTCATCCATGGCTTGAGCTGTCAGCTGCTCTTTGCTTTTGATCCCGATTCAGCGGAGCACTTAAGCATGTAGAAGATCAGGGAGAAAAGTCTGGCAGGCAACTTGGCTGTTGGTTAATGCCCCACCACACGATAGGGAGCTAAGAAAGGCAGAGACGAATTCTTAGTAGAATCTGTACCTCTGAGGGTAAATTCCCCATATGATTGGCTCAGTGAAACACATGAGGCTTTTGAGTTGTATTTTTCTTACGACATTGCAAAATACGCAGATGTTGATTTGGAGAAGTGTTTGCAGGGAAGTCAGGAGTCTATTCCATGACTGACTAGTCCAGTTGAGGATTTAGGGAGACTCTGGTGTGACCCTGGGCAGCACTGGCTGTATAAATTAATCTGAGGCTTGGCCTGTGTGCAGCAGCCTCAATAGTTCTCTCTTATATTCGTTATGCCCAAGTCCTGTCTCTTCTGCACAGTGAAAAACACACCAGCATTCAGCGGTGAAAGGTGGCTAATGCAATAGATCTCCACAAAGAACACGTTGTGTTCTGTAATATATGTAAACCCTGCCAACTTCTCCTGACCCGTAATGAAGTGTCATCTAGAAATGGACCAAAATATTGCATATCTGTGTCAAATTTCAGCTATGTTTAGCTATTGGAGGGGGGCAATGTTTAACAGAAGAGGAATTGGGCAGGGACAGACTCTCTAAATGGAGCTGTTGAAGGCACCATCCCCGCAGAAAGTCAAGAGCAGGTTAAATAAGATGTTAGTCTGTCTATCTAGATCAGGGGTGAGCAAACTTTTTGGCCCGAGGGCCACATCAGGGTGCGCAACTGTATGGGGGGCCAGGTAGGGAAGGCTGTGCACATGTCCCGAACAGCCTGGCCCCGCCCCCATCTGACCTCTCCCACTTCCCGCCCCCTGACTGCCCCCCTCAGAACTCCCCACCCATCCAACCCTCCCGCCCCCTGCTCCTTGTCCCCTGACTGTCCCCCTCAGAACCCCCCACCCATCCAACCCCCACCTCCTGCTCCTTGTCCCCTGACCACCCCACCCCCTATCTAAATCCCCCCTGATCCCCCCCGCTCCCCAAACCTCTGCCCCATCCAACTGCCCCCTGTCCCCTGACTACTCCCAGGGACCCCCTACCCCTTATCCAATCCCCGGCCCCCTTACCATGCTGCTCAGAGCAGCATGTCTGGCAGCCGCGCCGCCTGGCCAGAGCTAGACATGCCGCTGCTGTGCCCTGGAGGAGTGTGCATCCCGCTGCCCAGAGCGCTGCCGGCACGGCAGCGGCATGGCTGCAGGGGAGGGGGGACAGCGGGGCAGGGAGCTCGGGCCGGGCAGGACAGTACAGTCCCGCGGGCCGTAGTTTGCCCACCTCTGATCTAGATATTCCTGCAGCCCCCATCTCTGTAGTATTTGAGCGCCAAAAGACCATTATTGAATATTCCCTCATGGCATCGCTGTGAGGTAATGCCAGTATCATTAGCTCCATTTCACAGACTGGGCAACTGAGGCAAAGATTTTCAAAGAAGCCTAAGGGAATTAGGCACCCAACTCCCAATCTGGGTGTCTAACTTTCTTAGGCGCCTTTAAAAATCTCAGCCAGCGAGGTCAAGCGACTTGACCAAGGCCACACCAGAAGTTTGTGGCATGGTTAAGAATTGCATCTCGTTCTCCCAAGTTCCAAACCAGTGGGACTCCATGAGCAAGACCCGTCCTTCCTTAGTTGGAATAAGAGAGGGATTGGTTCTGCAAAATGCAGCCTCTTGGACTGAATGACCCACACGGTCTCTTCTGGTCCTGGTACTGATTACCTGAACCATTTTTCTTTGCCTTCTCTCAGGAGCTGCTCCTTGCAAAAGTGTCCATAGAATGACTAGGCCAAATGCAACTGTTTTCCACCCTGAATTCCTTCCCTGATATCAGAAGCCTCTTCCTTCCTTACCTGATACAATGAAATCTTTGTGAGCAGTGCTATCCAGTTAGTAAGGTCCCCACTGAAAATTTGACCAGCAGCGCTAGCATCATATGTCATAGGAGTTACAGCACTTGCCTTTTGACATTGCTTCGCCAGTTCTGTGTTTGCACTCCATGTTTCACCTAAATGCACCTTTCTGTCTTGTACATGGCTCTTCTGGTACATGCTGATCCCTTCCTGACAGGTCTGGTTATTCCCTGCATGCGCAGCCACCTTGCCGACTTCAAACGGTTTTGTTTACTCTGTGTTTTCCCTCAGAGCACATCAGAAAAAGCACAGAGACCAAAGAGTCTTCAGTTAGGAGACGGCAGACTGACACTGCATCAGGCTTCCTCACTCCAGCAGTCAACCCCACTCAGCCCGCCCCCCATCACTCCGAAAACCCCAAGAACCCACAGTAAGTCCTATTGCACTGTAGTTTGCTTTCCACTTCCTTCTGGGCAGTGTCTGTGGTAATAGAATATACCAGCGGTTCTCAAACTGTGGGTCAGGACCCCAAAGTGAGTCACGACCCCATTTTAATGGGGTCACCCGGGCTGGCATTAGACTTGCTAGGGCCAGGGCCAAAGCCAAATCCTGAGCCCCACTGCCCTGGGCCAAAGCCCAAGTCCCGCTACCCGGAGTCAAAGCCAAAGCCCGAGGGCTTCAGACCTGGGTGGCGGAGCTCAGGTTACAGGCCTCCTGCCTGGGGCAGAAGCCTTGGGCTTCAGTTTTGGCCACACCAGGCTTTGAAATTGGCTCCCCCGCCCAGGGCAGCAGGGCTCGAGTGGGCTCAGGCTTCAGTCCTCCGCATTCTAGGATCAGGTAGTAATTTTTGTTGTCAGAAGCCGGTCACAGTGCAATGAAGTTTGAGAACCCCCTGGAATACAGGCAGTCCTCAGACTTACGACACAATTGGTTCCTGAAAATTGCGTCTTGTAAGTTGAAACATCAGCACTCGAACATCCACTCCACTGCAGGACCGAGCGTCGTAAAAGTCTAAACCAATTGTTGTTAAGTCAGATCAGGGTGTCAATTCAGAAGCGTCGTAAGCAGAACGTCGTCAAGTCGAGAACTGCCTGCATACCATGTTTTAGTAGAGAGAGCCCGAGAGCTAATGACAGCTTCAGACCAGGGAAGAAAATCTGGTAGGAAAAAGTGTATTGAAAGAAACCCTGGCTTTTACCATTTGCCTTATGGACTTTCTCTCTGTGTTACCAAAGGGGCTGAAATAACCCTTCTTAATTGTATGCAGCCCAATAAATTGAAATTAAACTTCTTCCACGAATAGTTATTTTTAACCTACTAGGCCAGACTTTTTTTCATCCAGGCTTTTCAATGAATGGTGTGAACAGATATTGTGAGCTAAATTTCTGAGTGAAATGCCAGTGCAATTATTCGTGGGCACCTGGGGAACGAGAGACTGTCTCTGCAAATCAGGCCCTTTGTCTCTAGCGTGACAGAGCATGTTCAATTTATAGGGCCTGCTGCTTTTTTCACTATAAATCAGGAGTGGCCCCAGTGAAGTCGGTGGGGTTAGCGAGAGCCGAATGAATCCAGGACACCTTTTTAACAGGTCTCTGGCTAAAGTCTTGGGCAAAACTTGCACTTTTTGCTGTAAATAAGTGAACTACAAATTCCAGCTGTCTGAATCGCCCAGCTCCATCTTGTGGCAAAACATTTTATCAGGAGACATAAATTGCTGCCGAAATCTCAGCTGGCAAATTAAAAACGTTTTACCTGTCGAAGAAGGATTTTATCTTAATAGGTAAGGAAAGTGAGACCCTTATGGAGTGCATCCCTTACATAGACAAATATGGGATTTGGTTGGTTCAGATGTAAGCTTTTAGGGTGTGGGTGTGCGGGAGTAAACTTGGTTTAAGTAGAGAAGTCAGATAATTTTAATTGTGATTAGTAGCAGGACTATTTCTCGGGACATTTTTTTTTTGAAGTTTGGATACTTATTTACCCCATCAGAAGGAGTTAACTTCAAAGTGAATGCTGAGGTTAAAGCCTGAGTGGAAAGGAAACCCCTCTGAACATTTCAGATGTGATAATGGATTCAATTTTCTGTTCCCCCAGGCATGCCTTGTTCACATGGGTTTAGAATCACGTTACGAACATAGAAATCTTCTGGATCTTTTGAAGTTAGGGGAATTACAACTGGGATTTTTCTTTGCCCCATCTGTTCAGGTTCATCTGCTAAAATGGTTGGGGACCTGTTAGTAGATTAAAACAAAACAAAACACAGGAATAATTTTCCCTTCAAAATTACATGTGGTCAGTGCCTTTTCCCTCCCACATCCCACCCTCAATTCAGTCTTCTTTGACTTAAGTATCTTTTTATTGTTTCTAGGTTTTCCCTCATTGCAGGCAGATGGATTGGCAACTGCTAACTTCCAGAGCACCCCACCTCCGCCTCCACCCAAGAGCAAACCCTATGAGAATAGCAACTCAAGGAACTCTTTGGAGGTAGGGAAATTGGAATGGACACTGGAACTTTCCCAGTTGCTCTTAGGGTGGTGCTACTTGAAACTTGTCTGATCCGTTTACTGGTTTGCTTCCTGAAACCATAAGAGAGCAAGACATTTTCCGCTTAATGGGAAGGCAATCTAGCCAGTCCCTTTCTTCAGCTGAAAAGAACGTGCTTTCCTTGCCTTGGCAAAATCTGCTGTATCCAATGTTTTGTGTGTTCTTGTTACTGAAAACACAAACTAACACGATGACCTGGGAGTTTAATAACTATAGTCAGGGTGTAAATATCACCGTCCTCTCCACTACTGAAAAAAAGAAGAAACAGGGAGAACTTCCAGGCCAGGATTTTCAGAAATGACTAATGATTTCTGGGGGCCCAACTTTAGGACACTGGGAAGGAGCCTGATTTTCACTTTCTGAAAACCGAGGCCCCTGGTATTAAAACTATGGACCAAGATAATTTTCTGGTCTTCATAAGTCATCATCTCACTGTGGCATCATAATAGTATCTTCAATGTGTACGACTGTAGTGCCTTTTATTGGAAAGCATCTGACAGTGCTTTACAAGGCTAGCTAATATCCATACTAAGGATCCTTTCATCCTGCACGGAAATGCAGCCTCCTCTGGAGTGGAACACAGCAGCTGTTTAACAATGCCTAGCAACCTTGAATATCCCTTTGAAACAGAAAAGGAAGAACACCCTGGGCAATCAAAGCTGCAGAGAAAGTTTAGAGAGGAGTAGTGTAATACCCGGAGTTGGAATTTGGCCAGTAATACTGAGTTTTTAATACCATTCTTTATTTAAAAAAAAAAATGGAAATGGGACATTTCGGCTGTGTCTACTGTATGAGCTGGGGTGGGCTTTCTGTGCCCACGTGCACATACTCACGCTCGCTCGCTCCAGCCACAGTAACGATAGTGCCGGCATAGCTGAGCTGTGCTGAATACGTACCCGGCACTTGGCACGAATCAGCCATGTCTTTGCCGCTGCTCGTGTAGAAGTAGCCTTAGAGGCCACGAGTGGATCTGGCCTCAGTTTTACACCGATTCCAAATGATGGCACCTCTCGCAGGGCTGGGACGTACCCCAGCATCATACTATGGGACTGTTTCAGTTCTGACCTACAGGGCCACCTATGCAATCCCCCAAAACACGTCCTGCTAGGGATGCCTTCGAGGTCTCCTCTGCAAATCCTGACCTGGTCTGACTTGACATAGCTTGAGACATGGGGCAGCGCTTCTGCGCAGGGTGGTCTGGCTGCAGGAAACATGCGAGCGCCGTGCATGTGCTGGGAGTTATTGTGCAAGAGGATTAATGAAGAGCTCCCTTTCCCTGAGCCTTATGAGAAAACGGATTACTAACATGCTGTTGCTCACTACATTGTCATGGACCTTGGTCTGCAGCAACAGGACTGACTCAGAGGGCCGTAAGGAGAGACTGTAAAAGTATTTCACCAGAGGGTTTCTGCACATTGCTTTTTAAGTCATAAAGCCCCCACCTAACCCTTCCTTTATTATCTCTAAATAGTTTGAAATCCAGACAGTTTAGGTTGAGCAAGAGGAGACCACGTGGCCTCTTGCTCACCCAACCTTCTTTCAGGTCTGTCTTATTCCAGATGTTTCCCTTAACAGCTCACGTGCATTGGTTAAAGTGGCTGAAGGGAAAAATCCAAAGAACCCAAGAGTGTAAATTTGTGCAAAACCAAGGGGCACTCTTTAAAATCCCGTTCCTTGTGCAGGAAGGGTGTGACTTTAGTACTGGAACTTGTGGCGTGATTCACTGATTCCTTGCACCATGTGCAGTCATTTACAGGAGTGCAAAGAGATGTAAATGCTACCATTCTGACTGGGTAGCATTTTACACCCACTTGGCCCTCGCTGCACCTGTGCAAATGATCACACAAGTTGCAGCTCAATGGAAAATCAGGCCCGCGGTGTTACTCAGTGGAGTGCACCCATCAGGACGGGTGGTATTTCAAGGCTCCAGCACTGTAGTATTGTCCCCATTTTGCAGATGGGAAAACTGTGGCACACAGGTTTGCTGAAACTCAGACAGCGAGTCAGAGGCAGAACCCAAATGTACTGGTTCCCAGACTTGTGTTCCATCGTCTGGTGCTGAGAAGTTCCGTTTGGAGTGGAATTGGAGGATTTGATCCTGAAATAAATAGCCCAGACTGCAGCACCATCTAGACGTCTGTTGCCTGGTAGAGCAGAACTTCTCACCCCTATGGTTATGTGTTTTATCTTCCCAGGTTGCCCCACCACTGCCCAGCAGACGTGAAGTCAAACCTCCCCCTCCGCCTCCGAAAGCAAGAAAGTCCAGCGTCGTCTCTTCGGAGCAGGGATTGCAATAAGGATTCCCTCTGCGTACCCTCTAACGCCTTGAGTGAAATGGGCTGCTTTTCTGTTTCTGACACTCTGGCTCTTTCCAGCCCTAAAGACTGGTGATCCCATCTTCCATTCCCTTCCCTGGGAGTTTTCCCCAGGTAATTCCAAAATAAGCCACTTGAACTGTATATACTTTGCATTCCCAATCCTCTGATTTTCCTTGCACACATTAAGACACGAAGCCCTATGGGGAACTCTGTGAGCTTTAAAATGGAGGCAGTGTTACCAGAAATCTGAGACTCGTACCCCAAAAGGGCTTGTCTGTACTGGTGGTCGTTGCACAAGTGAAACGGCGTCAGTGCAAACCCCTTGTGCAGAGTTGCCCCGTTGGTGTAAAAAAGGATTTGCAGCAGCACTTAAACCGAGGCAAGCCAGGTCCATACAAAACACTTCTTATACTGCCCCAGCACGTTTGCATTACCGGTTGATACCTATGCAGCCCCACCGGTGGGGCGGAGGGTCAAGTGGGAGTAAGGGTGCCCTGATTTGCATGGAATGGACCAGATTACAGTCATTTCCATCTGTGAAATGCAGCCCTGGGAGACGACGGGTCCTAACATGTGATGTTCCTCCTCAATTCAAGCGGCCTCATGAGGTTCTGAGTGTGTCTTGAGACCTGCTGGGAGCAAAAATGAACATCACCTGCAGGACCCCAATGTCTCTGCTGGTCACCCCGTGTATTAAAGGTGAGGGCAGGTTGCTCACACTTGGGCCAACAGTGGTGGTAGCTCACTCCCAGTGGAGAGTTTGGGTTCACCAGCGCTGCCTCAGACCTTTGCTTTTGATCCTTGTTTGAAGACCGCAAAGCAGTTGATGCTCCGCTTGTGTTGTCCCACCTCCTCAGCCTGTGTGCCCTCGGGACACACTACGACACCCCCCCCTTTTTTTTTTTAAATAATTGAACAATGGTGCAAAAAAGTCCTCTCTCCTGTGGTACTCGTTGCTTTAGCATTAACAGGTTGCAGTTATCGGCATGGGCAGCTCATCAAGAGGACAGAGATTATGTCTCCATTGTGAGGAAGGACCCACGCCGTGGCCGCAGCTGGCCCGGGTCAGCTGACTGAAGCTCCCGGGGCTTGGGCTGCGGGGCTATAAGACAACAGTACAGAGGTTCAGGCTGGGGCTGGAGCCTGGGCTCTGGGGGACCCCACGAGTGGGGAGGGTCTCGGAACCCGGACCCCCAAGCATCTACACTGTTGACGTTAGCAAGTGTGAAAAATCAGCACACTTTTTTTTCCGGGGATGGGGGTGGGGGGTTAGTTGTGTATATAAGACAAAGTCCCTGATATCAGGACGTTTGGTCACCCAAGTTGACCTCGGCTCTGAGACTTGGTTTTTATCACAGTATAGATGTACATCTGAATCTCGTAACCCAAGCTCAATAACCATTAGCTTTTCAAGTCCCAGTTGAACTCTTGGCCGACAACCTTCCAATCCATGCACTCACAAACACACCCCCTTACTGTACCCTGTTGTTGCAACTCTCCTTGTGCCTTTTGTCTGGGAGCTTCCATTGTGTTCTGCACACAAAACGCTTGGCCTAACTTTTAACAATCACTAAACTCAAATGAGTCGCACCTAGGCCTGAGAGGGACGTGAAAGACTGGGCCGTTCACCCTGAAGTTTCTGGTTTCTTGGGTTGCTCCGGTTCCTTGTGGGCTGTGTTTGGTGAATTTGACAATTATGCTGTTTAGGGATATTTTATGGAATTGGTTCTAATTCTTCTCTCTTAATTAGTTATTCCTTTCTTCTGTTGTTTTCAGTGGATGGCAGCAGCATTCTGTTTAATAAGTTTTCACTGCCTGATAGTCTAAATTTTCCCTTCTATAACTTCATTCCATTACTCCTATTTATACTGCCACTTGCCACCCTAAATAATTCCTTCCTCTGCTTGGTGTCAATATCCTTCAAAAGCATGTAGACCAGTTTTGCGGTCCCTCCCTCAGGGCGTGATCCAGAGACCGCTGGAGTCTATGGGCATCTTTCTATTGAATTTGGCGGGCTTTGGATCAGGCCCTTCATCATCACTTGTCCCAATAGGTAGGTCATTATCATAACTCTTGTAATCTTGTTTCATAAATCACTCTCTCCAGCACCCTGCTCATTTTCATCGCTCTGAACTCTGTCCGTATTTTTCTGGTCACATGATGATCTGAATAGCTGAGGTCAATTTTAAAATGTGTGCTTGTTCTTTTTAGCTCTGCAAAACAAATGAAAGAACTAGGTGGACTATATTCTGCATTCCCTTTCTCTGTCTCGGCTTGTATATTATGATTATCACCCAAGTATCTTAAGTTATGTCTACACTACAATAAAAAGTCCATGGCACCGAGACTCAAAACCCGGGTCAGTTGACATGACCTCCCAGGACTTGGGCTGCAGGGCTAAAAATATCAGTGCAGATGTTTGGGCTGGGAATGTAGCCCGAGCCCAGACTTTGAGGTCCTCCCCACTGTGGGGTCTCAAAGCCTGGACTCCAGATCGAGCCCAGTCATCTACGCTGAAATTTTATAGCCCCACAGCCCGAGCCCAAGTCAGCTGATGCAGCCATGCCCTGAGTCTTTACTGCAATGTAAACATACTCTGTGTGACTGGATCAAAAACCCTTCTGCTAAGTTCTGATTGCTGAATCCTTATGCCTCTCGTGATGATTTTGGTTCAGCCCTGTCCTAGCAATGGATCCACCTGCAAATGTGGTGGCAATTCAGATCTGGAGCCAAACTTTGCAAGTGGAGCAGAGCTTTGGTTCGGGACCATCTCTAATTAGAAGGCCAGATCCTCCAGTGGTTTAAATCATATAGAGCCACTGAAAACACTGCTGAGGATGTGGCCTGCAATATTCAAAACATTTATCATATTTTTAACATAGGCCATTTCAACATAATTTCTCTTGCTATTGCTATACAAACTAGTTTCATTACCTCATTGAAAAACAAAAGGCTTTTAAGCCTTAGTAAAACACTGTCCAATAGTATAGCAATCTTATTGTAATTATTTTTATTCAGACTGGAACTATCCGATCTTCTGTAATATGTTTCTTTGGTGTCTGTTTGGATGAAAACAGAAACCTGCAGAAACTGCATTCACTGTGCTGCCCGTATGGCTCCCTAAACAGATTGCATTCATTAAAGGCTCATATCAGATTCACATCACAAAATAAGTTGGAGACATTTTAGAAGTCACACTGCAGTCACATCATATATGCCTACAGCTGTGTTTGCTATAGTGCACACACAACTGTCTTTTGGGCAGCTGCCTTCTCCAGGGAAAGCTCTGAAAACCTTTCTGAACATCTTGACCATATTCCACCCCTGCCTCCAATCCCCAGGGCATCATAGAGATTGTCAGTTCCACATTACATTCTTGGACACAGACATTGCTTGACTTGAAAACCTCAGGGTTTTCTTTTTTTGTTCCTCCCCCCGCCCCGACTTTTCCTGCCATCCCTGATACACGCGCACACAAAATCCTGAAATCCTTACTCAAAACCCTCACTGAAGTCCATAAGAATTTTGTCTGAGCGAGGACTGTAGGGTCTGGTACAAGTGAATAGCGTGTGTGCATATTTCACCTTGTCTTAATTGTCACCTTTCCAGTACTCCACCGATCAGCCAGTATCAGCCACATACTTACTTAATTTCCTTGCAAAAGAGGGAATATTCCGAGCACAAAATGGATGTCATGGTACATTTCCTCTCGCTCTTTATATCAGGCGGAAAGCATGAATGTTTGCAAGAACTACAGCAAGTGGCTTTTCCCACCATGAGTAAGAGAGCTAGGCAGGGATATTGCAGTACTGTCTGGTTCATGTCTAGTTTTATTTCTGTGTTTTGATCTACTCCATTAGCCTGGTATATTTTGGATGCTTGCCAACTGTATGTAAGAGGAGAAATGGGCCTGATCAAAAAGCCCAGATTTGAACAACCCTCAAATTTGGAAAGAACTTTGCAGCCTTAACTCTAGAATGAGCCAAACTCAAAACCTCAATCCAGACACCCCCGAACTTTGGATCCAAATCTGACCTCTAGCAACATTTCCTCCTTCCAGCTCTGTTTTAAATTCCTGTTCTTTCCCATTTTTCAGCCTTGGTACGGAGAGGATTGATGGACAAAGTACCTGGTATGTAAGGGGTTAAAACTCTGCCATCCAGAGAGAGCTGCTAACTGTTAGGATTGTCAGCAGTTACTTTCCCTCCTGCTTGTTGTAACTCAACAGCACTAACACCCGAGTTACCAAGCGGCTAAACTAATCACCTAAGGCTAACACAGACAGGAGAGCTGTAGGAAGCTCTGTCTATTGACTCTGAACTTCAAGAAGCTTCAGGCTTTTTTTGTTGTTGTTTTGTGGAGCTGTGGCTGATACAAGCCACAGTTTGATTCTTGGCCTTCATTATGGGTTGAGCTCTTAAACAGGTTGTTCTCTGGTACCAACTTGCCTAACAACTTCCTTACGGTTTGCCTTGATGTGTTGGCTGCACAATTCAGGCTTTGCTTCTTGATGGTGTGTCGTCTGGCCAGTTTGAGATTGTTTAGACCTCACTTCTACAGGACGGGGACAGGGCAGCTGGTGCATAAGGAGGATGTGGAGGATTTGAGAGGTACTGTGTATTTCCTTCATCTTTAAACTGTCACTTGAGGATGGGGGCCAATAGTTGGGGGAGGTTTTTTTTGCCATGTCTTCAATCTGTCTCTAACTTGTGTTAGCCTCTCCTACTCCCTTTCTTCTCATTGGGTGGAAAACATGCTCATGAATGGAAGTTTGTTTCCTTAGAGGTGTATTGCTGACTGGGCTCAAGGGGTCAGATCCTCAGCTGGTATAATTCAGATTGTCTCTGTTGAAGACAAGGGGCAAAATTTTCAAGTATCAAAGTGATTTAGGAGCCTTGTTCCCATTTTCAGAAGAGACAGAGGCGCTTAACTGCCAGATTTTTAAAGGTATTTAGGCATCTAAGGATTAAATCTGTGGGAGCTTGGCATTTCTGAAAATCCCACAAGATACCTTATCTGCATCATTAGGCTCCTAAATAGCTTTGAAAATCTGGCCCTTAGAAACCTAAGTTTCATGGAAAGTAAATGGGACTTAGGCACCTAAATCCATTTTGATAAGGGGAGTTAAGCTTCTAAATTCTTGGAATGCTTTTGAAAATTTTACCCAGTCTCTCCCAAGGATGACAAAAAAACAAGTCCCACCATGATATAATCAGTCCACGGCAGAAATGAAAGCTTACTTCTGTGCTGACCGTAACGTTAAAAAACCCAAACCTGGAAACCAAAAATCTAGTCTGCATTGAAATATATACGTAATGTCACTTCCTAGCTACGCTGTTCAAAATGAGTGTTAGGTTTTGAGTCCCAGAACCTTTTAAATCCCAATTGACAGTTTTCCTAAAAGATCTGCTTTAGTTCGGACAAGAATTATTTTAGGGAAGTTCCCTGGCGTGCATTATACAGGAGGTCCGACTAGATGATCACAATGGTCCCTTCTGGCCTTGCTAGTCTATTCACATTTTTTCCACTGAGAAATTTGTGTGACCCTTGCTTTTTGGGTGCTTTTTAATTAAAATTTGTAATGCCAGGATAAATTTGATTTAAAATATTACAGGTTCTTATCCATGCCTGGGGGAGAAATGGGCACTTTTCCCTTTCAGTGGATTATTAGATTAGGAAAGGAGGTTGACTCAAGTGAAAAGTGTTCTGGGCGGAGCAGTGGCAGACAATGCAGCCGTGCCTATCGAGAAGGAGTGGAAAATTTGCATCTAATAAACTTTCCTACTTTGTGCCAGCCAGCATACCTTCCACAAATGAACCGTGAGTTAGACTTGTAGTGATAATGTAGGATTCATTGCTCCAGACTTACTGTCCTTATTTATTTTTATAATTGTAAATGGAAATATTAAAAAGACTGATATGTCTGTAATTTAACTGTAATTTTTTTGGGGGGGTAGTGAAAACATTCCTGACTACGGCTGGTTCCCTGTTTCAATCCCAGCTGTTTGTTAAAAGCTGTTCTATCATATATATGTCGCTGTTTTCATTTCCAGCAACAGCTGTAGACCAAACTATGTAACTGCCCCGCAAGAACCTCCCTCTAAGATTCCAGGGGAACCTGAAAACACCTGCGTAGCATGGTCAAACTGATCTTCTGACATTAAAGGGAGTGACTTTCAAATGCACACGCCCAGTGTTGGCCTAACTCGGGCCAGGTTTACACTACACACTTCAGTGTAACTAGGTCGCTCAGGGGTGTGAAAAATCCACACCCCTGAGCAATGAAGTTATATGGACCACATAGACAGCACTATGTCAGCAGGGGAGTTTCTCCTGCCAACGTCGCTACCACCTCTGCCAGAGGTGGAGTAACTAAGCTGATGCGTGAGCTCTCTCCTGTTGGCTTAGAACATCTTCACAGTGCCACAGAGGTGTAGCTGCACTGTTTGTAGTATAGACTGGCCCTCAGCTTCCACTGTGTCCCACTAGCGTAATAGCCTAATGAGAACTGAGTTAAGATCATCATGCCACATACCGTTAACATATACAGATGATGTTGGCCTGATCTGTCTCCCTGTATGTGTTACTTAATGACATTGGTATTATGACCATTTAATACCAGCAGTAGGGGATATGTTCCTCTTGAATGCCAGGGAAACTTACTTTTATGTTGCGGCATAACATGACCAGGTTGATTCCTTGGAGGTACTTGACTTGATTATTTAAGTTTTTAAAACCACTGTGGGCTGCAAGTAGCTTCATAGCCCCCTGCAGCTGACTCACCCATACACACAGCTTTTCAACTGGTTCTGAAGACAGGGCCAGAGCCAAGCTTTGGAAAAGGGATTCTGTGCCTCTGATTAAATAGCATATTATTTACTGAGACTGTAAAGCAAGGTGTACAAATGTACGTGTTTGGAAAACAGTGTGTTTACTGTTGTAAAGTTTGTAAATATTTTTTTAAATAAATGTAGATTGAGCAAACTGGGGAAAAAACACCCTAAATGTCTTCCATGCATGGACTTGTGAAATTGTGTGTTGTTTAATAGTAGGTAACTTAGATGTATTACACTAACGTCCAGAGGCCCCAACAAACATAACGGGCTCATTTTGCTAGACACTCTACATGTGAAAAGTCACACAGCAGGTCAGTGGCAAGTAGTAGCCCGGTCCATTGCCCCAAGCGGTCATTTATCTTATACTCCACCCAAATTTTTTTTTCCCAACATCTCGGTGTGGTTTTTGTATTTGAACATTTATACACATAACACTGTAATCTAAACAGAGGTCAGACCTTAAAGTTAAATCATTGCTTTGAAATGTTACAGTAACTGGTCCTTTATTCCATTTGCCTTCATGAATTCAGATCTTCTTTCGCTCCGCTTCTCCTTCAATCAGACCTGCCTGTAACACACATTGTATAATTTGATTTTTTAAAAAAAAAAAAAAAAAGGAAAAAATTACTTGGTTTGGAATTTTAAGGCCAGGTGCCATACTAAAATATATTCTGCATGGAGAGTCTCTGTCAGGAAGAGGGCTAGAACTACACAAATCTCAACTAAGCAGATCTCTGCCACCTGCTCAGGTAGGTGAGAGTGCAGGACACCATACCTTACATTTATAATAGTTCCTTTCATCCCACTCCTACATCTAGCACAGGGGTTCTCAAACTGAGGGTTGGGACTCTCTGGGGGTGGCGAGCGGTCAGCCTCCACCCCAAACCCTGCTTTACCTCCAGCATTTATAATGGTGTTTAATATATTGAAGTGTTTTTCCTTTAGAAGGGGGGGTCGCGCTCAGAGGCGTGCTATGTGAAAGGGGTCACCCGTACAAAAGTTTGAGAACCACTAATCTAGCAAAAAGAAAAGGAGTACTTGTGGCACCTTAGAGACTAACCAATTTATTTGAGCATGAGCTTTCGTGAGCTACAGCTCACTTCATCAGCTCACGAAAGCTCATGCTCAAATAAATTGGTTAGTCTCAAAAGTTTGAGAATACTCTTTTCTTTAACTCTGAAACTAATCTAGCAGTTTGCCCACCCCTGAAATGCAACACAGACTATTTAACACTGAATAGCAACAGCAGTTTAGGACAAGTAGTGAAGAAATGTCATTTGAAATATCAATATGTTAAGTGTCCCTCTACAAATTCAGCCTTTGACCAGACTACCAGAGCTAAAATCTTACTTTCTGCGACGCGTATCTCTGGACTGTCACAGCACCGCTTCCTGCAGTATCTAGTCTGCCATTCAGGTACTGATCTACCTTGCCCCGTCTATTATTCTTGTAGCCTGAGATTCTATTGATATAGTCTAGGGAACTATACTGTCTTTCTCCCAAACTAGAATAGGTAAGTACTTTATAGGGCTCCCATTACTAAGGTATGCAAGCACCTGACAAGCTTTAAGGTATTTATCCTCAACTCCCCTGGGAGGTAGGAAAATGTGGTTATCCCCATTTTACAAAGACACTGAGTCCCAGCTTTTTAAGGTATATAGGTGCTTTCAAAAGAGCCTACATGTCTAATTCCCATTGAAAATCCCACTAGGTGCCTGGCTGCTTCCACAGGGCCAGATTTTAAAGGAATTTAGGCACTGAAAGGGCTTGCCAAAGCTCTCATAGGAAGTGTGGCAGAGCATGGAGTTGAATCCCATTCTGATTCTCATGCTAACCCACAAACCACTGGCCTATCCTTCCGTCTCACTCTGTTCTGTAAATATAGGATCTAGAGAATAAAGTCCGGTATCAATGCAACTAATTGACAGCCTCAGAAGTCAACGATTGAATTGCATATAGCAGTGGTCTGGAAACATTTTATCTTGCACGCCCCCCACTTACCCCTGTCCGTACCCTCCCCCTACTCTTTGGGGACCTCTGGCAAAGAGATTGCTCTACCCTTTAGGCTATAGGTGTATTTCCTCTGGGAAACCATTGAGATTAGCCTCCTATCTGTCTCTCCCCCCCGACACACTCATTTTTGTGTGAATCACCTTACTTTCCACTAGCTGGTTGCAAAACATCCCTTTAGCAACTGCAACAATTGGTTACATGGAAAAGTTATACAGGGGAGAGATTGAATGTCGTTTGTGTCATTCAGCAGCTGGAAAGGAGCAGCCAGCGCCAAATGAGCAGCCAGCTCACTGCAGACCGTAGCAAGTGAGCTGTGGACAAGTGGTAGTCCGCTGGCCACAGCGTGTATGATGCATACCAGAGGAGAAGCAGATACATAATTCTTGAGCTTCTGCATTAAACCCTTCTTTCATCATACCATGTAAGATTGCAAAGATATTTTAAAAGTAATTTGGGGTTGGCAAACCTGAAAATCCAATTAGTGAGCCTTCACCTATGAGAAAGAAAGGAAAGTACTTCCTCCTAAATGGGTAAGAAGCAGATGACTCACTGGCTGCTCTTTCCGCTTCCCCGATAAAGGTTTTCAGAGGAGAAAGATCCTTGTGTTAATATTTCCAGAAATCATTATTCATTATTTGTATTGGAGTAGAGGCCAGGAGGCCCAGCAATAGGCCAGGACCCCATTGTGCTAGGTACTATAAAAAAATCCCTGCCCTGAAGAGTTCACAATTTAAGTAATTTGAACATACAGTTCCCATTTGAAGTCAAAGCTTACTTATGTACACAGCTGCAAAGTCAGAGTTTGGCCCCTATGTTCTGCGAACCTCTGAGCACTGCAACTTTCCAGGGCCGTCTCCTAGCTGAGGTTTGCATTTGTTCAGTCAGTTGATTGAAGGAAAGAGTTAGTGGGTAAATGGGAAGGCCAAGATTTTCAAACAGGACTAGTGATTTTGATTGCCTCAGTATTTAGGTGCTTTTCCTGAGACATCTCAAAAGGCTCTGATTTTCAGACAGTGCTGAGCATCTGTCCTATTTAAAGTACCGGTTGGACACATGAAAACGAGGCACAGAAAACCCCTTGTGATGTCTGAAAACCTTTGCCCAAAATTCTAGGTTGGACACTAGACTTCTCTGCACTTGCCTGTCGGGGCTCTGCTGGTCTGTTCATTAACGTTCTGCTATTTTTGCTTTGGAGCTTGTACCGGAATAGACACTCCACAGTGAGTGCACATTAGAGGGAGCAGCATCCATATGGCCTGATCCTTCAGCTGGCAGAGTTACTCTGTGGGATTAACAAACTATGAATGCTGCATAGAATTAGGATGAAGGTAAAATTTATCTGACTTTTGATTTTATTTTCTCAGTTGGTGCAGAGGCAGAACCAGCATTGCTAAGCACCAACACCCCCCACCAAAAATGGTCCTTTGAGTTTCCATCATAATAAATCAAAGCTTTACTTACCAGAGCTCCCTTCAGACCACCAAGCATGGAGCGCTGATGTGGGCCAGTGCATTCAAAATGCTGCAGTTCACCTATTTTTTCCATTTCACTGGCAAGCTGAATTAGAAGAGGATACAAGTTTCATGGAAAGAGAATCTTCTGCTAAAGGCCTACACTACTATGCTAGATGGACATGCTTTTCTACTTCAAATTCACCATTCTCCCTCCCACTACAGATAACCAGTATTATCCCACTTTTGTTATGGTACGTTTCAGAAATGCTCCAGAAACTATAGATGAATCACAGAAGTTAGAAGGTGCCAACAAATGGAAATGGCGGTCAAAGGCTTTCAGCTCTGGTTACTAGTTTGAATCCAAGTGAATGGCCAACATGTGACTGTAGCAGGGCAGTTACCCCACTCCCGAGAGAAAAGGCTCAGCTGATTGGGGAAGCAGCCCCACCTGGCCCTGTTATAAAAGCTCAGGGAGGAGCTAGGTCCCTCTCTTGAGCTGTGGAGAGAGACGGATCTAGCTGCTGGGGAGAAAACAATACCTGGAGCGGAGCAGAGCAGAGCTGGGGCACTCCAGCCAGGCCACTCCCCAGGCTGAGGACTTGGTAAAGGCCTATGCAGGTACGGGGCTGGAAGGTGCAGCCCAGAGATAGGCAGCGGCAGCTGGTCCGACCTCCTTGCCAACGATGAGTGGCCATGACACACTACAGTTTGCCCCAGTGAGCGGGGGCCAGACGATGACTGGCAGTAGCCACTGAGGCAAGGAGGGGCTAGAGGGTTGAGGGTTCCCCTGGGAGGGGAGACCCAGACTGTGGGTTACTGCTGGTGGCAGAACCCCGAGCTAAAGGGGCACCGGGGTGTGAGAGGGACACGGAGCCAGTAGCAGGCGAGATACCAGCCTGCAGAAGGCGCTCCATACGCTGGAAAAGAGCTAATTCCCAGACGACTGGCAGGAGGCGCCGCACTGGCGAGGCTTCACTTCGCTACAGTGACCAGTTGCCAGTGGGCAGCTGTGCCTTGTCCTCCCTGAGCTCAAGTGGAGCGAGCGTTGCCATCACAAAATAGCTGACTGGAATCTTAGCTGACAAAATAGCAGAGAAGTTACGGACTGGCTGAAACTGGAAACTCTCGTTCTTAGAGGCGTTCCCTCCCATCAAACATGAGATGTTCTGATTTTAAAATAAAACACACAGCAGTGCTTAGACAGACAGGGGAAGCTGCCACTGTCTCTCTTCTATTGCTAGAACTGGGTCTCCAGGGCTGTCAAGCTGGCCTCTTTCACTAAAATGAAAATTTTCCAAAAAGTTTTTAAAAATGTATTAGATGTCTGCACTGCAATTATCCACCCACAGCTGGCCAGCAGGAGCTGGCTGGGGCTCAGGGCTATGCAACTGCAATGTAGACAGCTGGGTTCAGGTGTCTATACTGCAGTTTTATAGCCCACAATCCTTCAGCTGACGGGAATCCATGGGGATTAATTGCAGTGTAGACATACCTTTAGATTCTCAGGCTGCTATTCTGCTCTCATCCCCCGGAGGGCATGTGAGGAAAGGTACACTGAATAAAGTGTCATTTTAAAACCAAGAACCTACCTCTTGGAATGATTCTACCAGATTTTCAGCATCCCGCTTTCCTCCTGGTTGCAGGCCATAAGACCAGTGTTGAGCCAAGCAAATCTCCACAGACAGAATAAACAGG